AAACCACCAGCCGCGATTGACTGTTCACATTCACCTGAAGTCATCTTCGACTGTCACTCCTCCACCAACGGAAAAATACGTTTCTGAAGAGCTTGGGCAGGATCTACGCAAGTACGCGCCAGAAAATAACTGCCTCTTCCTGGTTCAAAGCCCTCAAGCGTTCGCATTGCTTCTCTCGGGAGTGAGGTGAGGTAACATTTCTCCATCGCCTGAGTATTCCACCTCCCTAGGCGCCGTATCTGAGCTTCACTGGCACCCCCAAGGTCTGCCATTCGGGAGCCCGATCCTCTGCCTAGATGTGTTTTGGCCCTGCTGCGTAGACCGATGTGGTCGAGCGCGTCAACAATAGCCGCCCGATAAACCTTGTACGACATTGGCTTGGTTGGATCTTTCCCAGTTTTTAGCAGTTTTATAGGATACCATTGTTCCGACTTCGTGAAATCAGGAAACGACTCTTTATCCACGTGCCATCGCCGAAACAGATAGAATCCGAGCAATCCATGACCACAAATCTCCAGTTTCTTACTGCGCATACATGCACCCACTTCAATACGACCAACTTGGTTGGTTTTCCCTTGTGTCATGACCATCCCCGACAAACACTGTAGCCTTCATTTTCCAGTACAATCGAGTGAAGATCAGCTAGCTCCATCAGCCGAGCAGACTCGCCACGCATTAGCGCATAGTGAGACAACAGGAACGCCAGCAAATTCCTCATGCTAGTTCCAGGGTCGTGCGACGAGGTCCAAAAGTAGCGAGCAATCTGTTGTAGCTGATCCGTTGTTGTGTAGCCATCCAGTAAAGTATCAGCTCCTCGATCTGCAAAGTTCTTACGCCGCAGCTGGTCCTCCTCGTACGTAGTAATTTTGAGAAGTGCTGTAACAGCGCCATCTCGAGGAGACGGGTTGCTGTTGCTATTCAGTCGTTTCTGTTGCCGCCACAAGTCAACCATGGCAGCGACATAGCTGTTGACAGTCGATTTACCAACTTTTTCGCTTCTCCCTCCGTGACCCTTTCGTCGCTTTTCCCTCCCAATCACGCACTCCACAAGAAAAAGGTGAAGTTTTGGCCCTGTTACTGTGTACCGAGTGAGATCACTGAAAGCCGCGCCCTTGTTGTCACACCACCGCTTGAACTCGTCCTGCTTGCTTGTATATGCCCTCGAAGTGTTCTGAGGGCGAATGTTAGAAGCTTTTTCGTAGGTGCGGCGCACAGACTCATCTAACGCTACACGCATGAGAGATTCCTCGGCCATGCTGCTCCTGTTGATCTGATTAGATGATGACATTTTCCTCGGTAGAGTGACAGTCAGTGGCCGAAGCCTCGTCGGGTCCTAATAGAACCCCGAACGAGGCTTCATGGTACCCACTTTAGGTACAGATGCATTTAGTTACGTACTTCGGCTGCACTTATTAGTGTAGCCGCGGTCGCCATTTGATGTGTCCGGAATCGCCTTATTGCGATCGTTGACATTAGATATTTGTATAGGAACATAGGACTCATCATAGGATGACCAGAACGAGACCCCGAGGGCCTCAGAAAACTCAGTAAAAAAAAGACAGTCTTCGCCCAAAGCCAACAAGGGTCAAGTCCGACTTCGGTAAGTGTAGCTAGCTTATTGTAGTGCCTGGACACGCTCGACTGCGTGTGGATGCCTGTCGGGGAGCTTATCGCGCATTGACCGAGAGTTTCCTTGGCAGCGCCAAGAGTTGGCGTGGCCGGAGAGGCAGGAACGGTATTAGAGTATCATTCAGTATATATTTGTGGGATTAGAGTGTCCCTGAGTGTATTAGTCTACCTACCGAGGTTTTACACGGAGAACTGCTGGATTGACGATGTGCTGCCATCCGACATGTTGTCCACTTGCCTGAAGTGTGGATGTGAAGCGTTGCTCGAGAGTGTTGCGCCAGGGCATCGATCAGAGCAAGCGTGCTGCGACTGCCACGCAAAACTTGCTGTGATGGCAAGACGGTTCTTGGCCAGGGATTTGAATGGATCGAACCGGAAGCGGAGTGAACCGCTCGATGGAGTCGTTGAGAGCAAGAGAGGACGTAAGCAAGCTGTGCAGGGCATGGGTGTGACGAGGACACGGGGGTAGATAACTGTCTTATTTGTACCGGTGGCTAGGGCAATAACAACGGTTATACGTGCGCACGACGGAGACCGCGTCCGGACCCCGGTTATGATAATGGCTGCTAGCACAAAACTGAGAGGATGGCTATGTTCGCCAAAAACACATCCGAGGATGGCTAGCATATCCCACCTGTCTATCATTTTCGAGGCCGAGTAGCTCGAGTTGCTCATTTCCGAAAACGCCGCCTACCCCTCATTGCTCCGCGGCAGGGCCTCCGCCGTTCGCCGCGCCCAACACCTCGCTTCCCTGGTGCGCCAAGCTGCACGCCGCCTGCGGTAACTTAAAAGGTACTAGTAGAGCATAGCTAGCTTGTAGATGGATCAACGAGTGTTTGTTTGTATTGTGGAAACCGATTATATTGTCTAATTGGAGTATAAATCGGTTGATTAAGCAGATGATTAAGCATAATCAAGTCGGATTTAGCAAATCCGACCTCCTAATTAGATCGACAGCCTAAGATTTGTACTCTGATTTGACAGAGCAGTCTGTTGTGCCTACATCACGATGTGGCAAGCTGATTTAGCTACTCCACGACTTACAAAGCCTTGGACGGCTGATTTGCATGCTAATCAGCCCGAATGTCCGGCACCCACTCGGCGGCCGATTTAAAGTAAAACCAACAAACGCTAATGCTGACGAGAAATGACAGCGCAAATACATGACTTCACAACTTGATAAATAGATAGCAGTACAGTACATATCGACTGCTCACAGAAGCGTATTTAATGCACGCGATGCTATTCCTCGTTAGTAGGTGCGCGAAACATTAGCTCGTGGCGGTAAGTGGTCGTTCCTCGCATTGCAGGCGGTAATGAGGCAACCCCTATTTTATTAACCTTACACCGATTTATACCCTCACCGATGCCATATGAAATCATAGGAATCCTCGATTACTACTAGTCAAATCCCTCATGAACGCTGCTTTATCAGCTAATCCGCTCGGACAATCTAATCGGTTTCCACAATACTATTTGAGCAATTATGGAGGCAAGAGGGAGTAAGCGCAAGCGTTGCGTGTAAACTTGCCCTTACAGAACCGTTTAGACAAAGTATTAGCATGACTAAACTACATGAGGCTGAATACGGACGAGGGCGAGCGAACGCGAGCGCGAGGCTCACTCAGTGCATTCACTGACCACCAACACCCGCCGATTAGGCGGGGGCGTGTCTGTGCGAGCGAGCGAACGCGAGCGCTGCAACCCGATATTTTTTTTTCCTAGACACCGCGCCTGGCCGAGCCGAGGACTTAGCGTAAGACACGAGGGGGTGGGGCAGGCCGCGCAGCGGCGCTCCCCGAGCGAAGCGAGAGAGGGGCGGGCCCCCCGAAGTGCCGTCGCTAAGTCCGCAGGCGGGAGCCAACGCGCGAGTGTCCGCCCCCTTAGTGAAGATGCCCATGTTGTTGGCGCTCGCCACTAGAGCTGTCGACGTCCGGTGTTATCGAAGGTTAACACCCAGACGTCAAAAGTCGCCAACGGACGTCTGATCAACGCCCCCTTGACACCACCCGCTTGGTCACTATTTCGAAATAGTGAGATGCCACTTGTGGGGGCTGCTTCATTGCATTTGGTGGCTCGCATTCTATTATGTGGCATGTTAGCTCGACTACCGTAGTTGACTACAAGCTCAGGAACGCTAGATTGCCACCTTCTAAGGGATCGGATTCTCTACCCTTAGGCCTACGCGCCGATAATACACAGGTAGTCTCAGATAGCAGAACTCTCTTGGTCGTGTGCTGTGCCGCTTGTCTTGTGGCCTGATGCGTTGTCAGCGAACTCACATCACCTCTAGGTTGTGTTCCCGTGACTTGCAGGAAGGCTACAACTTCGTGGTGACAGACACGCCATACCTAGCCGCCAACGTGGCCAAGTTGATCGTCAACTCAGCTGACCCCTCCTCTGAGTAGGCCCGTACGACGTGCGGCAATGACCGACAGTCGGCCAGACTAACCAGTCTCACGACACTGAGCGCGAGGAAGAGAACAACTTCACAGGTCCCATTCTCCCTCATGGAGTCGGAAGCCAAGTCCATCGACGACTCCAGAGATGCCTGTTCAACCATCGGCTTGTTTCGGTCTAGATGCTGCTGCTGAAAGTGCGCAAGAGCGTCAAGCACGTGGACGCACTCTTGGCTGACGTGAAGCTCACGGCGACGCTCGAGCACGCGCGCAGTGTCCCGTTCGCGGGCATGGCTTGGGACTCACTGACGGACTTATGCGCCGTCTCGGAGATTATGGAGGGCGGCGACTTACGCGCGTTGCTGAGTGTGTGTGAAAACACCACAGGCTTCGAGATCAGCAAGTTGACGATCGCTCGGAACGCGGCGTACGTGCTCACGTACCTCCACTCGCTTGAGACTTAAGTACTGCATCGAGACTTGAAGTCGATAACGTCCAGCTTGCCTCCAGCCTAGAGACCAATCTCACAGCTAAGCGAGAAGACGACGAGATGACGGCCGGCGTTGGCATGTCGCGGTGGATGGCGCTGGAGGTGGTGTGTGTACGTCGACATGTTCTTGGTCGGAGTCGTACTGCCCGTGTTGGTCAGCATGTCATTTCGTATTCACACGCAAAAGGCTGCGGGGATATTGACTCAGACCACAAAGTCTCTGAGGTGGTCATCATCTAGATGGTGGCGCTGTTTAGTTTTCATCAGGTTAGTTCAATCGATGCCGGACTTGTGCACGGCTTGTGTGTCTCTGGATCCGATGGTGTGGCCCAAAATTGCAGAAGCGCTCTACCATCTTCATTCAATACTATCGCAGAAGCACCATTGAAATGAGTTACATACGTGAAGAAGTTTCGTTATGAAGACGCATACAAACATTATACATGTTAGTTACAGTGTTGTCATCACTAACTAGATACATATCATGCTGCTCCATTTTGAGCCATAAACACAATATCCCGAACTGTGCTAGCCTTCAGCGAACAACGTCGTTTTGTTACTGTGTTACCTGCAGTGGAAAACGCGCGCTCTAAGGGCACCGATGTAGCGATGCATCCAAGCCACTTGCGAGCAAGAACAGCAATAGTCGGAAATTTTGAATGGTTCTGCTTCCACCACGACAAAGCCGATGGGGGCTTGTCGGGAGCTTTGACCTCCGCCTCGCTCGACTGCTTCAAGTAGCTGCTTAGCTCCCACTCGCAGTCAGTCTTTAACTTGTCGTGCGTCGCAGCTGGTGATCTTGACGTTCTCGATCCGTACAACATCTTTAGGAAGCTCTGTCGAGCGCGGTCTGTAGCATCAGTCATTCGCTTTTCAGGGCTTTGAGAACGAGCTGCGTCGTTGTGAACCAAAGCAGACTTCTTCTTTAGCACGAACATCTCATCGGCAAACTGCTCCCGCGCCTTCTCATATTCATCCGCAGTGAAAATCGCCGAATTCGTCATGTAGTGGTCAAGCAACGATATCCACAAAAGGTCGGGGTCTGCCTCCTTATCAAACCGCTGCTTCAACAAGGCTGAAAAGCTTCGGCGGACGGATTGCATGATGGATAGCACTTCCATTGCGTATGCCTCCTTCTCGACACTTGTATAGAGAACATCAAATATTTGTTGGTTGTCCAGCGATCGTTTGAGTGAAGAGATGAAAAGATGAAGAGATATCAGCGTAGGATAGGTCTCTCCATCGAGCATAGTGGTGGCAACGCTGAACGGGGCCAACAGCTCGACCAGGCACTGAATCATGAACCACTGCTTGGCACTTGGAATCTTCAACTTTTTTGTAGATCGATCGTTAAACTCCTTCTCGCCTTCTTCCGACTTAATGTACAGGAAAAAATCTTTCACCGCAGGCTGCAAATCCAAACAGCGCTGGAGCATAACCATTGTGCTGTTCCATCTCGTCGGGCAATCGATCAACACTTTTAGGGGCTCTTTTCGAGTAGACTGCAGCTCATCTAGTCGATTGCGAGCCTTTTGTGAGCGATGGAAGTAGTCCGCCAGCTTTCGGAACCTTCGAACCGTTTTGCTAACCAGCTCCATATCAGCCGAGCTAATTTCCATAGCCGCTGATTTCTCGGCTTCTGCAACAAAACTGGCAACTTCCCCGCAAAGCGCATCAATATCAGCTTCACTAATAAACTCTTCGTCTTCACCGTCGTCGTCCGAGTCCGGGCCATTTTCCAAGGCATCCAGCTGCTCATCTATCCACTGGGTTTCCGTTTCCACATACTGCTCACTGCGCACACAGACGTCGTTGCCGAGAGTACTGCCAACTTCGCCAGGACTAACACCGGTGCTGGCACCATCAGTAACTGCTATCGCCTTCTTGCGTTCATCTCCTTTCTGCAGAAGCGCCGCGGCTACAACGAGGTGAAGTGAGTGCGCTGCGCATGATCAATGATTGAGCCCAAGGAGGGTGCATCCACGTTTCATGTTCGACGCAGCATCTCGTAGAAATCGAACACACTTCTTGGGGTCCAGACGCCACCACGCAAAGCAACGTAACAGTACATCTGCAATGTCTTCTCCATCGTGTTTTCCAGGAATAGAGGTAACTTCAAGTGTCCACGACTTCATGTTGAACAGGCTGTCAAGGTAGTGAACCGTTAAGCTTATAAAGCTTTCACACTTTATCGAAGTCCAAATATCCGACGAGGCCGAATAGAAGTCACATTCGTCGTCGCTCACCAGCATCACTCGCAGTGACAAACGGCGCTCTGAAGCATTTTCGTGGACACGGAGCGCGACCGTTTGTCTCGACGGGATCTCAAGAACAGTGGTTGCGCTGTTTGCAAACCTTATCGCCTTCGCGAATCCTCTGTCGCCGATGATACTTGTAGGTCGCAAATCCGTACCCACCCATTCCGACAAAATGCCCTCGAAGAAGCTCTGTTCCGATTCATCTTCTCGTTCAAACAAGTTCACCAGTTGGTTCGATTCTTTCAGGGCTGCTTCATGCCGCTCATTTTCTTTGAAAGCCCGTAAGGCCTCGATGTGGGATTTCCGCATGTGGGGGCCAACCAAACTCTTTCCCTTCTTGATGGAAAGCTCCTCCTTGCATCCAAAGCAATAAAAGCTCTTGGCGTGGTCGCGGGTGAGGTCTTGCCTTGGAATATCTTTGTACTTGTCGTCTACCACACATACGACGAACTGCCAGTACGCCTTGTCCCGCTGCTTAGGGGCCTCAAATGCCCTTCCAGCCGGGCAACTCGTGACGCCTTTGGCGGTCGGGTCCTGTTGAAGTTGTTCGTGTGAGCTTGGGCTGAAAGCTGAATGGTTTAACCGGGCTGCATTTTGCATGCGGGTTTCGGATGGCGCAGTCAGCCTTACACGCGTTGGTCCCGACGGGGTACTTGTCCTTGAAAGAGCTCCTCTTGGTGTAGTTGTCTTGGATGGAGTTGGGCGGCTTCGTGCTGGTCTCCGCGGAGAGGTTTTTGTTGGAGTTGGTTTTCTTGCCTTTTTCCGAGGTGGCTTTGGCGACGACGCTGGGCGGCTTCTTGAAGGCGACGCTGGACGGCTTCTTGAAGACGACGGTGTTGCGCAGCTTCTTGGAGGGGGGCTAGCCACCGGCCAGACGTGGCCTCGCATATCGGAATGAGCTTCCATGCTCACAGGCCCGTGAGTATGGACTTCGATCTGGGCGGCGAATTGGAGGATGAGCCGACAACAGACCACTGGTCGTTGATCTGAAGCTCACTCACGCAGGAAATGGACGGCGCTCCGGCATTTGAGATCTTGTCCATCCGCACAGCTTGCTTCGTGAATGTGGCATGGACGAGCTAAGACATGGCGAGCTTCTGATTGGCGTTCAAACAACCTTTTTGGCCAATTATATGGCTTAATTTGGTAGGGTGTCAAGGGACGTCAAGGCGACGTCGATAACGAGGTGTTGCTGACGTCCAGTCGACGTCCAGAAGCCCGGACGTCGACAGCTGTACTCGCCACCAAGACATTGGCGATGTTGTGAATCAGCACTTTGCATCTGTTTTCTTGTGATTGGTATTTGTAGAGTCTGCTACCATGCACAGAGTCCCTCTGTTTGGTTCTGTGCATGAGCATACACAAAAACGCTTGTTCTCTTGCCTATTCTGTGCTAGCAGGCTCTGTCTCCCTCCCATCGCCGAACCGTACGGGCAGCTTCGCTCTCCGCTCACAGCTGCTGCTCATTATATATTTTGCCACCAATCTACCAAGAACTCGGTACCCCGTCACTAATAAGCTTACGTAGAATGCGGTGGTCATCGTTGAGTCCCCTCCGATGCATTGCACTGGTCTGCACTGCAGTCGCCGTCTTCACGACCCCGACTACCGGCGCCGCAGTCTCGAACAAGGGCGAAGGAACCGTCCACGGGGACCTCCGCACCAGCTCCAAGGAATGGCCGTCCTTGAAGCTCCACTTCACGCTCAAGCGCGGCTCCATGCAGGTGTACGGCGAGTCGGCGTTCGACGTGTACGCCAACCCGGTCGTGTCCCGCGACGGTCTCAGCGTGACGTACAACGGATACGCCGACTTCAACGAAGGCCCGACGCTCACGCGCTACATGCTGGTGGACGGCGTCGCCTACGCCACTACCACGACCGAAACCAAGACCGACGAGGACCAATCCCAGACTCAGACCCAAACCCGAAGCGACGTCAGCTCCGGTACTTCTTCCACCTCCAAGTGTCTGGAGTCCAACATGCTGCCGCACCTCGACCTGATGATCCCCGCGCTCAACGACGCCACGTCCGTGTACAACGCGACTCTGGACGGCAAGCGCATCAAGTGCTCGGCCGGGAACCTGTTCAAGCTCAAGTTCGGAGGACTGAACCTGGCGCTGTGCGCGTCCGGAGCTGAAGGCGTCCACGTTTACGGCAGTGACATGGAGATCACCGTCAAGTACTTGGACGCGCCCGTGAAGATTACGGCGCCCAAGCTCAGCGCCAAGGCCAAGAGCGAGTGTGAGAAGGTGGTGAACGCCACGGCGGTGACGTCCACCTCCGCCGCGCTGCTCACGGGCGAGCCGATCCCTGAGAGCGAGTCCCGCAGTCTCGACTTCGGCTCGGACGTCGACCTGGTCTCGGCCACGTGCAAGTGCCGCACGACCCCGCGTCCGTGTCTGTTCATCCACGGTCTGGGCATCGACTACGCCAAGGAGGAGCTGCAGGACTCGTTCGACTACTACTGGGGCAACCTGAGCGACCACGCGCCGTGCTGCACCGCCTTCAAGTACATGATCTGGAACTCCATGGAGACGGGATGGAACAATGAGACTCAGCAGCAAACGTTGTGCAACCTCGCGACGTCGCTGGTCGAGACGGGCCCCCCGACCGAGATCACGGACACCATCATCGTCACGCACTCCATGGGCGGCCTCATGCTGGCCAGCGCCATCGCCAACGGCAAGTGCAGCCTGGGTAACAGCAGCTCGTGGATCGCCACCAGTCCGCCTATGACGGGAAGTATGGGCTCCGATTTCGCCCAGGAGTCCTGCGCTGGCGAGCACACGGTGCTGATGGAGGCCCTGGGCAATGTCACGGGTCAATGCCCCGTGCTAGGGGCTACCCTGTCACTGGCTTATGAGGACGAGGAGCACAGCTCGACCGAGCTCAACACCCAGTACGAGGCCGCGCAGGAGGTCTACCATACGCGCGTTCATGCTGTCATGTGCAGTAACGGGTACTCGGGACTGTTCTCCGTCTACCAAGCCATGTACTGCCTGCTCGGTGCCGGGCTACCCCACAAGTCGGGCAAGAACGACGGCATGGTGGAGTTCCAGAGCTGCGCCGGAGGATTCCCGCTCGAGCAGTTCGGTGACCATTATCTCGATCAGTTCTACGTCACGAAACTCAACCACGCCGACACGACGTTCTACAACGGTGACGGGCTCTTTAGCTCGGCCAAGAAGCCCGTCAAGTGGTTCGAGTGCGTGCTGTAGATCGACGCGTTAGGAACTTAATAGACAGACAACCAATAGAGAATTGCATTTCGACTGCAGTAGCCCTCAGAGCATCGCCAGCACATTACAATGGACGGACGTTCATGTGTTCAAGACGCTATTCGTAGCATTCGTTTCGATCCAAGTAAAACTGCACAAGACGCGAAAGCCTATTTCTGGCAGCAAAACGACCGACCCGCTTCAACTTGGGGCTATGTGGGGGCTTGAAATGCGCTAAATAGTCGAGAGCGTATTCTGCAGTCCGTCCAACATGGGGAGCGCCAAGGGGCCAAGCGCTGATATCAGCGCGTCTAGCCGAGTTCTGCCTGAGGGAGAGACTGAGACGGCCGAGAACGAGGCCCCGATTGAGGCATCCGGTGGCCAAGCGGAGATGACAACGCCTCAACAAGAAGCTGACCTACTGGCCAAACTGTCGTCGCCCATAATCCCCCAAGAAGCCTTACAAGTCGCAGTAGCAGACCCGACGACAGCTTTAGGCCCCGAGCTCCCGCAGATCATGTTAAAGGCGCCAGAACCCAAGGAAAACGAAGCAGATAACGACAAAGCAGCCCATCCGAACGATGATGCAGCACTCGATACAATGCGGTCGATTGAATTCACTAAAAAGAACAGACATCGCAGTTGGAAGATGGTGAGCAAGCTGGCAGTACTGGCCAAGTCGATGAACGCGCACTCGATCGACATCTACCACGATCGGAAGCTCAACACTAGTCGGTTTATGATCCACCCGAACTCCAAGTTGCGCCGAGCTTGGGAGGTTACGACTGTGTGTCTGGTAATTTATGTGTGCGCAATGGTAAGTCCTTCTTCGGTATGCAATTCAAACCTTCTGCCACGCTAATACTGTGTATGTTTGATACAGATTCCATTCATAATCGGATTTCAGTTTATCGACTGGAGTGGACTCAGCGGCATGAACACATTTATTGACGTATATTTCATCACAGGTTCGTCGGCGTCGAAGAGTGGGGATAACCGCATCGGAATGTACTCACTCATTGTTTTTCTTGTGCTCTCACAGATATGGTCATGACTCTACGGACGGGTATCGTGTCAAATGGCGAGGTGGTGATGGATCCTAAGAAAGTCGCGCGCAAGTACTTCCACTCGTGGTTCATCGTTGATCTCATCTCCAACTTCCCTTTGGTGTTATTCGTCTCATCGTCGGGGAAGTCATTGAAGATCGTAAAACTCCAGAAGATCCCCAAACTGCTACGGATAGGTCGCCTCCTGAAGTACCTCCGCGAGTACGCCAAGTACTACAACCTCATTGTCAGCTTTCTCGGCCTCGCCATGGGGCTGCATCTGTTCGCGTGCATTTGGGCGAGCTTGTTCAATGAATGCTATGGAGAACAAGGTGAAGTATATTGCAGCGAAGAGGATGTACGTATTTGTTACGACATAATTTCTTGATACCAACGAGAAGGCTGACATATTTCTCTCTCTTAGTTGGCACCGATGTATGTACAATGTATCCACATCATCATGCTTATGTTTTTAGGGATTGGTGAGAGCACCACATACTCGAGCATCGCGAAGCTTCGCAACCCCGAAGTTAGCGCCAACATCGAGCTCTACTACACGAGCATCACGGTGTTCATGCTCGGCACAGTCTTTTCGTCTTTCCTCTTTGGGAATGTCCTCGCCTTGTTGATGAGCTGGGATCAACAAAAGGCGCAGTTCCGCAATCGCATGGACATGATCAAGGCTGAGATGAAATACTACGAGCTGCCGGAGGAGCTGCAGCACCGCGTTCGCAGAAACTACGACTACCTCTGGATCAACGTAAGTTGTTCGACCCCTTCTCTCTTAGGAACACACCTCCCCATTAGCCTTCAGAAGCTCGTGTTTTTGGATATGTACTCACTCACGCTTGCATTTGGCAACAGCAACGCGCGTATTCCGACATGATGCTCCTGAACCAGCCTGGTATCTCCAGGCCGCTCAAGACGACCATCGCGCTTCATCTGTACAAGGATTTGGTGAACACCGTCCCGTTCTTCGCTGGCTCCGACTCGCGGTTCTTGGGTAAGGTTTGCCTAGCACTGGAAACCGCTGTGTACTTGCCAGGTGACACCATCATCTATTGCGACGACATCGGCAAGGAGATGTTCATCGTCCGTAAGGGCCTCGTCGAGATCTTGATTCCCGACTGCGGGGATTCGGACAAGCGAATTTACTTGCGAGACGGGAATTTCTTCGGTGAGACGGCACTTGTCATCGACGTACGACGTACGAACACTGTGCGCGCCGTCAATATCTGCGACTTGAACGTGCTCAGTAAGCATGCGTTCAACGAGATCGCCGCAGAGTATCCAGAATTCGGAGAAAGAATGAAGAGAACGGTGATCAAACGGCAGCTTGACAACATGAACATCACGTCACCCACGGAGAAAGCAAAGGTGCACAATCAGCTCACGATGGTCGTAGAGAAGTCGCTCAAGCAGCGGCGGATGTCCGTGTCGCTCCGCACCATATACCGCGCCAAGAAGCTGGGAGATAAACTCAAAGACATTGCCGACCGCGCATCGAAGCCCGTGCGTCGAATGTCTCGTGCTCTTGTTCCGCGTCAAGCTCGTGTTCGCCCTTCAACTCGGGAAGACTCGCAGCGCTCGTTCATCGAACCAGTGTTCGCAACAGACAGCACTCGGGACTTGGCACAGTATTCCGGACTCATCAGCGGATCCAGTGCAAAAAGTCTGCTGTCGAAGCGCCCTACACCAAGCTCAACCAGCAAAAGTTCCGGGTTATCAAGACAATCGACCCAGCCACCTCGAACCGCACCAGCGAACACTGCGCGAACCACTAATCTGTCTCGTCGCACGATTGACTTACCACTCGGCCAGAGTCTAACCAGCAACTCGCCACCTGGACCTCGACGAACACTGGACTTGCCTCCAGGTCCTCGAAGGACGCTCGATGGTCCTCGACGAACTGTGGACTTGCCAAACGGGGGTCGTCGAACCATCGACTCGATCTCGCGGAAGCTCAGTCGAACGGAGCTGACTTTGGACTTGATTCCAGCAGCGTTGGCTGATATTACGACGATGGTGGGGCAGATCCGGCAGACGACAGAGCTACTCAGTCTCCGACTGGGGGCATCTGACGGCTATGATGACGACGAGGAGGATTTCGACGATGCATTCGGTGAGGATTTGGCTATAGCCCTCCACGACTCCCCGCTTTTCCCTCCTCTGACCGAAGAAACGGAGGAGGAGATTGCTCGACGCGAGAGCAACAGCATCTTACGTATTCCTTGCAAGTTCCCTACCATAACAACACTGGCACTCAACAGCTAACGCCGGGTGTCTGTTTGTAGTTTGTGCCAAGTGCCAGCAACTCGAAAACTTCCAGTCGCACGGTATGACAGCAGCAAACAGCTCTGCTCCTTGCTCCCTCAACCTCGCTCACGTCGCTTTTGTTTGCCAATCTACAGTTTAGCAGCAAAGGAGGGAGCGGTCTCTCCATACTGCCAAAGCACAAGGACACATCCAAGAAGGGCTGACCTCAAGCATCACCGCGTCAGTCGAACGCCATAGAATGAAATCATTAAAGCAAGCGCAGTGTCATCATATCAAGTGCGTCTAAGTAATATTACATGCAGTCAATCTCCACTCTATTGTTTTTGGCTCCTGTGGCGATTCTGCTTTCCACTCACTCTTCTTCGACTTCTACCTGGGCGCTCTTGTAATCCGAGATAACTGAGGCAAGCAACATTTCCACTGTGACTGCATCAGACTTTTTGCCCTTCTTCTTAGCGCCATCACCGTGCGCATTGAGCTTGTCCAGAATTTTGTGGTTGAGTTCCGTCTTAGACTCGCCCAGCTTGTAGATGTCGTGGTCCACCGTATTCTCGGACACGAGCTTGTAAATGGACACAGGCTTCGTCTGTCCAATGCGGTGGCAACGATCGCAGGCCTGTTCGTCCGAGGTCGGGTTGAAATCCAAGTCGTGCAGAATGACTGTGTCTGCTGCTGTCAAGTTAATTCCGAGCCCGCCAGCACGCGTCGACAACAAGAAGACAAAGATGCCTTTGTCCTCGTTATACGTATCGATGAGCCCTTGTCGTTCCTGCACGTCGGTGGAGCCATCCAACCTCAGATACCGATAATCCATGTGGCTCATGAGCACCTCCATCAAATCCAGAAGTTTGGTCCACTGCGAGAAAATTAGGACACGGTGGCCCTCTCCTTGGAGCTTGGGAAGTAGTTTCCGCAAGTAATCGAACTTGGCAGACGCCAGCAGGGTATCCATGGACAACTGCAACTTGCGGAGCTCATCGATGGCTTCGTACTGCACACACAGATCATGCAGTTCAAAGTCGCTGTACGACTCAAGCTCCTGACGGACTCGGCTCATTGAGCACTGGTTGCCGAACGCCTCAGCCCGGTGCAAGCACCTGCTCATGGTCTCCAGCACCTCATCCGACACGAAATGGCGGCGGAGCAACACCGGGTGGTTTGCAGCTTTACGCAACTGCGTGAAGATCGACATGGCGCTGGGTTCGCCTCCGGGTGGCGTAGCGTAGCTGCCCATCAACTCGCGCAACCGTCGGTCGGCTTTGTGCTCTTTTCCCTTGTTTTTCTTGCGCTCCTTCGCTGCTGCCTTCATCGCTGCTTGGGCGTCTCGGCGCTTAACGACGGATTCAAGCAAGCCCGTGTATGCCTTGCGCTGCTCGTCGCCCACCTTGATAAGCTCAACATGGACAGTCTTGGGCACCAGCTGACTCAGCACGTACTTCTTCTCTCGCCGAAGGATGAAAGGCGCCAAAATCTTCCGGACCTTTTCACACTTCTTCTGCTCGTTACCATCAAAGAAGCTCAGCAGCTCATCTGAACCGTGATCAAACATCCGCGGCATCAAGAAGCTGAGCATCGTCAGCAGCTCATTCAGCTTGTTTTGGATCGGGGTACCGCTCAGCACCAACCGCGTACGCGCACGCAACGCGGTAATGCGCTTGAATCGCGAGGTATTCGAGTTCTTAATGCTGTGGCCCTCATCCAAAATCATGTAGCCAAACTGGAAGCTGCGCAGGAACGCGCGCTCCTCCTGGCATGTATCCCGCTCAAAGTAAGCGTACGTAGTCAGCAACACGTCAAAATCGTCGCTATCCAGCGTTTCCTCCAAATCGCGGCGGTGGTCCTTCGATCCATGGTACGTGACAACACGCATCTTGGGCGCAATCCACGACAGTTCGCGCGTCCAGTTATTCAACACACTGGCGGGCACAACAACGAGGTGCGGTCCGACCGCAGTTTTATCCGATTTCTCCAGCGACTTGAGAAGTAACAGGAACGAGATCGTCTGCACCGTCTTACCCAGTCCCATTTCATCGGCCAACACGCCCGACACCTTGTTTTCGTGCAATAGCAGCAGCCAGTTAACGCCGACGACCTGGTACGGCTTCAGTTCGAGCGTCTCGCAGATGTCCGGGATATCCGCCTGCGTCACCACGCGGCGATCACCGCCGTCGATAGAAGCGATGGACATGTGGGCAGACTCCTCTTCGTCCGTAGCGTCTGCGGGCGACGTGGAGGGGCTGGAGGGCGCCGACTTGGTCGAGTTGCCCGACCATTTCTGCACCGACCTGCGCAGCTTGCGCGCGATCTCTTCGCACTCTTCCAGCAGTTGGCCGACCTCGTCATGGGACCGAGAGTAATGCTCGTCTTCATCCGAGTCGTCGTCGTCATTTCCATGCTCGTACGTGAACCTCCTGGAGCTGCTGCTGCTCTCCTCCGCCTTCTTTTTCTTCTGCTTCTGCTTCTTATCCTCCCTTTTGCTCCTCCATCCGTCAGACCCCACAGAAGAAGAAGAAGAAGAAGAAGAAGAACTGTTCTTCTCCGTCTTGTGCTTCTTCACAACTTTCCGTCCAAAGGCCGCCATCCAGTCCTTGGCAGCAGACGTGGACGTCTCCAGCTCCTTCTCGAAGATATCGTCCTCCTCTCGGGGCGACGAGACGTCCGAGTCCACCGTCAAGTCCTGGATCTTGCTACTGGCGTCAGCCTCGTCGTCCGACTCCACAATGGCCCTTGTGCGCTTGCCGCGTCTTCTACTGGCCGGCGCCATCTCTTCTTCCTCCTCCTCCTCTTCTGCGTCTTCTGCCGTGCTGGAGGCCGTGACGTCCTCCACCTCCGCCTTCTTCTCCACTCTCTCCTTCTTCTCCTTCTTAGGACTGGGATTATTCACGCTCTTCCTGGCAAAGAACGACGACACCAGGCGAGGCGCAGCCGCCGCTCTATTGGCTCTACTGCTACTGCTGGCTTTGGTAGCGCTGGAGGCCGCCGAGCTCATGGTGATGCTCGGCACGCGCGTGGGCAGCACGTGCAGCGCCAGCTTGGGCGGCGCCGCGTCCGTGTCCACGACCTCGTACTTGGTGAGCGTGCCGTTGGCGTAGAAGGCGTCGCGCAGGCCCAGCAGCAGCACGTCGCCCTGGCGCAGGATGCTCTGCTTGGTGGCGCGCGTGGCCACGATGCTCGTCTTGCCGCAGCAGCGCAGCACCACCTTGGGCCCGCTCAGGTACACGGCGCCCTTGCCGCCGCACACGCGCTCCTCGGCGCCGTCCGCCGACAGCCGGAACAGCCGCCCGCTCACGCTCTCCTTCACGCCCAGCGCCATGGTCAGACGTGGGGGCAGTGGTGGAAGATTGGCAACTGGCGGGGGCCGTTGGCGCGGTTTTTTCATTGGCGCGAACCGAGGGCTCTTAGTCGCGCGCGGTGATTGGCTGGGTGGAACGGAGAGGGAGTGCAGTGCGTTGAGTTTGGAGGTGGAAACCTGTTAAAAGACGTGAATTGGAATAGATGATATTGGTTTGGACGTTTAGCGAAGTTTTGAACTCTAGGGTTGAGTAATTAGCCTAAAAATGATATGTAGTTGAGTGGGTAGAAGTTGAGAGTTTTTACTGTAAGCACCTATGGGCAGTCTCGAGCCGATAACAAGGCGACTGCAATTGATGCAGACGTAGTCGTGGGTCGCCAGGAGAAATTCCATGGCGCCATAACCTACACGGAAATTCCCGTGCAGCCGTTGTGAAGTATTCTGCACCACCGACGATGGAAACGACTGCTACGCGCACAAAGTTGAAAGCAACGGAAGCAACGCAAAGTATGCACGCGCCGAGACGGCCGATTTCTATTGCTGCATGTTTTGGTACGTGCTCAATTGTAGTGCAGTAGGCTCCGGACCGAAAAATGAGCCGGGACTCCTGCGACCTCTACAGCTACCTCTGCAATGACTCATGGCATTCTACAGTGCATTCCTCCTATCAACGCTGTAGCTGCTGCTATAGCTGCCGCTACAGCGTTGATAGGAGGAGAGCACTGCGTAGAATGCCATGAGTATGGTAGTACAGTACTATGATAACGCTTCCGTCCTGCGAGCTTAGACGCCACGGTCAGACTGGAAGGGATCATCACGTGAAACGTTGGCAGTTGCAGTTGCCCTTTAACAGGTTGATGACCGGTACAGTGTACCCTTTCGTGGACGTCTGACCTGGGCCCCACTTCACATTCCTCGAGGCAGAGCGCGTGCCCCGCCGCCGCCGCAGAGACGATGGAGAGCTTCCTGAGCGACGCAGCGGCGGACGAGCGCGCCCAGGCCGCGCAGCAGCGGCAGCAGTCCGACTTCTTTGTGCGGTTTCCGCACCTGCGCGAGTTCTTCTGCGGCGGCACGGCGGCTGCCATCAACATTGTCGTCACCTTCCCACCCAACAAGGTCATGTTCCGGCAACAGGTAGGCAAATTATTCTCTAACCGGTTAACACTAGCTTACACTAGTTGCCATTTAAAACACTAGCCTAAACGAACCGTGTGTCGTGCGCTGCAGTTATTCGGCTTAAACACGTGGCAGGCCTTTGAGAACGTGCGCAGCGAGGGCTGGATGATGCTCTACCGAGGCGTAAAGCCCCCGCTGCTGCAGGCCATGGTGTCCAAGTCCATCATGTTCGGGCTCTACAACTTCTACGACGAGTTGCTGACCAGCCATTTCGGAGAGATCAAAGGCTTGAACCTCGTGGCTGCGGGCATGGCAGGCACGTCCGAGGCCGTTTTAGCACCGTTCGAGGTGCGCAACAGTAATATGGGGCGTGATGTTGGTTGGTGTGTTTCAAGATTGTCTAAAATTTGTTTGTTGCATTCTACAGAGAGCCCAGACGCTGTTGCAGACGCCCAAGTTCAATCGGGAGATCGCGGGGGCGTACGATGCCATAGTCCACGTCAACAAGTACGGGCTGAAAGAGCACTACCGAGGTCTGACGGCGATTTTGTGTCGCAACGGACCCGGAAATATTTTATTTTTCGGGTTGAGAGGACCGCTTAGAGATCTCTTCCCGCGAGGAGACACGGCCGCTGCGACGATGACCAACGACTTCATCTGCGGCGCCATGCTGGGCGCTGTCATCAGCACGTTTACTTTCCCGATCAACGGTGAGCTATAGTGTGTGTGGTTGTTGGATGCTGGGTCTGAGTTTTGCTGACATTGTGGTTTACATTGTAGTGGCACGGACACGTATGCAGAGTGTGTATGGTCAGCCGTTCATCGGCCCGCTTGAAGCCTTGCAGCTCACCTATGCTGAGCGCGGCCACAGCGTGAGGCGGTTGTATCGTGGCGTGCAAATGAACTTCTTCCGGTCACTACTGTCGTGGGGCATCATCAACTCTACATACGAGAAGCTGAAATCAATCACATAAGCAGCGATAGGAAAAGAAACGCTAAGCCTATTTGAATAGACCCTATGGATAGCTTTGTAGGATACACTGTTCCTCCTTGATCGTTAAGTACCCGGCATTCTATGAAGCAGACCGGTAAAGCAGACACTAAATAATTTAAGGGTCGACGAACATGTCAAAAGGACACGGATGGATGTGCAAATTAGAAGCAGGGCTATGATAACGGAGACTCAGTGAAGGACAGGTAACTCATATTAAATATTGATAGTCTAAACGCATGGGAGCCGTCGTTGCTATGGGTTTGTTGTGCGTCGAGGCGCTTCGGTTCGCGTCCTCGCGCAGCTGTACCACCCCCAGTCGGTGGTGTCGAGGCTGCCACTGAAGTCGTGTCTTGCATCTTGAGATAGCTGCTGTACATATTGGCGCATACTTTGAACCATCTCGCAGGTCAGTTCCATTGCTGACTGCTTGGTGACGACTGCACCGTCAAATGTTGGCGGCAAAAGCACGCAAGTGGTGAAAGTCTAGGCCATTTATGCCGAGATGGCCTTGGCAGGCATCTCCGACATGCGCACGGCGACCATCTCGGACGGTCGCAGCATCTCGGAGGCGCGCACGTACATCTTATCAGTGTGGATGCGGTTGCCTGGACGAGGGGTGCACGGAGGGCAGTCCTCAGAGTCGGCAGAGGTGGGAGACTCGGGCTCGTTCGACACGCCGTCCTTGCGCAGGAAGAGCAGCACGCGGCGGTTGCGCGCGTACTTGTGCGAGCGTCGTCGGTCGACGATCTCAGAAATGCGCATCATTTCCTCCTCCGTGTCCTCGCCGTCGCTTAAGTCCTCCGAGAGCGAGTCGCCATCAGATCCGTCACGCGAGACCACGTCGGCTTCCGGCTCGGGCTCGGCGGCCTCTTCCACCTCCACTTCGTACTCGGCGTCGTCCTCCAGCACCGTCGTCAGGGATCCGCACTGGTTGATCGGCGTGCGGTCGGCCGGGTTGAGCTCGATCGGCAGGATGGGTTTGTGGAACGTGTAGGCCTTGTGGCTCGGGTCCTGCACGATGGCGCTGCCCAGGAATCCGCGCAGGATGGAGAGCCCAATGGGGCTGATGTCGCGGCGCGTCAGGTAGTTCTGGCAGATGAGCAGGCGGTGCAGCCCCATGAGGTACTCGAGAAAGGCGTCGCAGCGGTGCTCGACCACCTTGCCCATATTGTGGCGGAACTTGTGCTTCTTGGGGAAGTAGAGCTCGTCCGCGAGGCTCGAGATGCGCGGGAACTCGTCGCCGAAGAGCTTGAAGTGCTCGGCCACGAGGCCGCGCAGCATCATGAAGTCCGAGTAGCGGCGGTGCACGACCCAGCTGCGGCCGGTGATGGCGTTCTGCACGTGCACGGCAAAGATGGTGGACTTCTTGCCGTGCAGCTTGTCGGTGGACACCACGGGCTTGACGTGGTACACGGCGATGGAGCCCACGTTGACCATGGAGCGCTCGATGGCGGTGCCGCCCATGGCCACCTGCAGCGTCTCGCCGCCGCGGTTGGTGGGGCGCACCACGAGCTGCGGCACGTGCTGCTGCGCCTGCGCCGCCAGCGCCTCGGGCGTCGCGCGGATCGGCCGCATGCGGCGCGCGATGGCCGAGCTTGACATTTTGTTGTTCGGCATTGCTGCTGCTTGCTGCGCTTGCCTGTTGTACTCGGCTCACGGACCTGTCCGTCGCTCGAAGTTTTCACGAATGGTGGGGGCCATGGCGCGCGTCGAGCAGCGGGCGCTGGCTCGTGCGCAGTGCCGAGACCGGTAAGAGGGCAGCAAACGGATCGCCATTACTACCCGGAGCGCCTATTCCACCCCCCTGGTCTCTGAACCATTCCGTATTTGGGGTTGGGGTTATATATTCGATGTGATTGGAGGGCGAAGGGTCATGACGCCGCCGGATTGGCGGAAAAGCAACATCGTAACGTTGTATGTTGCAGTTTGCTACGTGGACGCGTGCAACCCGACGGGAAAATCCCCACCAGGAGCTCCGCTGCGGCAATTTTTGAGGCGGTATCCCCAGCGCGGGGCAGAAGCTCCTGCGGAGTTCATCCCCGCGCCGACAAATCTGTTAAGCCGGAAGTGCTTGCCACCGAAGCTGGGCTGAAGAGATGCAGCGCATCGGCTGTGCCGTGCCCGCCCCTGCTGGGTGCGGGGGGCTCCGCATCCGCGCCGGATGCTCGTAATATTTTCCATAGTGAGAGGAGGCCACTTGCCGGGCCTGCCTCAAGCAAACCAACACCGGCCGGCGCAACCCCCTCACAGAGCGAGGGCGCTGCATCAACAAGCAGCGCCAGCCGCTGTCCGTCGCCGACGGCCGACGGTGGCCTCTCTATCCCAGCGATGACCTGAACGACGACGGGTATTTTTTCGCCATGAGGAGACGTACAACCCCCGTCAGCTTCAGTTGAAGTCGGCGAGGGTCGAACTCCACACGAAGCTGTTGTTACTCCCGCGCTACACGCGATTACCTTCCACGTAATTTGCCAATGCTCCTAGGTTCACGTTTGTGGTGGCGAACCCGTTTCGTTACGAGCTTCGCCCAAACTCGCCAAAAACACACCGAGTTTCCGTTTCCGCCACGCTGGACGTACAGGGCACCAACACCGCGACGCATGTGGCCGCCAAAAAGCTGCATGATGAAGGCAGCATGGCATCTCTCCGTGATCAAAAATTACACTTGCCGACTTTCCCCTTCTCACTCCATCCGGCGCGGCCGAAGAGCTATGTCTCCCTCTTCAAGCATTGCCTCTGCGTGGCCCCTTGCAGGCCCAGCTGGTACTGGTCCCCCCAGCTCACGTCAAAATATTCCGATCCACCCGAACTGCTCCCCTTCAAGCATGCCTGCAAGCCTCAAAAATTGACTTGAAACACTGCGGATCGGGAAAGGACTCGGGAACGGCAAGCCTGTGGCTTTGGCTGCGTTGACGCCCAGGAACGAAGTGATCATCACGATGAGCCTCTAAAAAATCTGGAGCTTAAGTATGCACACGTACAACGGTGCTGCCACTGCTGCTGGCTGCGTGCATCACTTGGGTTGAGCTCGCGGAGAAGTCACCTTGCCAGTCCAAACCAAGCCAAATGCACGCGTATTTTCGAGTCTCTTTGGTCTGTCAGCAGTGGCCGGTACACTGTAAACGAGACTGGTTTGGTCATGATGCTCGTCGAGCATCGCTCGAATATGTATAAAGTTACACCACCACCAGAAAATGACATGGCGAGCTCCACCTCTCGTAAAAGGCAACACGTTGTTGTTGCCTTTTCTACATCGCTCACCAATTGGTCAAACGTTTCATCCAATCACATCCATAAAAAAATTTAACCGCGCACCAACGAAAAGATGGCTCGGCAGAACCTGCAGAGCACCGTGCTGCTTGGCAGCGACTGCCCGTCGAGCTGCTTGGATGGGGTTCCCGTTATGCTAGGTATCGATGAGGCTGGTCGCGGTCCCGTCATGGGTCCCATGGTGTATGGGGCGGCGTACTGGCCGGTGGCCGACAACGACGCCATGTCCGCCTTGGGGTTCGACGACTCGAAAGCTTTGAGCGCTGAGAGTCGCGCGCAGTTGTTCGAGAAGATGCAATCCACCGAGGGCCTCGGGTGCGTGACTAGTAGTTCAATGCACTGGCAGTTTGTATAGTGCTGATTACTGAAGGTGGCGCGGTGTGTGTATTGGGCAGGTGGATCGTGCGGTTGATCTCCGCCGCCGAGATCTCGGACAAGATGCAGCGCCAGACCAGCAACCTGAACGAGATGTCGCGTGACGCGGCCATTCAGCTGATCAACGAGGTGCAGAAGAAGGGGGCGGTCGTGAAGAAGGTGTTCGTGGACACGGTGGGCGACCCGCGCTGGTACCAGAGCTTCCTGACCAAGCACTTCAACGGGACCATCGAGTTCCGCGTCGAGAAGAAGGCCGACAGTCTGTTCAAGGTGTGTGCGGTAGTGGTAGATTGATGCATATATATGTTGTGTTTTGCTGAATTTTTTGTTATTGCGTGCAGGTGGTGAGTGCGGCGAGTATCGCGGCCAAGGTGACGCGCGACCGCGTGATCAGCGACTGGAAGTGGGAGAGTCCAGCGCTCGACTTCCCGACAGACTTCGGCTCCGGCTACCCTAGTGACCCCAAGTATGTTGTGCTGGGTGTGGGGTGCATCGATGGAGATATTGTTGCTGATGCGCGTGTTTGTGTGTTGACCTTGTTGCAGGACGAAGGCGTGGCTGACGACCCACATGGACCAAGTGTTCGTGTTCCCGAATATCATCCGCTTCAGCTGGGGCACGGTCGAGCCGTTCTTCGAGAAGGCCGTGAAGGTCGAGTGGCCCCACGACAAGGAGCTCGAGAAGGTAAGTGGGGGCTGGAAGTCTCTTCAACTTCTGAAAAGCATCGCTCTAAATATTTTCTTATTTTTTTTCGCACGCAGGCCAATGCCCCCACCGGCACGCAGTCCATCACGTCCTTCCTCGCCAAGCCTGCCAAGAAGGCCAAAACGTCCGCCAATGCTCGCGCCGCCTTCTTCACGCAGAGAAACCTGCAGGACGTGACTGATTTCTAATAGAAAAAATCAAGCTCACTAAAAAAATGCCATTCTAAATCGCATCGCGGTCTTATTCACTAGTCTCACATACAAACTTCAAGTGACTCTCTCACTCCCAAAGAGCTCCTCGTCACCGTCATGGACGCCCCCGAGTGCCTCCACCGCGGCGAGCTGTTCCAGTTCAGCGCGCAGTACGGCGGCTGGCTGCGCATCAAGCTGCTGCTCTTCAGCCACGCGCTGGTCGTGGACCCGGACGCGGACGTAGGCGCGCCCCGCCGCAAGCGTCGCGGCTCGCTCAAGCTCTGGATGGACCTGTGTCTGGTCAAGGACATCACGCGCGTGCAGAAGGAAGACGCCGCTGTCGCCGTGCGTCGCGGCAGCTACAGCGGCAGCAGCAGCAGCGGCAGCGGCCAGACGGAGGACGCCAGGTTCAAGTTCAGCGTGCACACGAAGCAGCAGCCGGCGCTGCAGTTCGCCACGGCCACGGTGGAACAGAGGGACGAGTGGCTGCACTGTCTGCTGCTCGCCACGAAGCTCCAGGCCACGCACGAGACGCAGGAGCTCCAGGCCGATCGAGATGGTACTTATACTAACTTCTAGTAGGTTACTGTGTAGTGCTGGAGGCTGACGTGTTTGGTGTGATGTTGCTTGGTGATAGTGTTCTTGAGGTTCGCGTCGAGTGGGTCGGAGGACAGTGAAGAGGAGGAGGGGGAGAGCCGCGTGTCGAGTCCGCCGACGTCGTGGTCCGAGGAGAGCGCGCTGCGGTCGGCGCAGTTGCTGTCGCAGCGCCCGCGCCCCACGGCCGTGCAGGTCAGTGGCAAGTGAAGCAGGTGGTGGGTGGAGAGACGGAGAGAGGCTGATGGATATCTATCTGCTGTGTTGTTGCTACTCGAATTAAATAGTCCAGTGTAAGGCAGGCGGAAACGACGAGAAGTCCCGTGTCGCTCCTGATCCTACGGGTCACGGCGACGGGCGATAGGGGCGACAGGTTGGTGCTTTTGGTGCTGGTGTTTAAAAGCCGTAGTTGACGACTACACCTTGTCCTTGTCATCAGCGTGTCGACGATTGTGCCGGTCAGCGAGGCTTCTCAGGACAGTGTGACTGTCCGCCAGGTCAAGCTGGACGCCATTAAGCAGTTGCAAGCGGAGCTGCGCCGGCCTGCCAATGAGGGCAAGACGTCGACGACAGGGCTTTTGCAGAACATTTTGCAGCGTGAAGCGGACACTTTCATCCTTTATCTGGATATCGGCGACCAATGGCTGAAGGACGAGCAACAATCAATTGGCCATTACATTCTCGGATGCGCAAGTCGTAAGATCGAGCTCGCGTTGCTGCCTTTGAACAAGATGCCGCAGCCCACCCTGGATTTGTCCATCGTTGGGACCAAGACCAAGATCAGTGACCTATCGCAACGTCCGTATACTTGCTACTTGATCGACATCGTTTTCAACGGCACGACATGGCAGCTCGCGCGGCGGTATAAGGAGTTCGACACGCTGCATAGCCACCTGAAGAGCAAGTATCCTGATATTGATGTACCTGGCTTGCCACCGAAGCACGTGTTCACCCCATTGGAAGGCGAGTTCATCGACTATCGCAAGGAGCAACTGGAGTCGTTCCTGAAGCAATTGCTCGTTCACCCCATAGCCAGCACCGACGTGCTGCTGTTGTCATTCCTGGGCGTTGTGTCAGTTTCGCGTGATCCTGAACTCAGCCGGAGTGAGAAGAGTGTGATCCACGTAACCTCATTACACAATAGCGTTGCTTGTGGCGACATCATTTTGTTTTCCTGTCGATTCGGAGCGAGCCGACTGCAACGCAAGGTGCGTAAAGCTTACCAGGTTTATCACTCAATCTGATAGAGCTAACAATGGTTTACGTGCAGTTTACGGGATCCAAGTATGACCACGTAGGTATCGTTGTTCCGGGCGAGTCATGGTTCTTGCTGCGCATTATGGAGGCTACGTCCGAGGGTATTCAGGTGTACTCTTTGAAGCCGCGTCTGATGGCCTATGCTCGCGAAGTATCCAACTCGATCGTCGTCCGCCGCGTTCAAACGGAGCGTTCTCCGGAGTTAATTGCGATGCTGAAGGATTTCGTGCATCGGGTTGATGGAAATCCCTACAGCATCTTCGGCATCCTCCGCTCCACTGGTGAATCAGAAAGAAGCGTCTTCAGCTCGATCCGTAGCTGCGCGGACGAAAGTGAAGACTCCTTCGCCAACACTGGCAGCAGTACGAGCTCATCGCCATCATCTCCGGTGACCGATATTTCCGATGCGTCCAAATCCAAGCGGAAATACTTCTGCTCCAGCCTAGTAGCATCGGCTTGGAAAGAGCTGGGTTGGTTGCAGACCAAGCGGAAGTCAAGCTCGTTCTGGCCAGGAAGTTTCGAAGACGGAGGAGAAGTCGAATCGCTGTTGGCTCCGGGTCTTGTCTTGCACCCCGAGACGGTGATCGACTGTCGGATTGTAGAAGTTGGGCTGTCGGCTCAGTGCTAAGGTTGGTAGCAATGCACATACAATGTTGGTCTAGCACGTATTAATAATGATAGTGTGATACATGAAGAGCAAGTAGAATACTTTGAAAAAAAAGGAGGAGAGTTCCCCTCACTAGGAGGGATCCACATTTTATGAGTTAGTTCCACGGCGCACTTTAGTAAAAGGCGAAAGATCGATGCGAATGAAATTAACTTTGCGGAAATCATTTCTGAACTGTTTTGCTCAAACAGCTAAACCATTTTGCCCAAATGTTATGTCCGCTCACAACAAAAACAATGCTGACCATAACTGTCGGCCGAAAAGCTAATTCTGGCCGTCTAATGGTAAGGTTGTTGACAAAATACAAAATAGAATACACTGGAGCAACTCCCGCAGCGTTTTGAATCTTTTTTATGCCAGCTCAAAATCTGAAAGAGGGGGTACCCCCTCTTCCAGATCTGTCAGGTGCCAAGATTTATTCCTGCTCTTTCTTCGCACGTCTGAGTTCAGTTTTGGAATCTAAAGCCTGCGGGAATCGCTCCACTATTGGCCCTTTCGTTCAAGTGGTGCCGCATGTCCTAATAAAGTGTTGTAACGTGGCGAGCAAGCGGTAGTTCTCCTGAACTACTACCAGTAGTATTCCAGTAAAAGGAAACGAGTTACTAGTTACTGGGTCCTTTTGCTCAAGCGTTCCTAGCTACTATAGTAATCGTACTATAGTACTATCAAACTACTGGCTGAATGTGGTCCACACACTTAGTTTTAAGTATATTTTCGGCAGGTTGTCACGAAATGGTCAAATTGTTTAAATATTATATATTATTTAAGGGTGTGACTTTGACATGTGAGAACATCTGGTCGCAAACGGACGTGCGTTGTAAGTAGAGCTTACTCTGACTGAAATAACACCTCAATAGTAGCCCCTCGTAGTCACTATCAAGAAGTTTGTATGGAAATTGCCCGAACCCTATAAAATGATTTTCGGCCGCCTTGAGACGTTGTTTCGGTCCGAGGAAGTCGAATCTCTGTATTAGGACTTTGTATGGGCTCGTCATCGGAAGCAACTTCTTTTTGCTGAAACAACATTTGGCAGTTATTCTGTGTTAATTGGCCAATGATCGACCACCTTGGGTAAGAAAAGGTAGTCGACAAATTTTCTGGAGAATTTTAGATTTGATTTTTTTCTGAGGACTATGGTGAATTTTGAAGTGGGGTCATACCAAAAAGTACGAGTTCATACCAGAATATACGAGTTAATACCGAACAGTACGAGTTCATACGAAAATGTACGAGTTCATACTAAAACATACGACTTCATACCAAAAGGTACGATGTGTGTGTACAATAAAGTACGACCTGGTCGGCTTCTCGCCACGTGTTCACTTTCAAATCGGCGCGATGGAAGCACACTTGCGGTGCTTGGCCATGTTCGACTTCGCCACGAGCTTAGGGCACGTAGGGCACTTGCCCTTCGGTGGACCGTCACCGCCCTCCATTTCCGACCAATTTCTACGACTGAGAGCCGGATCTCCCATTCAGGATTCCTCGATGCTTAGTGGTCAATATTATTTTTGGCTGATCTCGCATATGATTGGCTGAAATAAAATGTTATTTGGCGTTATTTCAGGGAAAGAAGTAGTAGATACAAAATCTCGCGATGTACCAACGACAAACGACACCAAAATATGTAGACCCAGTATTGCCGCTTGCAAATACGTTGCCCTCTAAAATAGACCACGCCTGTCTCTTAATATGAGTGGACACGAGATAGGCGAGGGATGATTTAGCTTTATGCTTTGTTGGGGGTCGCTTTTAGGCCTAGCAACTCGGTTTGGCCCGTCTAGAATGGCATTTCTGCGTTTCCAAGTCGTAGCAAAGCGTGAAACAGACCCCAACCTTGCATCTTAGACCTGTACTGGCGAGATGTATAAATCAGACCTAGGTCTCAATTAAGAGCTTGCTAGACTAAAATCGAGATTATTAACGAGATAATAAGCATGCGTTGGCCAAAATATCTGCAAACGGCAATACTTCTTACCGCCGTCGAACGAGCACAGGGGCTTACGACATTTTTTCCCTATTATGCTGAGCAGCAACTTGCGTACCAGCGGCGGTGCTAAACTATTGCAATCAACACTCACCATTTACTCACCGCGATTAAACCCGAGTGGAGCTTTGGGCTCTGGGATAGACTCAGCAGGCGAGGGGTTCGCGAGCGAACGTATGTGTCATTTCAAGTTGTGAACCTCAGGTGAACCTCAGCAGTAACTCGATAGTATTATTGGGGGCGTGGATGAGTTACTGGTTACTATAGCGACAGTACAATCAGAAAGTGCCAAGTTACGGGTTACTATAGTAGAAGTAATAGTACTATAGTACTATATTCTACTGGCCTCGCGAATTACTACCAAGCCCTGGTGACGAGACGTTGAAACATGCTCGTAATAATCATACTACTATGTAAGGGCAGCAAGGTAATAGCTAGGTTGTAAAATAATTAGGGGGTTCCCCTCACAAGGAGGGATCCAGAAATTTGGTTGAAGCCGCATTTAGTAAGTCAATTCCACGGCAATCTTTAGTAAAAGGCGAAAGATTGATGCGAATGAAATTAACTTTGCGGAATGGTTTGTTGATGTGAAAATGACTTTCGCCTATTTATTTTCGGTACCCTCGCGAGCATCTGCAAAATAATTGAATTGAAAATCGGCATTGCAAGTCCAGCTTAGAAGTACTCCTCGAAGAAGGTTTCCAGCTTCTTTGAAAACGGTAGATAAGGGTTGGCATTGCGGTAAACTGCGATAGCCGACAGCGCCTCGACGAACTCGGAGAAGACAAACTCGCTGTCGGCATCGTACCCATTGATGCTCGAGGCGGTGTTGACATCCCCGTCTTGCTGCACGAACGCAACAAGCTGCTTGATTTTGCCGTGCGGGAAGAGCGCGTCAATGAGCCGTCGATCCTTCAGCAAACTCTCAAAGTCGCTCAGATCCAGCAGCTTCCCACGAGACTGAGGGTTCTTGTTCCTCTGCGAGTACGTGTTGAAAATCCGCTTGAGCTTTCTCTCTTGGGCCTTGCAGACATGCTGCACGTCCGGGTGGATCATTTGCTTCTTGAAGGTCAGTCCTTGCTCCTGGAACTTCTTCGTCAATGGCACGACCTTGTCGACTACAAGATCAACGACACACGTGAGGAGGGATCCCGCCCCGCTCACAGTCTCGGCCGCAACCTCGTCGCCCATATTCATCATCGTAGCGATCTGGCCCATGAATTCACGGCGTTTTTGGTAGTTGTGGTGTGCCACACGGGTAAGCGCTTCGAAGAACTCGTTGGGGGTTGCGCCTCGATCCTCCGGATCGTCATCGCCATCAGCACCAGGAGGCAGCCCTGGGGTAAGGAAACTTTCCCCTGGGTTGGAATTATCCAGCGGGACCCCTCCGTTTGACTGGCGAGACTGCTGGTAGATCATCTGCAAGTGAGACCGCAATATGTTCTTCTTGTTGGTGACGCCGGCCTTGGTCATCACCTTCAAGAACTCCTGCTCCAGAATGCCCTTCCCACCAGCGGCACTGCCGTAGATGCGGAAGATTTTGATCAAGTCCAGCACGTTATCCTTGTACACCTGCTCAATTTTACGGAACTCGTCCTCGCTCTCGCAGAGTGACAACAGCTTCGACGGTGGTAGCGAGACCCACGATGCCAACGTTTCTTTCTCCAAGGCCACCGAAATGTTAGAGTCTTTGCCCAGTACCCTCCTGGAGAAGTCATTGAAAGCCTCTCGAGTGACTGCACGTTCGTGCCAGCTCGCGATATGCCGGACAGACTTGCAGATGCCGATAAACCGAAGGAACTGCAGGTTGATGCGCTTCAGTTTTGTCAAGAAAATGTAGAACTGCTGCTGCGCGAACGGGTCGCACTCGTTTTCTAGCAGAGAAGTCTTGACTTTCTGCCACTGTGGGGTCAGGAACGAGTAGCTGAGGTGATACCTAGGAGAGAGCTCCATCCCGGGCGCGACGTAGTTCGGGTGGAAGAGATACAGGTACACTGCGTAGGCATACAGTGAATCAAAATCGTTCAACACGAAGCTGTCGCGAGTAACGATGTCGGGCGGGAGGTTCAGTATCCTCGGCACAATCTTGAAGTATGACCTCAGCTGAACTTGTGCAGAAGGTGAGAGCGTTGTTGCTGTGGTCGAGCTTTCGGCTGCTAAAGATGCAGCCGTGTTAGATAATTCCGTGCTTCGGATCCGGTCGTACTCAACCTGAGCTTCCGCCGACGTGTGTATCAGTAGCTTGAGCATGACGCCAGGACTGGCGATGACGGTTCTTAAATCTTGCAAGAACTTGATAGGCTTGAGCTCCTTCTTCTTCTCCTTTAATCGGAGCTTCGTGGCTTTGGCACTCGATGGTTTTTCCGGTGCGGTGGTTGTTCTGTCCCCAGTCGCTCCTTTGTTCGTGTCCGCGATGGCTTTAGTGTCACTCGTATCGCTCACAGGCCCCATTTCAGCCCCTCGTCGGCGCTGGAAATTCAGCCATTGAATCAGACTATCTGACGGTGGAGACCTATCGATTTTCTCGATCGTGTTATCCAAGAGTTTCCTCATTGTTTCGTCGTCCTTCTCGTCGTCAAGACCGAATCCGTCGATTTGAGGCATTGCATGCCCGCTGCTCAACGCATCGAGCAGCTCATGACCATGAGCACCTTCGAAGAACGCGCCCGCTGTGGTGGGGTACATTTGAATAAGCTGCAGCGTTTCTGAAGAGGACAAGAGGGGAGTGAGTAAGTTACAGTGCAAGAGAGCTAAAATTTTAAGTGAGAGATCAGCCTACTTTGAACGCTGTGATCGGCTTTTCGAAGAGAAACGTGGAGCAGCTCCAGAATGGAGTCGCCAGCAGTGTATACCATCTTCAGCATTTCCTGCTGGATTTCTTTGAGTCGATCGATTTCCTAAAAACACACGTGAAGAGTTACAAGAGCAGTCCAACCATGTAAGAGAGTGCTTCTAAACCAAACCTTCTGGGCTTCGTGCGGTGTATCTTGTCTGATAAAAGCACGCGCACACAAGATTATCAGGCTTCTACTCAGCTCACAGATGTATCTCGCATGGAGGTTTGAACTTACAGCTCTTCTTCATAGTGACGACGCAGTTCCTGAAGCTTCTCTTTACTTCGAATTTGAAGGAACGACCGCCAACTCCCCCAAATTCGCCGCAACCTTGTCATCTCAGTCCTGCGCGAGCAATCTGGGTTCAGTAATTTATGTATGGTCAACTTGTAGCAAGCAATAAGTGAGCGTACCTCTTGCAGGCCAGTTGAAAACGCTGCACTCTCTCGTCTGTCACTCGCGCTACGTATCCTCTCCACACTGAGAACACGTCCTGCTTCAATTTGTGGTTTGCTTGTGATTCCTTGATGAATAACAGACGCTGGATGTTGGCGTCCTGCCGATGAGCATTCGCGTTGGCCTTCTTCCACGCCACGAAGATCATTCGCATGATCTGAAACCGGAGCATCAGCACCGTGCGGTTCATCATCATGATCGCAGCTTTGGCGCGAACGAGGCCAGCTTGCTTGAAGGTCGCCTCCACCCGCATCGCGACTCGATCGAACTTGGCATAGTCGAGAATTCGCTTGGCTAGCTATTCAACCAGAGCCAATTAGTACGCTACGCAACCACAACTCCTCTGCTTCTGCTACAAAATGTACCAACCTTGTCTGCCTTGATCCGTGGATCAATGCTCAAGATCATGTCAATCAGGTATTTCAGCCGGGGTGCGTCGCTCATCCGCGCAGAGCCACAGAACGAGCAGCGGAGCACCCACATGAGGTTCGTAGAGTTGCAGAACCCGCACGTGACAGGCTGGCTGCACGTTACTATGGGGTTGTGCGCTTCGCTCGGGGGCGTCTGCGTAGTCGAGAAGACCACGTGCGGTGTAATTCCGCGGTGATCGACGTTCCCTTTCGTCACCATACCTCCGTCCCGATACTCTGTTGGCCCCACGAGCGAGCTGAAGAATTGGGCTCGATGTCTAACATCGGCTGCGCCTTGTGCATGTCCGTCGTCACTGCTGTCACTGTCGCTCTCTTCGTGGTTATCGTGGATACTGCTGACTACAGCGTGGGTTTTCTTACGTAGATGCGTCGTTGCCGCCTTCCGGTTCAAGTCGCTCTTACCAGGCACATTTGAAGAGGAGCCATTGGACGCTTGAAGCGCGTGCAGTCGCTTACTGGACGCGCTCCCCTCTATAACGACGTACTTTTGAGGGACGACCCCGAGCTTGTGCGCCGTTGGATGAGCTCCAGGGCTTATAGCTACAGACATTCGCCGGCGTGCATGGCTCGCTGGCGCCACGTCTTGGTTCTGAATGTCCGGTTCGCCTGCCCGCGCTCCTAGAGGCTCCAGCGAGTTATTCCTTCGCGACGGCGGCGGCTTGCTCGATGAAGGGTCCAAGCTCCGCAGAGGTATCGACTCCTTGGACTTCTGCATTACAATACAAGAAATGGCGCAATGCGTGACCGGTCGGGTAACGTCCGGTCCGGAATGAAGGTCGTAGAAGTTGCCGTACCGTCACTCTTGCTGTCAAAAATCAAAAACGTGTCTATTCTGGTGCTCGAAGAGCTCACTCACTCCGAGAAAGGCCTTCCTTCGACCAGGTAGCTAGCTCATCGACCCGCAAGGAAGGAAGCAGAAAGACTCGCGGGTAGAGAGAGAGAGGTACTTGGTATTGTCCTGCGGGGGTCTTGCCAAGAGCCTCAGAATCCGGCGATGTCGTCCCCAGACCAGCCTCGAGCAACTCGTGCTGGCGCAGGTCTCCGCGTTAGTGTCGCTCGTGACGATGAGCACTCGCACTCGGACGCTGGGTCTGCATCGAGCCTTTCCTTCGCGACCGAGCTGCTCTTCAACCTGGACGACGTTCGCGCCGACTGCGCGTCTGGTCTGACGGCGCATGGCAACTTGGTGACGATGCTGAGGAACCGCATCAGCCTGGAGAGGACGTACGCCCACGAGCTGAGCAAGATGGCGCGGTACTCGCGTCTGGACGAGCTGGAGCACGGCACGATGAAGAACGCTCTGTCGAGCTTGAGGGCGCAGTACCTCAACACGAGCGTGCAGCACCAGCAGTTCGCCAAGAACCTCGAGGAAGACGTGCTGAGGCCGATCGAGATCTTGTACGAGGTCAACAGCGAGCGAGAGCAGAGTCTGGCGCGGCGAATCAACAACGTCAAGAAGGACGTCAAGGTGCTGCATGCAGGCTAGACTGAAGCTTTTATCGTGCTGAACGGATCGAGTCGAATTACTCACTCTTTTGTTGTAGGTCCAAGAAGATGCGTACAGGAAGGACTACAGCGCCTTTGACAAGAACTTCCGCGATGCTTCTGCTTCATTCTCCGCTGCGATGGACTCGGGGTTCTCCAGTACGTTGCTTGAAGACCAGTACCACCAGCGTCTTGCGCAGATGGACGTTGGCGACAGTCCAGCGAAGGCGAAGAAGGCAGGGTCGACCGCTCTAACGATCCGCCACGACAAATCGACTGGCGCTGGTGCGCTGAAATCGATCAACAACAATAAGCTCGTGAACTGGCTGCGGTCGTCCGAGAGCCACCGGAAGGAGGACCTGGCTGGCAACACCGTGAAGCTGATGGAGGTACGGTTGGCAATGCGTGTTGTAGTTGTGAGTACAGGAAGTAACTTGTCTGTGTCTTGTCTTGGTGGGGTCTCAGGCTGCTGAGAAGTCGAGGAGGAAGTGCCTGGAATCGTGGCAAGGCGTCGAAGTGAACCGAATCAGGATGTATCGCGCTGTTCAAGCGGTGCTTGCGGATTACCAGGTGAGATCTGAATGTTGCTACTTTGTGAGTAACTCATGAGATTTGTGAGTACTGTATCCCCTAACTTTCAACGTTATACTTGCCGTAGCAAATTGCAGAGGACCGCATCGCCACCATCGCCACGAACCTCCGCAAGCACGTCGTGTTTGCCTCGTCGACCCTGGCAAACGAGCAGTACGACTGGCAGGTCATCGCGCCAAAGTTCGAGAACGTCGACGTCAAGAGCGACATCCACGACTTCATCCGCTCCACGCGTGGGAGCCGAGGTCGGTTCCACTTGGCGGACTTGACTGTGAACGATTTGTGTAACGACACCACCCAGTCGTTGGTGACGTCGCCATCCTCGAAGCCGTGTCGGCCGCTGCGGAAGACTCGCCTCGAGATCCGCGATATCTCGTCCAAAAAGGTCCCGTTCGACTACGATGGCAACCAGGAGCCTCTGCGTGAAGCCTTAGGCACTCAACCCAGACGATCCGGTGAAAATCATGGTCACGAAGACCGAGGAGCGCGAGATCAAGAGCAACATCCTTCCTCTCGTGATGAATACGCTCGGTTGCGTATCGATTGCAGCGCTTCGTCCACGGAAAATGACTTCGCTGACACTGAAGGTGACACCGCCTCCGTTCTACAAGCCACTGGCGATGGAATTGATGGTCATACTGAAATGCAAGCGGGAGACAAGGGCTTGGCTGCTCAACAGACCGAGCCAGAGCACGACAGCGACGGCCCCTCGCCAAGCATCAGTCCATCTGCTAGCAGTAACTCGCTCACGACCCATTTTTTGAACCACGATCGCGAAGCGGATAGCTCTGTGGAGCAACACAACTCTACCACGGCTATCGCCGAAAACTGACGTGCTACATATCTTGCGCTAACGCCACGACAAGTCTAACAAGACACCTCAGTAGGATAAGACATGAATCAAAAGTTTCTCACATCGTTATTTCATGACACATCGGCCTAGCTCACGCGTAATTTTAGCCGAGCCATGAAGTTCATCGCGTTCTTACCGTCATGCACCTCTTTTGGGTTGCACCACTCGCCATTTTGCCTTGTTGGTGCAATGGAAGACTACATCCGCGGCGTCCTTTGCGGCTACTTGCAGGTGCAGATTGGCACACGCGATGATGCCAAGCGGAGACGTACGTTTGTGGTGCTCTCGGATTCGCGCATGGACTATTACCTGTCCGACCCGCGTCCGACATTCACGGCCAAGATTGACGCGACGTACTTCCTCTCGACCACAACTCGTCTTCATTACTACTTGGAGCTGAATCCTCGAGCCCCGCCATACTCGATCTGCCTGACCACAGACAGAGGCACCGAAGTCTACGTCGCCGACACGCAAGAAGAGGCCGACCTGTGGTATCGTCACATCTCCGAACGACTCGAAGCGCTTTCGACGATGCTCAAGGGCCCCTTGATGCTACGCAAAGAGCTCCCTGCGAACCAGCAAGTCAAACGCTTCGTATTACGCACCAAATACCGCTGGAAGGCTCGGTACGTGGAGCTTGGACGCTCGACACTTCGATTCTGCAAACCCTCGGACCACAAGACGAAAACTATGAAGCAGTTCGCACTCACCGGTACCAGCTTTTCCGGACAAGAGAGCACGACGTACTTGCGGCAGCTCTCGGTCTTTGCGTCGTACTCCATCCCGGTCGATCCGTCACCACAGACGCTGAGAAGTATCAAGAACATCGAGAAAATGCGCCGTGAAAACGAGGACAGAAATGGAGTCGATACTGGAGACACGAGCTTGAAAAACAACGAAGTACGACCGAAGGGCTCGAACGTAGCAGCATTTTACCCCTTCATCGTGACAACCGGCCAGGCTTACATCATCCTGGCAGCCCCAACAGAACAGATACGGACGCATTGGATCCTCGCTATCCGATTGCGAATTATCGCGTTGAAGTATCGCCACAACGGTGGACCACGAAAACAACCGGGACTAGCAGGCAGCCAGGAAGCCAACCCGCATCAAGTGCAAGGCTTCATTGAAGCCCAGCCCAAACCTGGAGGGCCGTGGAAGCAGCACTACGTCGAGCTCGACAACGGGATGCTGCGAGTGAAGAAGAGCGAGCGGAAGCTGGGATCGATCTTCGAAGTACAATTGCTGCCAACTTGTCGAGTCACTCCACTACTGGACAAGGCCAACGCCTTCACCGTTCGCAGCCTCGGTTGTGAAGTATCTTTCGCCCCAGGGAGTGCCGCAGAGGCACGTCGCTGGATGGACGTGATTCGCGGAGCTGCTGCTGCGGTGGAGCGAGCACGCTACCAACGTATCTTCCATGGTGACATCCAGAGATTACTGCGCAACAGTGTGATCTACACGCTCGATGTGGCCTCGGAGGCTAGTGCTGGTATTGTCCTGGAGAAGCACAAGAAGAGGATCTTCGCATTGAGCCACGAGCCAGTTGTACCAAAATCTCCGAGACGAGTTACAATGGCAGCGCTCGTACGTCGAGTGAGTATGCTGACGACTGCCACGTCCAGCGGCTCAGCCAGAACCTTGTCGCCATCGTCGGGGTCGTCGTCCCCTGTCGAGTCGCCAACTCCGGCATCAGAGATTAACTATTCGTCTGCCATTATCCCACAGGGAAGCGTGTTGGTCGGCATCTCGCAGTTCGGCATGATGCACGACTCGGTCGACACCATTTGGCACACGCTGCGACAGAAGAAGGGGTGCTACAAGCAGGCCAAGCGGCTGATCTTCCGTGCTCCAGCCGTCAAGGAAGGCAGTCTCAAGGTGAAATTCCGCGCTGCTGATGAGTGGGTCCTCCACCGATGCCGCATGGCAAACGGCATGTTCCGCGTTGAGGATGCACAAAACCACAAGGGTGATACACTGGTAGAAGTTGCGTTGCGAGATTGTGAGGTCGAGCTGTTCAGCGACGATGACTGCTTCAACGGTATCAAGCTCACGGTGGCGACGAGCAACGCACTGGTGCGCTCGGTCGTGTTCATGAACGTGGCTCTTGACGACGATGCATTCATGTGGTTCGCCATGCTCCACATGGAGATCTCGGTGGCCCAAGACAGCGCCCTCTTCCCGCTAAATCCTGGGCCGATGTTGAGCACTCTGGTTGGCGTACCTCCGTCGGGAACACCAACGGCAAGAGAGGATAAGCTTGCTGCTGACCAAGCCAAAAGCTATCGCGACTGCACCATTGTGGGCACTCGCGTCGAAGAGATCGAAAAGTATTCACGAGAGCAGGAGCGGATCTTGCGTGGTCTCGATGCTGAAGTTCGCAAGAAAATGGAGGTGGAGTTGGTGCTAGAAGGTCTTCGAAGAGTTGAGTTCAATCCAGTGGCCAATGCTGAGAACACAGCTAGCCTCAGCTCAGCTGACGTCACGCGCTTTTTCCAGCACTTGGACGCTGTCGGTTCGGGTAAAGTATCATCGGCAGGGCTTGTCTTCACCATGAAATTGATCACGAAGCACATTCGCGCGCGAAAGAAACACCACGGACACGAAGCTGCTCCTGAATCGACCGAGTCGGGACCTCTCGACGGCTTTTTCACTGCGTTGGAGACATTCACCTCGGAGGGCCGAAGCATTGTCTGTCTCACTCCAGATGAGTTTGCCACGGTAATGTCCAAAGTGACCCACCCTGCCGTAGTCGAGCTCGTGCGAAAGGAGTCCCGCAACAATATCCAATGTATCTAGAACGTATAAACTTTCTGACAACAATAGAGACAGGATTGCCAGGGTGATCCGCATGAATTTTATTCCAGCAGCATCTTCAATTCAACTTGTATTCCACGAAACTCTGCATCTCCTTGAGCTCGTCGAACCAGTTGCTCCAGGCATCTAAATCTTCCGATAGATCGGGTTCCTATAGTAGTACACGAACCAGTCAGCTCACAATATAATAAATTATATACTACACCATTTCATGTTACCTCTAAAACGAAGACCGCTCTGAGCTGGGCTTCATCTCCTTGTTGGAGTTCCTTGAAGCCCAGCGCAAGTAGACACTGATGCCCACCGGCGTATTGACCCAAGTCCGCGTGGAAGTGGGCATTTTCCTTCGGAATGTGTCGGAACGCAGTATTTTCCGGTGACGAGCAGATGTTGCTGACAACAGCCAACAGCTTCTGCAGAGATTGACGATACAGCGCCTGGCCCCCCAAACGTAAGCACACTCACTCACTCCCCCTAACAACAAACACGAATACGACGCACCTCGCTACCTGTGCTATCCTTCAGCATTGCAATAGCTCTCTCGAGCCCCTCCTTGCCGTGCGGAATCGACGCATTCAACTTCTCACGCTCCTCCTCCTCGAGCTGCCGCAGTAGTTCCTCCTCAGCACGTTCCTTCTCTCGCTGCTCTCGTTTCTCCTGCGCGGCAGCGGCCAGCGCTTCAATCCTCTGCAGTTCTTCGCGTTGCTGCTCTGCTTCTCGCTCACGAGCTCCTTGAAGATGCCGCTCCTGCTCTTGTTCACGAGCCAGCTCTGCTGCACGTTGAGCCTCCTTCTCTTTCTTCTCTTGAGCAGCTTGTTCCTGCTTCTTGGCAGCCTCTTCAGCTGTCAACTGGTTGACCTTTGCTTCCACCTGCAGACGCAGCGGGGCCTCCTCCTCCATTGCGAGCTTCACTTCGTCGTAGCGACGCAGCAGATCTTGAACTTTTGCCAGCATGTTAGGGCCGAACCGAGGCTGGTTCGTCACGGGATCCACCATAGAGCAGCGCGCCCGAAACTTCTCGATCATAACGTCCACATCACCTGCAATAGCAGTCTGCAGAGGCACAGATGAAGACAGTATTACAGAGTTAGTGGAGAATGTTATCATCGCGTAGCGAGCTACGGATAACGACTGCGACGTCAATTTTGCGCGCAGGAAGGCCGCGAACCCACCAAAATGAAGTTGAAGCTCTCTTCTAGAGTGACATCGGTTGTGTTATTGGCAACGGACTGCTGGACGCGCGCTAGATGCGTCTCGAGCGCGTCCACATGCGCTGTAGCTTGGCGAAACTCGCTCATTGCGACAATGATACCCGTCGTACTTAGGATGGATGTCGCACTTAGTAGAAAAGCACAACATGGAGATGGCTACATTGAAGTGACCATGACAAGTCGACGACTATGCTCCGTCGAACCTGCAGAAATACAGGAGCGAGGCGTTCTAAGAACACATGGCGCGCATTTTACTTGATTGTCTGCACCTTGCTGGTGCCTATGAGGCCACATCCATTTGCCAACTCGCCTCTAACTCCTCAAGCAAGTCCTCGTCGGAAAATGTTCAAGCTGATTTCCACGCTCGTCATCGTTACGATCACTTTCAGGGATGCACGTGCTGAAGTCACTCCGCTAGTGGCCAAGGCCTTGAGAGTTCAAGAAGAGCAGCGGCCGCTTGAAGCGAGTGGATTGGGGTCCTCGTTGTCCGGCAACGGCGGTGGAGACGAGGGTGATTCGCTGTACGAGAAGTGCAGCTGGTACGACCATTGCGCCTTGAGCTGCGCGATGCGTTGTGGGCTGCCAGTATCTGAATCGACAAATACATGTATAAAGCGATGAACACGAGACAGTCCCGCTCAAAGAGTTTTGTTGCAACCTACAACCCAGCTCTATTTGCTCGATCGATGCTCGTTGCATGAGTTAACCCTCGCGTCTTCACACCGAATCGTCTCGACACTTCTGCTTCAGAGGAATCGTCAGCGTCGATTAACGACCGAGGTGCCGCAGACGAACTCGTCTGCCACTTCTTACACCGAGCGGCACCAAGCACCCACCAATAGCCATGCTCAATACATATTCTTCTCACAAGAAAGCAGCCTCTATCACCGAGTCACAGTTCATCAAGCTGTCCAGCAGCAACGAACGAGCTTGCGCGCAGCAACCTCGCCAAGTAGAGCCCGTTGCTCTAATCGTCCCCGCTCAATATTTCTTTCGAGCCTGATGCACCCGCGCCACATCGTGTCACGATCGTTTGCGCACTTACCTCCATCCTAAAACGGGGTAACATCTCCTTAAATCGCTCTCGTGTCACACAAATCCACCTTTTACCTGTCTATATTCGCGCCCTCATGGAGGACTGCTCAGACAGGCACGTACATGTCGTCAGCGGCCATCACCCATACAAATCCCCATACAGACCTCAAGTGACAATCACTCCATTCCGCATTTTGCCATGGCGCCGTCCAAGGGGAAGCGCGGCCGCCGGCCGCCCGACGCCGCCGCAGTAGCAGCACCGCCACCAGCGCCGACCGACGCACCAAACGCCAATGAGGACACAGACGCAGGCTCCGCTGCCTGGCCGCGCGTGCAGGAGCTCTTCCGCATGCTGCACGACGCCAACGCGCCCGCCCTGGGCGTCCGCACCGACGGCCGCGTGGCGCTCTGGAACCCGCGCATGGAGGAGATCACGGGCTTCGAGGCCGGGCGCGTCATCGGCCGTCCGCTGACTGACTTCGTGTACGGTATGCAGCGCAAGCAGGAGGTCATGGAGACTCTGGAGAACTGCATCGAGCTCAAGCGGCCGGAGCTGGAGCTGCGCATCCCGCTGAGAAACACCACGGGCCGCAACGCGCAGGTGCTGACCAATATGACGCCCTTGCTGGCTGAAGATGGCGCGTGCGTGGGCGTCTACGGCGTGGGCCAGGACGTGACGGAGTGGGCCATCCAGGAGAAGCAGTACGCTACGGTCATGATGCAGGCCAACGCGCCCATCATTGAGCTGGACAAGGAAGGGAACATCACGGTCTGGAACTCCAAGACTGTGTCCATGACGGGATATGCTAGTGTGGACATGGTGGGTGAGCCCCTGCTGCCTGTAGTGGACGAGAGCTTCAGGAAAATCGTGTCGGAGAAGATCAACCAGGCTCTGACGGGCATCGCAGGCGCAGATTTCGAGCTGCCGCTGGTGACGGCCAGAGGATCCAGAGTGGAGATCGTGCTGTGCTTGACCCCGAGGTTCGACACGCTGGGGTCTGTGATGGGCGTCGTGGCTATTGGACAGGACGTCACGGAGAGAAACACCAAGGAGATGGAGTACAGGAAACTGATCGAGACGGCCAACGCGCCCATTTTCGGCGTGGATACCGAGGGCCGAGTGGTCATTTTCAACTCGAAAGCTGCGCAGATTAGTGAATACTCGCCAGATGAGGTCATGGGCGTTGATCTCGTCGACACGCTGATTTCGGAGGAGTTTCGACCTGCAGTGGCTGCAGTCTTCCAGAGTGCGTTTCAGGGAACGGAGACGGCGAATTTCGAGTTCCCGTTGGTTACCAAGACTGGAAGAAAGGTGGAAATCCTGCTTAATGCTACGCCGCGGTATGATCACACAGGGAAGCTTGTTGGCGTCGTGGGCATCGGCCAGGATATAACGGATCGTATCATCCAGGAGAAGGAGTACAGCCGGCTGATTGACACTGCAAATGCTCCCATTTTTGGTGTCGATTGCAATTACGAGGTGATTATCTGGAACAAAAAGGCTGCTGCTATCACGGAGTATACAAACGAGGACGCGATCGGACAGGAGTTGTTTAAATTCATATCCGAGGACTACCGAGATGCAGTTGCTAAAGTTTTGTCGAAAGCTTTAGAGGGGACAGGAACGGCAAACTTTGACTTCCCTTTGATCACTAAAAGTGGACGCCGACTGGATATTTTGCTGAACGCGACGCCCAAGTACGATCACTTTGGCAACGTTTGCGGGGCTGTTGGAATTGGTCAGGATATTACTGACAGGCGCGCCCAAGAGCAGGAGTACACACGTCTTATTGACACTGCTAATGCTCCAATCTTTGGTGTCGATGGAAATGGCTGTGTGAATATCTGGAACCGCAAAGCTGCTGAGACGACACAGTACCCGAATGAAGAAGTGCTTGGAGTAAATTTGGTCGAAAACTTCATCCCTGAGGACTTTCGGGAGGCGGTCTGGACGGTGTTGTCTCAAGCACTAGAGGGACAGGAGACCGCAAACTTTGAATTCCCACTGATCACAAAGGATGGCCGCCGCCTCGAGATCTTGCTAAATGCCACACCGCGCTACAACGAAAAGGGTGTCGTCATTGGTGTTGTAGGTATTGGGCAAGACATCACAATTCGAATGGCACAGGAAAAGGGAACCAACCGGTTGATTCACGCGGCAAATGCACCGATCTTTGGCGTTGATCGTGATGGCTTGGTGAATATTTGGAATCTCAAGGCTGCTGAGATCACTCAATATTCAGCGGAAGAGGTGATGGGTAAAGATCTGGTCAACCGCTTCGTTGCAGAGGAGCATCGAGCTACAGTACAACTGGAGCTTCAAAGAGCTTTTGAAGGCGAGCAAACCAATAACTTTGATTTCCCCCTCATCACCAAGACTGGACGTCGAGTTGAGATCCTGCTAAATGCTACTCCCAGATATGATGAGCTGGGCCAAATTTTTGGAGTTGTGGGCATCGGACAAGATATCACGGAACGAATTGCGCAGGAGCAAGAGCTTATCCGATTGATCGACACTGCTAACGCCCCTATCTTCGGAGTAGACTCTAAAGGCCGTGTGAACATCTGGAACAAAAAGGCTGCGGAGATTATGCAATATCCGGCCGATGCTGTTATGGGTGAGCACCTTGTGGAAAAATTTATCACGAAGGACTACCAGGAGGCGGTGAGCTATGTGCTTTCTGAAGCTCTAAGCGGTGTTGAAACGGCAAACTTTGAGTTTCCGTTGATCACCAAAACAGGTCGACGCGTAGAGATACTGCTTAATGCGACGCCTCGGTACAATGAGCACGGCGCAGTTATTGGCATGGTGGGTATCGGACAGGATATTACGGACCGTATCGCACAAGAGCAGGAGTACATGCGTCTGATTGATACTGCGAATGCTCCGATCTTCGGTGTCGATTCTGACGGTTGTGTGAACATCTGGAACCGAAAGGCAGCCAATATCATGCAGTATACGAACGAGGATGTTCTGGGTAAAGACTTGGTTGCAGAATTTATTTCGGAGGAGTACAAAGTTCCCGTGCGTAGTGTCTTGGAGAAGGCGTTTGAGGGCGTCGAGACTGCGAATTTTGAGTTCCCATTGATCACGAAATCTGGCCGGCGAGTAGAGATTCTGTTGAACGCTACCCCACGGTATAACGAGCAAGGCGAAGTAATGGGAATGGTAGGAATCGGCCAGGACATCACGGATCGGATTGCGCAAGAAAAGGAGTACATGCGCCTCATCGATACTGCAAACGCTCCAATTTTTGGCGTCGACTCGAATGGTTTAGTCAACATTTGGAATCGGAAGGCTGCCGACATCATGCAGTACACTACCGAAGATGTCCTTGGGAAGGACTTGGTTGCAGAATTCATTTCCGAAGAATATAAGGTTCCAGTGCGAAGCGTCCTGGAAAAGGCTTTTGAAGGTGTGGAGACTGCCAACTTCGAGTTTCCATTGATCACCAAGGCCGGACGGCGAGTAGAGATCTTGTTGAATGCTACTCCACGGTACAATGAGCAAGGAGAAGTGATGGGAATGGTGGGCATTGGCCAGGACATTACGGATCGTATTGCGCAGGAGCAAGAATATAGCCGATTGATTGATACGGCTAATGCTCCAATCTTCGGCGTCGACGCCAACATGTGCGTGAACATTCTGAACAAGAAGGCAGCGCAAATTATGAACTATGCAGCTGAGGAGGTTCTTGGTGAGAAATATGTGGAAAAGTTCATCGCGCCGGAGTATCAAGCTATCGTGTACGACATTATGTCCAAAGCGTTGCATGGAGATGAAACAGCTAGTTTTGAAGTTCCAGTGATAACCAAGACTGGACGGAAGCTGAACATTTTACTGAATGCGACGGCTCGCTTCAATCAGCACGGGCGTATTGTTGGCGTCGTGGGTATTGGCCAGGATATCACTGATCGCATTGCTCAGGAGGAGGAATATGCGAGGCTTATTGACTCGGCTAATGCCCCGATTTTTGGTGTTGACGCGAATGGCCTCGTCAATATCTGGAACAAAAAGGCTGCTGAGATCACGCAATACACGCCGACTGATGTGATGGGCGAGAACCTGGTGGAGAAGTTTATCACGGAGGACTACCGCGAAGCGGTCGGTCTTGTCTTGTCCAAGGCACTTGAAGGAGTTGAGACAGCAAACTTTGAGTTCCCGCTGATGACGAAGTCTGGCCGACGAGTGGAGATTTTGTTGAACGCTACACCCAGGAATAACGAACATGGGGAAGTGATCGGCATGGTTGGTATTGGTCAAGACATCACCGATCGGATTGCACAAGAAAAGGAATACATGCGCCTGATTGATACGGCGAATGCCCCCATTTTTGGTGTTGATTCCAATGGCCTAGTGAACATTTGGAACCGGAGGGCAGCTGATATCATGCAGTACACTACCGAGGATGTTCTTGGGGAGGATCTCGTCGCGAAGTTTATATCGGAAGAGTATCGTGTCCCGGTTCGTTGTGTCCTTGAAAAGGCTTTCGAAGGCGTAGAGACAGCCAACTTCGAGTTCCCGTTGATTACAAAAGCTGGCCGGCGAGTGGAAATTCTGCTTAATGCTACGCCTCGCTACAATGAGCAGGGTGAAGTGATGGGTATGGTTGGTATCGGTCAGGACATTACGGATCGCATTGCTCAGGAACAGGAGTACAGCCGACTAATCGATACTGCCAATGCCCCGATCTTTGGTATCGATGCAGACATGTGCGTGAATATTTTGAACAAGAAGGCAGCGCAGATCACGAACTACAACCTGGAGGAAGTGCTCGGCGAGAAGTACGTTGAAACTTTCATCGCACCCGAGTATCAGTCAATTGTATATGATATCATGTCGAACGCGTTGCGAGGAAACGAGACTGCCAGCTTCGAAGTTCCAGTCATCACGAAAAATGGACGAAAACTCAACATCCTGCTGAATGCAACAGCTCGTTTCGATCACCACGGGCACATCGTTGGTGTAGTTGGAATTGGCCAGGATATCACTGATCGCATCGCGCAAGAGCAGGAGTACGCTAGACTGATCGACTCGGCTAATGCCCCGATTTTTGGTGTTGACGCGAATGGCCTCGTCAATATCTGGAACAAGAAGGCTGCTGAGATCACGCAGTACACACCGACTGATGTGATGGGCGAGAACCTGGTGGAGAAGTTTATCACGGAGGACTACCGCGAAGCGGTCGGTCTTGTCTTGTCCAAGGCACTTGAAGGAGTTGAGACAGCAAACTTTGAGTTCCCGCTGATGACAAAGGCTGGAAGGCGTGTAGAGATTTTGCTAAACGCTACGTCTCGTTTCAACGAACATGGGGAAGTGATCGGCATGGTTGGTATTGGACAGGATATTACGGATCGTATCGCCCAAGAGCAGGAGTACAGCCGTTTAATTGATACGGCGAATGCCCCGATTTTCGGTGTTGATTCAAGCGGGCGTGTGAATATCTGGAACCGAAAGGCTGCCGATATCATGCAGTACACGAATGAGGATGTGCTTGGCAAGGACCTGGTTGCTGAATTCATTTCGAAGGAATACAAGGTGCCCGTGCGCAGTGTGCTCGAGAAGGCATTCGAAGGTGTGGAGACCGCGAACTTCGAGTTTCCGTTGATCACGAAGGCTGGTCGACGCGTGGAGATTCTGTTAAATGCCACGCCTCGATACAATGAACACGGTGAAGTAAAGGGCATGGTGGGCATTGGTCAGGATATCACGGAGCGCATTGCTCAGGAGCAGGAGTACAGTCGCCTGATTGACACAGCCAACGCTCCCATTTTTGGCGTTGATGCCAATATGTGTGTCAATATCTGGAACAGGAAGGCAGCACAGATCACAAATTACGCTATCGACGAAGTTATGGGTGAAAACCTAGTCGAGACCTTTATTTCGCCAGAGTTCCGACCAATTGTGGCTGAAGTGCTGTCTCAAGCTCTGAGAGGCGTCGAAACCGCAAATTTTGAATTCCCTCTTATTACGCGCCCCGGTACAAGAATCGAGATTTTACTTAACGCGACGCCTCGATACGATTCTAATGGTAGCATCGTTGGCGTTGTCGGCATCGGTCAAGACATCACCGATCGTATCGCCCAGGAACATGAATACTTCCGACTGATTGATACGGCGAACGCCCCGATTTTTGGCATTGACACCAATGGTTGCATTAACGAGTGGAACCAGAAGATCGAGGAGATCACTGGCTACCACAAGTCAACTGTGCTGGGTCTTTCGCTAGTCCATACTTTCATTATTCCGGAAAGCAGACAGCAAGTGCGACAGTTGCTGAACCAGGCGTTGATTGGTATTGACGTTGGCGAGATGGAGCTTCCCATGACGACGAAGCGTGGCGTGTTCCTGCTGCTACTTGTGAACGCTTCAAGTAAGAAGGATATGCATGGAAATATTCGTGGTGTGATTGGTGTTGGACAAGATTACACTGCAAGGAAGCACATGGAAGCTGCCAAGGTGAACTTCTTGGCCTCCTTTAGCCATGAGTTGAGAACCCCGTTGAACGGCGTGCTCGGAATGCTGGAGTTACTGAAGGAACAGCCCCTCGATAAGGCTCCTGAGAGATACGTTCACATGGCATATGTATCAGGCTCGCTACTGCTCAATCTGATCAATGACATTCTGGACTTGTCGAAGATCGAGGCTGGGCATCTTGAAATTTCGGCTGCTCCCTTCCAGATGCATGAACTATTGGACTATTCGATTGAGATTTTCAAGTTCAAGGCCCGGGAGCGTGGACTCAAGCTAGAACTGAAGTGTGATGACAACGTGCCGAAGGTTGCAATTGGCGATGTCGTGCGTCTGCGTCAAGTTCTGTTGAATCTGCTGTCAAACGCGATCAAGTTCACCAATGAAGGCTCTATTACGGTCACATGTAGTGTCGTTTACACGCCAGAGCTCCCGAAGGCATTCAAGAAGTTGTTATTCCAAGTCATCGATACCGGCATCGGTATGGACGCGGAAGAGAAGATGCGTCTCTTTTCCTTATTTACGAAGCTTGAGCGCACTCGTCAAAACAATCCGACTGGATCGGGTTTGGGACTTGCAATTTGCAAGCAGCTTGCTGAGCTGATGGATGGCCAAATTGGTGTCGACAGTGAGCTGGACGTGGGCAGCAACTTCTACTTCACAGTTGTTGTCCGTCTGCTTGACGATATTGACGCTAAGGGGCTATTCTATGCTGCGAACGAACTACTCACGGATGCTGGCGTTGCACCCCCTAACATGGATACATCGAACGTAAACTCAAGCGATAGCACTGCAAGCGCAGCTGCTGCAAATGCTGCTAACACGGCAAAGGTTGTGATTCCGCGGCAGGCAAGGATATTGGTGGCAGAGGACAACGAGTTTAACTGGGAAGTGGTGAAGTGCTTTCTTCAGGAGGCAGACCATCTCCTCCAATGGGAAGTGAATGGTCGAGATGCTGTGAAGGCTTATACAGAGAACCATACCAAGTTTGATCTCGTCTTCATGGACTGTGAAATGCCCGTAATGGACGGATATACAGCGACGAAAGCAATTCGTCAGTTTGAACGCGAAAACGATCTACCCCGTATTCCTGTTCTTGGCTTGACTGCATATGCCATGAGCGGCGATCGCCAAAAGTGCCTGGGGTCAGGTATGGACGAGTTTATGGTGAAGCCGATCTCGAAGAATAGTTTGTTGAAGGCTATTCGACAATGGATGCGCGTTCGTTATCTCGGCCCTAAGACGGCCTCGACCTCCTCTGTCGCTGGATCGGATGATTTTCCTCCTGCAAGTTCTGAGGCAGTACCTACTTCTGCCGCTCCTGCCGCTCCACCAATGGGATCCGTTTCATCGCCAGCTTCATCAAGATCTCGCGCGGGTGTGGAGCTTGATGGTGTACCGACTGCATACCCGAGTACATCACCAACCCCGCGGCCATCGCTGGACAGTGATGCTGACGATGCGGACCTCTACAGCGGGCAGGACGAATCGGGTTCCAGACTTGCTCCGGCCTCACGCCACATGCAGCAGCTTGATCTCGCGCGAGCGATTTCGAACTTGGAGTTGGATGACCCCATGGCAATTAGGCGCCAGATTGGTCCTACTGTACGCACCGCCGTGCCAACAACATCAATCTTCAGCCTGGGATCTTCAGTTGGAAACAGTACCCGCTCTAGTGGCCTCTTGACACTCCAGCGGGATACTGGTGGTGCTGTTGTTGACATTCCAGACTGGAAGCAGATTAACAAAACCTCTGCGACCTTGCCGAACATGAAGGACAAGCCACTGGAAGGTACCGAGACATCTGATCACGTGTCATCGCATAGCAATCCAACTTTGTGGAGCCACCCGCCCTTCATGGGCAACAAGAAGGACAAAAAGGATTCGGCCCCAACTTCCGCAACTTCTCAGCAACCTCTATCGCCGAACTCTGTTTCCGAGGCACAGAGTGCCCGAACTAGAGCAGTAACTGAAGGTGGCCGAGATGACAACACACCTTTGAGTTTGCAACGGTATGAATCGGACAAGAGCTCGGACGATCAAGCATCGGGAGACCCGATTGCAGCTATGCTTGAGCGTTTGAATATCAGTAGCCCGGCCGCTAGAGGCGGCGTCAGAGGACCACCCAGTGTCGATCATGCGAGCGCTACCACCGAGAGTGATGCTGCGATGCGCGTAACGATGGACCCGGCGAGCATTGCCATTCCTGAGGGTGACCCCGTCGACTATTCGTTGGGTGTACAGCAGTGTGGTGGCCACGAAGAACTCTTCATGAGCTTACTCGAAAAGTTCACAGTGAGCTGTGAAGCTATTATGTCGCGCATTTTGGCAGCGTACGGGCAAGGTGATATCGCGGTGACTCGACGAGAGTCACATTCGCTGAAGGGTTCATCGGCGTATGTTGCTGCGATGCGTGTATCTAAGGCCGCATTCCGCGTACAAGTTGCATGCGAGCAGCTGCAACAGGGTCAGGCAGAAATTGGCACCGATCGGCAGCCGGCAGCGCTTGCCGACGCGGCAGCCATGATCTCACTGAAGAAGTCGCTGGATGACTCTGTGGCTCTGTTGAAAAAGGAGCACAGACATTTACGCGGATACCTTCGTCGTAACTTCGAGTTCCGCGGCCTGTCCAGGAGCGGAAGTGGGGTGCAAGCAGCGGCCTTGCGTTCTTCTAGCAGCTCGGTTCAGGATCGCAATGGACCCTGTGGAATCATGTAAGCTGTGACAGGTATTACTTGTACTGGAAGCAACTCAATGTAGGATACCGAACGGCAATGTACTAATGACCAATCTAGTTTTTGCATTTTTTCATTCTAACGTTATTACACCTGCTTCACATAGCCTAAATATCCACCGAGGCAATCTCGTGCGAGAAAACTTGGGTTTCCAGGAAGCTGCGGTAGAAGGACTGCTCGCGAGGTGGCAGTCGGCGCATGAATGCGATCCGGTCAAAAACCACCACGTAGTCAAAATCGTCGGAGAGCACGAAGCGGAACTCCTCGACTGTCCGAAGCAGAGTTGCCACCGCCTCACGGAAGCAAGTCCGCACATGGCCCTGCGGAAACCGCCGTGCCTGCATTGCATCTGTCTTGCTGCTGAGCATCGGCACGAAGTCGCTGAAGTACACCTTTGGCTTGAGCAGTTGCAGCAAGCGAGAGGAGAGCGGGCCACGGACAGATTCTGGAAGCTGCGGTCGGCCAGGTGAGCTCATCGTGTCTGCATCCAGATCCACCACGACAATGCCGTCACCACACCCTTCGCGCTCGAGCATCTCGCGCAACTCCGCCCGATAGCTCGAGTGCACGCCGAACAAATACGGAGTGGGGCATTGCAAGCACTCGATCATACTCTTTGGCAGGATGGGGGCAAACACGTGACTCCACTGCAGAGGGGCAATCAAGCTCTTCAATGTTTCACCCACGGACGTAAGCACCGAATATCTGGAGCTCACTAGCACGATCTGTCGTTCAAGAAGCATGCACGTCACCAGAGCGACCACGTGCTCGACCGAGAGACAGCTGAACAGCTCTTCCATGCTGAAATCCACATACTTGTCGAGTGCCGAGAGAGAAGTCACGGCGTCCTCAGTGGCTGTGGCGGCAGCAAAGTCGAACGGGCAGAGTAATCCAGCCATTTGTGCTGCCGAGGGCAACCAGTTTACATCGGAGAGGTATGCCTCATCGTCCTGCATGGCCGCATGTAGAGCGTCAAGGCGCTGCTTAAGCGTGTCGAGAATCGGATACCGGCTGATGATGCACAGACCAGCAGGAACGTAGACTTCGAGGCCCTCGGTCTCTTGCAGCACTTGTTCCAACGGACCCAATTTGCTCGAGTCGTTCAGCGGTACGTATCGTGTGAGGCAGGCACCATAGAACGCCTTCTCGGCATTTCCAATAGTCATGTGAAAAAGCGAGGGATCCGGACGAGTTGTGGAGCGGATCACATCCGCTCCTGCCGGACGGAAGAAAGCCTCGACATGATCCGGAATGGCGTGATGATGGTATAGGTCACTGCTGCTTTCGCTGCGGTTGTTCGGGTCCGCCAGCGTGTGCAAAACTTCCTTGATGATTTCAGGACGCGACCGGTCATTCACATCCAGCCGAAAACTCAGCACCGAGCTGACGAGGGACTTGCTCTGCGGTTCACCACGTAACTGGCCTTGAAAGAGCTCCCGTAGCGTGAAGGATTTACTGCGCACCCGCTGCGGTTGGTGCGATGCCACATTCATGCACTGGAACAACTCCTGCAGCGTAGTCATGCTGCTGTCTGAAGCAGTACTGGAGCCATCGCAGGCCGCGGCCGTGACGGCATTCGAGGCACCAGACGGGCTCAGCAGGCGACTTTGATAGGATGCCACAAGTGACTTGAACGATTCGCTTCCCATAAAGCGAACGAAGTGGTTGACCTTGAGGTTGGCTTGAATGACCGATTGAATGCGCTCCACCGTTCGCAGCAGAACCTCAGCGTCCGCGAGAGAGAAGCTACCAGCATCCAGACAACACGCCACCCGTAACTCGTAGTCGCGCAGCAGCGCCTGCTCCGCATCACCGACAAAAGTGACACGTGTACTCGCGCTCGCAGTCAGGTACTTGGCAGCAATGCGACTGCCCACCGCCAGCAGCTGCTCAATGAGTTCTCCAGCTTGTCGTTCCTCGCTGTCATGTTGCTGGTCGTTCTCCTGCTTTCCATCTTCCTCCTCGCTGTCATCCTGCGTCGCGTTGATAAAGTCCTCGAGCACCGGCAGCAGGTGGTACCTAAAGTCCATCCACAGACTCAGCTGCTCGTGCGTGCGCTCCTTGAACAAAAACACCCAGAAGACGCTGCACAATCTGCGGTTGCCGAGCACCCGCTCCAGCGTCAGAAACGTCGTGGCCGTGCGCTGTCTCCGGACGCGACTCTGCCGCGGCGTAGACGACGCCGAGGACGGCGCGCGGCAGGGCGACGCCACCCCCACGCTGCCGTCCGACACGGAGGCGGGGCTCTTCTCCTCCTCCATCTGCTGCTGGTCTTCGTCCGTGCTGTCGTCCGCGTCCACGTACGTGAGTCTGGAGCTGGCCACGAGCGCCGCGAACTCGGGCGTGGCCGCGAACTGCCGGAAGCTGGGCTGCAACGCCCTCTTGACGGCCACCTCGGCATCCTGGAACAGGTCGGACTTGGCCGCCAGCCCCGAGTACAGCATCAGGTCGTTGCTCAGCAGCTTGCCGAAGCTCCAGACCGACTTGTTGAGGATGCGCAGGTTCTCGGACGTGATGTCCAGGAAGGCGTCGGGCCGCATGAACTTGGCGATGATCTTGCTCGCGTACTGCCGGCGGTGCGCGCGCGCGTCGTCGTCGGAGTCGGCGGCGTCATCATCGGGGGCGCTGGGAGAAGAAGAAGAAACAGAGTGTTTGTCCTCGCTGGGGACCTTCTTGAACTCCTCGACGCTCACGAGGAAGAGCAGCCGCGCGAAGCCCTTGGGGTCCGAGGCGGACAGGTGCTGCAGGAACAGCGCGTGCAGGTGCGGGTCGGCCACCACGGCGTCCAGCGTCACGGCGAGGCCGTCGTCCTGCGGCTCGGCGGCGGAGGCGGGCATCGGTCGAACACTTGCCCTTGTGCGACTAAGAGACGGACTGAACGTCGCGAAGGAGACTTTGTACTGTACCTTGCGTGCTGCGACTGGGAAAAAGGCGGGACAGATTGCCGATTTTTCGGCGAAAAAAGGTGAAAATCGATCAAGTAACATGGTGTGGGCCACCCTTGTGTTGCGCGACCCATCTAGGTGATTCACATAGTACGTTGCGCTACGTAGCATGTGAATCGCGTAGATGGGTCGCGCAACACAAGGGGCTGTTCGGATAGATTGCACTGAATTCTTTGTGAATTGCTACCGGATTGTCCTTGCTGCGAGGACGCCTCGAGCAAGTTCGATCTGATGTGTACAGTGGCGGAGTTTGGCTGCAAGCACCGGAGACCACGAGATGGTTGCTGGTATGCTGGTGGTGGTGCGGTGGTCGATGCATTTTTTGCTGGCCGTGACGGTTGCCGCCACGTCGGACCATGCAACGTTGCTACGACCGACAAAGGTGAAGTGTAGGTGCCTTTACGACATTTGTAACGGGAGCTGCCATTACTCTAGCTGCAGTGGTTGCGGCAGGACTTACGTACACAGTCTATTTTCGGTGATATCTTGGAGTTTGTATAGCAGCCCATCACCCCACAATATGACGACCTTCCCGCAGGACGGATGTCATCCGCGGGAAATGGCTTTGCTCCGCTGCGCTCCGCAAAGGCAGTCGCTGCGCTCCTGCGATAAAAAGATTCTCTCACCTGGCGAGAACAGTGCTCGGCTCGCTGGAATGCTCGTCGCTGGGCCCGCCTCCGCAAATACCGCGCGGCCCTGCTACGCGGGCACCCCGCGCGGGTTTGCTGCGGCTACGCTCCTCGCAACCGCGAGCCTCCGTTGGTCCTCTTCTATATCACATTCACCCCCCCTCGACCCCCATCAAAAAAAGACTGTGTACGTAAGCACTCTCCAGTGGTTGCACTTTACTGTCAGAAAAAATTGCTGAAGCACTCCAGCTGGCGCCAAGCTTCACGTAGCTGGGATAGCTGGCAGATTGAGCTGCCTGTGCCGAAGCGGTCAGGCTGTGAGGAAAAAAATCGAGGCTTCGCTTTGGTAGCGGCGAGTGCGGCCAGAAGGAAGCAATCCAAACACGGAGCTGGCTGTCGAGGTGCCGGATGTCAGCCATGACGGTGACGCCGGAAAGCCTACAGTACAGTACTCGCAGAAAACGCCATTTTAGCCGACTGATCTCGCGAAAGAATATTATTCGTACAAATCTACGACAACTAGGGCGTTTACATCATAGCCGTCCCTGAATAGGTTCGGACTCCGAACTTCGGAGTACATGTACTGTGTGTATCCGCGTTCGCATTGACGCTTCGATACATAATTGACGTACAGCTATTTCTCCACGTCTGTTTGAGCTGTAACTAAGAACATTTGTAGCAGTGATCTCTCATCAGCACTTGGTTAATTCTTTCAGAGCTGCTAGCTTTTGGCATGATGCGATTGAAAATGGCAAAATCTCAACTACGTAGAAATATGTTGTTCGTTGTACAGTAACGCGTACTGACTCAAAAAGGAGCAATTACATCTCCGACAAAGTGGCCCGACTTGTTTCCTCCTTCACCAGCCCAAAAACGCACCCCACCAATCTTTACTGCATCTCCTCCAAGTGCTCAACACCGCGTTGCTCGACGGATTCACGAAATCTGTCCGGGTGGAATTTAATTCGTGGGTCATTTTCCAGATAGTCCATCACGGGAAAGTGGCTTGGGGATCTCCAACACACCCTCGCTGGTGGTGTAGTAGTCGAAGACGTCACCCACTCGGATCTTGGCGTGCTGGAAGTCGATGGGCAGGCGGTGTTCCCACTGACAGTTGTCGTCCCACCGCGTCGAGACCTCGCCGATTTTGAGCTCCGACAACTCGCGCACGAATTGCAGCAAAACGGCGTCGCGCTCTTCCTCAAACTCAAAGCGTTCGCTTGGGAAGCCGAGGCAAAAGTCACAGTAGTCCAACTGCGGGTACATACTGCGCCAGTCACTACTGGAGTCCGCATCCGCCACTCGCCATGTGAACCAGCGCTCGGCGTTCTCGACGCGCGTGATCTGCTGCATTACCGAGCTAATACAATGTACTAACGTCAACTGCCTCACAGAAAGAATGTTTTCGGTCTTTCTCAATTACCTTTCTTCAAACATGCTTTCTTCTTGTTTTTCTTTTCTCAAGAAGACATATTTTCGCAATTATACACGATTTTGATTGGCTAAATTACGTTTTAATTCCAATCTTTGGCGAGCCGAAAGAAGGCAATCAACCGACGATCACTCCATGGCGTCGACCTCGACCTCGGCACGTGGGCGTCGCCGACCCCGGCGCCCCCGCGCTGCCAAACCCACCACCACCACCACCAACAGCAGCGGCGCTACCTCCACCAGCACCGGCGTCCCCTCTGCCTCCAAGTCCGAGCCGTCCGTCGCGTCCCAGCTCGTGGCCGCCATCCGCCGCGACGACTTCCCCGCTTTCTCTTCGCTGCTGCAGACGCCCGAGCTGGACGTGAACCGGCGCATGCCGCAGGGCGACGCGCCGCTGGTGGAGGCCTGTCGCTACGCGCGCCTGGACATGGTGGCGGCGCTGCTGGCAGCGCCCCAGGCCAGCGCCAACGTGGCCAGCACCAACCGCAGCGCCAACCGCGTGGGGCTCACGCCGCTCGTGGCCGCGTGCATGGCCCTGGCGCCGCAAGTGGTGGCGCTGCTGCTGGCCCAGTCCCAGAAGAGGGTGAACCTGCTCAAGGCCTACGGGCGCGTGAACGCCGCCACCGTCTGCCTGCTCTTCTGCGTGGCCAACGGCCGCTCGGACGCGCAGAACGACGCAGCGCTGCAGATCTTGAAGCAGCTGCTGGACTACGAGCAGCAGCGCGGCCAGCTCAAGGCGCTGCTGGACGCCAGGCCCGACAAACTCAACGGCTTGGTGCACGTGGCGGCGGGGCTGGGCAACTGGAAGGCGCTGCAGCTGCTGCGCGGCTTCGGCGCGGACTTTAGTGCCAGAAACGCGGCGGAGCACTCGGCGCTGCACGTGGTGGAGCTCAACGCGTTCCAGGCCAGGTCGCTGCAGTTCTGCGAGCCGCCAAGGCAAGAGGCGGACGCGGGGAGAGGCAAGGGCAGAGGCAGGGGCAAGAAGCAGAGGCAGAAGAAACAGGAGGAAGAGAAGGAGGAGGAACAGCAGCAGGAGCAGCAGAGTGAAGCAGGTAAGTTGGTTGGTGCTTTAGAGTCAAGCTGATCGGGACGGGGGCTGACTTGGGCGTGGTTCTGGTGATACTGCACAGACAAGCAGACGTTTACGCGGTCACGGCCGGACCGTGCTGTTGAAGCTTTCCACGTGACACGGACTGTGCTGGAGCTAACGAAGGATTCGGGTGCGTGGCCAAAGAAAAATGAGGCGTGGTGTGTACTGTACTGATGCTTTTTCTACTACTGCCGATGGCATGAACAGGGGTCGGTTCCGTTTTCTCACGTAAGGGCGATGAAGGTGTTCGGGGTCTTTACATTAAGTCACTGCTGCTTGCGGAAGTGGGTCTTGTGCCGATTCTCAACGAAGTACGTGCCATAGATTTTGGGTGTGGCCAGAATGCTTGCAGTGGTTTAACGGAGAAATTTGCTGTCGTTGTTGGGTTTGTTATAGATTGCTCAGATGCCGGATGCACAGAAGGAAAAGGCCGTGTATACGGACGGACTGATGTACACCGTGGCCTCTGTGTATCCACTGTCGGTTAAAAATGCGAAGGAATACCAGTCTCTCTGGCGCCGAGCGCTCGACAAGCAATCGAGCGGCAATCTGGACGTGAAGACTGCTGCTCTCGGTGATGAAGAAGAGAAAAAGAGCGTGCCACGAGTGCTGGAGCTATCTCACGAAGCGTTCAAAATGATTTTGAACGGAATGCTGTCCTACAACAGTCTTTCGAGGCGTGTGAAGGTGTGGAGTCTCATTTTGATGCATTTGCTAGATCCTTACGCTGATGGGGCGCCTCTCACTGCCGACAAGCGACCCATTATGGAGGAATGCGGCCAGCTGCAGTTTTTCGAGCGCATTACGGAAATGCTCTACCGTTCAGGTGAGCTTCTTTCTCTTGCCCTGGAGTTTGATTCATTTTCTAATCGTATATGTTTGGTTAGGAACCAAGCTCGCGTTCTGCATTTTTGATCGGACGGATATTGACGAAGATGAAAGCTACGACGAAGAAATCGAGTTCCATCTACTAATCTCGCTCGTTGAGCTCTTCCTCCAGTTCTTCGCACCGTACGCTCGTACGATTCGCTCTGGAGATAACGCGAAGGAATTGGGCATCGGTGAAAGTTTTCAGCAAGCGATCAAGCCCGTCAAACAGCTATGGTCTTTGGTGAATGCGGCGCTGAGAAGCCTGGATGACGCCATCGCAACGCCACAGCGTTTTTCGCTGCTCCTTCACCTTCTGCAAGTGTTTGAGCAGCTGGAAGCCGCCTTCGTCGTCGATGAAAACGCGACGCTTACGAAGTTGTTCAAGGTACGATGGCTATCGCAAGTCTTATTTTGCTGTGCATGTAGACTAATTCTTTTGGGTGTGTTGCTAGATCATGGACCGATTTGTCAAGAAAGAAGCGAAGAAAAAGCGTGTCAAGATGTTTGTTGCGGAGCAAACACAGCTTTTACAGACGATTGCTACGTCGTTCCCGATCCCAAGCACTTTTACTGATGAAGTTATCCCACTGAAGAACAGTGTGGATGTGCTCATCCGATCCGATCCTAAAGTGTTGGGCATGGACTTGTATGCGTTCGCGTCGATTCCAGGGCTCATCCGCCTTGAGCACAAAGTGGATTATCTGGCCATGCTGGCCGAAGAGCGCAACGGATCGGTATCAGTGTCTATCAGTCGCGCGTCTGAGGCAAACTATGTGGACTTCATCCTACAGCAAATTCTCAGCACGTCGGCGAGCAACCTGAAGGGCGAAATGAACATCACGCTGATCAACGAACCAGGCGTAGGTGTCGGTGTCACGCGCGAGTTTTTCCAGATTGTCCAAAGGTACTTCTTCTCGACCGGCAACTCGCAAGTCCAAGGTTCCGTTGCCAAGCCAGCACCTCATGTTCTCGAGATTGGGGCGCAGTGGCTCCAGCTTGCTCGGTCGCAGAGTCCAAGAAATGGCAGCTCTAACAAGAAGTGCGGCGACACTGACACGGGGAGTCGGGCGAAACGAGGACGACCGACACGAACTGGCGGTTTTGTCGAGCTGTTCCCCTTGTTTGAGTTCGTGGATAAGCAGAGGCGAGGTGTGCTTACGATTGCGCTGCGGCCGGCGTACGTCAGCAAACAGGTCATTGAAGCTAAACGCAAAGACAAGAGCTTAAGCCTCACGCAGAAGGACTTGCTCGTGGACTCCAACGAGGTGGACGCACTCAAAAAGGTGTATCTCTGCATCGGCCGCTTGATGGGTCTGGCGATTCGCAACCACCAGCCGCTTGCTGCAGACTTTCCTCTGGTGTTCTGGCGATTCATGATGCGGGACGGTACTTTGTCGTGGGAAGACTATTGTGAAAACAGCGACATGTTCAAGCGCAGTCTTCAATTTGTGCTGGACCATGATTTTGATGCAGAGCCGCTGGACGTGCGGTTCGAATATACTATACACGTTGTGGTCGTCGACGAGGAGGCAGATGCGAAGCAGAAGGAGCCGCGTGAAGAATCTACAGCGGCAACGGAAGATGCTGGTTGTGCTCCCTCGCATTCTCCCGTAACGACGAGTATGGAGATGGAGCTTCAAAAGGGAATGGGCGAGGTGGAAGTGACGAACGCCAACAAGGCGCAGTACGTCTTGCTGCGTGCCCAGCAGCACTTCTTCGGCAACGAACTGGTCTACTACCAGAAAATCCGTGACGGCTTTGCCGACACGATTGTAAAATCGGACCTGAAGCTTTTTCGCTCGGAGGAACTGCGTCGTTTGGTGCGTGGCGAGCGCACGATCGATTTTGAAGGACTGAAGAAAAACGTCATCTACTCGCGAGGAATGTCGCCGTCGCGTGGAGTTATCCAGCACTTCTGGGAAATTGCCGAGAGCTTCGACCAAGAGACCCGCTCGAAGCTGCTTACTTTCTGGTCAGGCTCGCCGTTGCCTCCTGTTTTCGGCTTTGAGTCCAAGTATCGCTCCATGAATGCGGTAAGTGGTGTCCAGTATTGACCAAATGTCGCCACATACAATTAACAGTGATGGCTGTTGAAATGTGCAGGATACTGCGTGCTGGTACATCGACGTGGACACGCGGATGCAGGCGAGCTTCTGCCCCATGGCCAATACCTGGTAAGCTTCTCCTGACCAAGCTGGACTGTTATGTATTGATCGTGTATCTATCTCACTCAATCACGCATGTATTATTGTTTGGCTTCCAGTGACCGCCGCTTGATCCTCCCGGACTATCCGACAAGTGCTGCTCTCAAGGAGAAACTATTGGTAGCGTTGGAGCACGGGAGCGTCGGCTACGACCGCATGTAGAGAGGAATAAAGAGAACAGTATGCGTCAGGTGCACGTACACATGTACGTTGACGTGGATGTTGTCGCGTATTGGCTGAGTTGAGATGTGACTTATAAATACAAGAAACATGAAGGACTGCAAGTTGCTTGCAGATGTGAGGCCGGAGTTGCAGGTGAGCTCGCGGCACGGCGCGAATGGAACGGAGGGGCTGATTGCCATTTCCCCTTGGCCAGCTGCAGGCTGCACAGCAATCGCTGCTCTCGAGGTGATGGTGTGAGCCGCCCGGCAATGCCAGATTCGACCACCGAGTTCTGCACATGTGCTGACTGTACCAGCCACGCGCGACTTGGGCAGGCGATTGATTTTCGAGCTCTTTGACTCGAGCCGCACTCGCGTTCGCGTCGTCGGGCACGGCGTGCTGAGCGAGCGAAGAAGGAGGAGAGCGGACGGAGCCCATTACGATAGTCGACGGAGCGGGCCCTGCACGCTTGAAGCCCGCTGCAAGTGATGCCCGCGCGAGGAGGATCTTCTGCCCACGCGTTTTGCGACAGCCGAGAGCGCCAGGAAGCCACAAGTTGTGGCCCACAACGTGCTGCCGACGATCGGTCCGATCGGTTCTGAGGCTCACGCTCGCAACCTGCGCTGTCTGCCGCTTGTCGCGCGGATAGTGCTTTCGGCTTGTCCAAGGCGGCGCGGTGGGTGGATTATCACGAGTGACAGCTCGCCTGCACGCCGGCGTGCAAGAGATGTCGGAATGCACAGCCTTCGACGCCATCGCTAACGCAGCGGCCCTGACAGGCAGGAAGCTGTTCCCCTCACATGGTGAAGCCCTTCACAACAGCAGCGACATCTCGGTGCAGGAGTGTGTGCCACTTCAACTTTCTCTGCACGCCAGCTGTTGCGAACAGTTGGCACCTCGGAGCCTACAGTTTTAGGCAAATTTTTGTCAATGGTACAGATAAACCTGGCACACCTGATAGCACCCGTGGACGACAGTCGTATCAGGTATAGCAATACTATCAGGTATGCAAGTAGGCTTAAAAGTACTACAGTAACCAAAATGTATTCCAGCTGTAGCAGTGATTCTCACTGGTATTTCTGTTCTACTAGCCATCAATCCATGAGTAATGTCTCTCGAACACATAACAACACCCACCTGCAGAACGCAGCCACTTCTATTGTCAGTAGCTCTGCATGTACGTCCTGGTCCGCTGGAACGCAACCACTTCTATTGCCAGTAGCTCTGCATGTACGTGCTGGTCCGGCTTGGTGCGGTGCAGTAGGCCGCACGTCCAGGTGAAGATGCTGGTACTACATCCCCATGTCCAGTTGAGGCTCTACAAGTAGTACGTCATGTATTGATCAGAGCTGGGCAGCGGATGTCCTGGTGTTGAACTGCTTTCGGCACACAAAATTCGTGCCTGTCATTTACCTGGCGCTCTCAAAAAGAGGCAGATGATGTCTTGAACGGGGAGATAATGAACAGTGTGAGTAGGCTTTGAGTAAGATATTACGATAGCGGCATTAACGAAACGGAGGGTGTTACGCCGGATCTAAGCATGGATGAACAGGCGACACCAGTTCGGAACGTTATTTGGATGCTGTCTGAGCATCCCGACCTTGATGAAAAGCTGCTACTAGACCTCCGCAAGCTGTAGACGCGGGTGCGGAAGCAAATGCATCGCGAGAAAGAAGTAAATGCCACGCAAACAGATTCTTTGTAGCTTGCTAGACGCTATCAGGTTGGTCGAAATCTTGTATCGGATATCGCATTTGGCAGTTATCAGATTTACTCCATACATTTGCCTGCCTACCAAGTCGGTGGATTGACTTCGTATCGGATATAGCAATATATCGGGTTTGTCAGGTATCCGTTAGTACAGGATTGTCTGTACCGTAGTACGGACCTACCATGAACTTCGTAAACGTTCTTCTTCCTTCTTCACACTGGTAAAATGCAGAATTTTGTAGGGCCTGTACTACAAATCTATTCTACCACCTAAAAGCGACGGGAAAAGGGTTCGCATACTTAAGTACGAAGTTTTGCCACTACCCGTAGTTTTTCGATATTTGTGTAGAACCAGGCAGCGCCCGTCCCTACCCGGTTGATCTACGCGACTCCCCCGTGCTGCTGAGTCTTCAGCTCGCGCAGTGCGCAACAGGCTCGGCCATTGACCATTGAGAAGGGGGGAGCCGCCGACCCCATGGCCAAGCACAGGAAGGCGCGGCCCCATGGCGAGGACGCCGGCCCGCCGCCGCCACTGGCGGTCGAGAACAGCAACAACAATTTAGAGGAAGCGGTAGAGGCCGACGCCAAGCAGCAGCAGCAGCTGAAGGAGACGAAGCCGGCCGCGCAGAGCTTCGGGTCGCAGGTGGAGGCGCTGGCGCAGCTGCTCATGGACGCCAACGCGCCCGCCGTGGGCGTGGACCTGCGCGGCCGCGTGACGGTCTGGAACCGGCGCATGGAGGAGATCACGGGCTTCCACGCCGAGCGCGTGCGGGGCCGCCCCATCTCCGACTTCGTGTACGGCGCGCAGCGCAAGCGCGAGATCCAGAGCGTCGTGGACGGCTGTCTGCGCGACAAGCGGCCGGTGCTGGAGCTGCGCGTGCCGCTGCTCACGACCACGGGCCGCAACGCCGAGGTGCTGACCAACATGACGCCCCTGCTGGCTGAAGACGGCGCGTGCGTGGGCGTCTACGGCGTGGGCCAGGACGTGACGGAGTGGGCCATCCAGGAGAAGCAGTACGCTACGGTCATGATGCAGGCCAACGCGCCCATCATTGAGCTGGACAAGGAAGGGAACATCACGGTCTGGAACTCCAAGACCGCGTCCATGACGGGATATGCTAGTGTGGACATGGTGGGCGAGCCGCTGCTGCCTGTGGTGGACCGCAACTTCAGGAAGATCGTGTCGGAGAAGATCGACCAGGCGCTCTCGGGCATCGCAGGCGCAGACTTTGAGCTGCCGCTGGTGACAGCCAGAGGATCCAGAGTGGAGATCGTGTTGTGCTTGACCCCGAGGTTCGACACGCTCGGGTCTGTAATGGGCGTCGTGGCTATTGGACAGGATGTTACCGAGAGAAATACGAAGGAGATGGAGTACAGGAAGCTCATCGAGACGGCCAACGCGCCCATCTTCGGCGTGGATACCCAGGGCCGAGTGGTCATTTTCAACACGAAAGCAGCACAGATTAGCGAGTATGCGCCTGAGGAAGTGATGGGCGTGGACCTGGTGGAGACGCTGATCGCCAAGGATTTCCGGTCCGAGGTGGCTGCAGTCTTCCAGAGCGCGTTTCAGGGAATCGAGACGGCCAACTTTGAGTTCCCGTTGGTCACCAAGACGGGAAGGAAAGTGGAGATTTTGCTGAACGCTACGCCGCGGTATGATCACACAGGCCAGCTAGTGGGCGTCGTGGGCATCGGTCAGGATATAACGGATCGTATCATCCAGGAGAAGGAGTACAGCCGGCTGATCGACACCGCTAACGCCCCCATCTTCGGCGTCGACTGCAACTTTGAAGTGATTATCTGGAACAAAAAGGCAGCAGCAATCACCGACTACACGAATGAAGACACAATAGGCCAGAAGATCTTCAAGTTCATCTCCGAGGATTATCGTGATGCCGTGGGCAAAGTTCTCTCCAAGGCAATGGAGGGAGAGGGCACAGCAAACTTTGACTTCCCATTGATCACGAAAAATGGGCGCCGATTGGATATTCTGCTGAATGCGACGCCAAAGTACGATCACTTTGGCAATATTAGCGGGGCTGTCGGAATCGGTCAGGATATCACAGATAGACGTGCTCAAGAGCAGGAGTACACTCGCCTCATCGACACAGCTAATGCACCAATCTTTGGTGTCGATGGAAATGGCTGTGTGAATATCTGGAACCGCAAAGCTGCTGAGACGACACAGTACCCGAATGAAGAAGTGCTTGGAGTAAATTTGGTCGAAAACTTCATCCCGGACGATTTCCAGGAGGCCGTCTGGACGGTATTTTCCCAAGCGCTAAAAGGGCAAGAAACTGCAAATTTTGAGTTCCCGCTGATTACGAAGGATGGCCGCCGCCTAGAGATTCTGTTGAACGCCACACCGCGCTACAACGAAAAAGGCACCGTCATTGGTGTCGTAGGTATTGGGCAGGATATCACAGTTCGAATGGCTCAAGAGAAGGAAACCAACCGGCTGATCCACTCGGCAAATGCTCCGATCTTCGGTGTAGACCAGGATGGCCTGGTGAACATTTGGAATATGAAGGTGGCAGAGATCACCCAATTTTCGTCTGAGGAAGTGATGGGAAGAGATCTCGTAAACCGATTTGTCGCTGAAGATCATCGTGAATCAGTAGGTCTGTTGCTGCGGAAGGCCCTCCAAGGAGAGCAAACTGGCAATTTCGACTTCCCTCTAATTACCAAGACAGGGCGGAGAGTTGAGATTCTACTGAATGCGACCCCGCGGTACGATGAGCTAGGCCAAATTTTTGGTGTGATGGGGATTGGCCAAGACATCACGGAACGAATTGCCCAGGAGCAGGAGTACATCCGCCTGATTGATACTGCCAACGCCCCCATTTTCGGCGTTGACTCCGAAGGCCGCGTGAACATTTGGAACAAGAAGGCTGCGGAGATCATGCAGTACACGACGGATGCAGTGATGGGCGAGAAGCTCGTGGAGAAATACATCACGAAGGACTACCAGGAGGCTGTTAGCTATGTGCTGTCTGAGGCGCTGAATGGTGTCGAAACAGCCAACTTTGAGTTCCCGCTGATCACAAAGGCTGGTCGACGCGTTGAGATTTTGTTGAACGCTACGCCTCGGTATAACGAGCATGGTGCAGTAATTGGCATGGTTGGTATCGGACAGGATATTACGGATCGTATCGCGCAAGAGCAGGAGTACATGCGTCTGATTGATACGGCCAACGCTCCGATCTTTGGTGTCGACATCAATGGTCGTGTCAACATTTGGAACAGGAAGGCTGCCGACACGATGCAGTACACCACAGAGGATGTTCTCGGCAAGGACTTGGTTGCTGAGTTCATCTCGGAGGAGTACAAGGTGCCCGTGCGTAGTGTGCTGGAGAAGGCGTTCGAAGATGTAGAGACGGCGAATTTCGAGTTCCCATTGATCACCAAGGCCGGTCGTCGCGTAGAGATTTTGCTGAATGCGACTCCCCGGTATAACGAGCAGGGTCAAGTCATGGGTATGGTGGGTATCGGTCAAGATATCACAGTACGGATGGCACAAGAGAAGGAAAAGAACCGGATGATCCACACTGCCAACGCTCCAATTTTCGGTGTAGACCAGGATGGCCTGGTGAACATTTGGAATCTGAAGGTGGCGGAGATTACGCAGTTCTCGTCAGAAGAAGTCATGGGGCAAGACCTCGTGAACCGGTTCGTTGCAGAAGACTACCGGGAAGAAGTGATGTCAAATTTGCAGAAAGCGTTAAATGGAGAACCGACCGGTAACTTCGACTTCCCTCTAATTACCAAGACAGGGCGGAGAGTTGAGATTCTACTCAATGCTACACCACGGTATGACGAGTTAGGCCAGATATTTGGAGCAACGGGAATCGGCCAAGACATCACGGAACGAATTGCCCAGGAGCAGGAGTACATCCGCCTGATTGATACTGCCAACGCCCCCATTTTCGGCGTTGATTCCGAAGGCCGCGTGAACATTTGGAACAAGAAGGCTGCGGAGATCATGCAGTACACGACGGATGCAGTGATGGGTGAGAAGCTCGTGGAGAAGTACATCACGAAGGACTACCAGGAGGCTGTTAGCTATGTGCTGTCTGAGGCGCTGAATGGTGTCGAAACAGCCAACTTTGAGTTCCCGCTGATTACGAAGGCGGGCCGACGTGTCGAAATCTTGCTGAACGCTACGCCTCGGTATAACGAGCATGGTGCAGTGATCGGCATGGTTGGTATTGGGCAGGATATTACGAATCGAATCGCCCAAGAGCAGGAGTACATGCGTCTGATCGATACGGCAAACGCTCCGATCTTTGGTGTCGATATCAATGGTCGAGTGAATATTTGGAACCGAAAAGCGGCGCATATTATGCAGTACACCACTGAAGATGTCCTCGGCAAGGATCTGGTCGCTGAGTTCATCTCCAAGGAATACAAGGTGCCCGTGCGTAGTGTTCTGGAGAAGGCTTTCGAGGGTGTGGAGACGGCGAATTTCGAGTTCCCGTTGATTACGAAGGCTGGTCGTCGTGTAGAAATCTTGCTAAATGCAACCCCTCGATACAATGAACAGGGTCAAGTCATGGGCATGGTGGGCATCGGCCAAGATATCACGGAGCGTATCGCCCAAGAGCAAGAACACAGTCGAATGATCGATACGGCTAATGCCCCGATTTTCGGCGTTGACATTAACGGGCACGTGAACATTTGGAACCGCAAGGCAGCGGACATCATGCAATACACCAACGAGGATGTGCTGGGCAAGGATCTGGTCGCTGAGTTCATTTCGAACGAGTACAAGGTGCCTGTGCGAAGCGTGTTGGAGAAGGCATTCGAAGGCGTTGAGACGGCCAATTTTGAGTTCCCGCTCATCACGAAGGCCGGTCGGCGCGTGGAGATTTTGCTCAATGCCACGCCGCGCTATAACGAACATGGTGAGGTCATGGGTATGGTCGGTATCGGCCAGGATATTACAGAACGTATTGCTCAAGAGCAGGAGTACAGCCGCTTGATTGATACGGCGAATGCTCCGATTTTCGGCGTTGACATCAATGGCCATGTGAACATTTGGAACCGTAAGGCCGCCGATATCATGCAGTACACGAACGAGGATGTGCTCGGCAAGGATTTGGTGGCGGAGTTCATCTCGGAAGAGTACAAGGTGCCTGTGCGCAGTGTGCTTGAGAAGGCTTTCGAGGGTGTGGAGACCGCGAACTTTGAATTCCCGTTGATCACGAAGGCTGGACGTCGCGTGGAGATTCTGTTGAACGCCACGCCCCGATACAATGAGCACGGTGAAGTAAAGGGTATGGTTGGTATTGGTCAGGATATTACGGAGCGCATTGCTCAGGAACAGGAGTACAGCCGTTTGATCGATACGGCCAACGCTCCAATTTTCGGAGTAGACATCAACGGCCGCGTAAATATTTGGAACCGAAAGGCGGCTGGTATCATGCAGTACACCAACGAAGACGTGCTTGGTAAGGACCTCGTTGCCGAGTTCATATCCAACGAGTATAAGGTGCCTGTGCGTAGCGTGTTGGAGAAGGCTTTCGAGGGTGTGGAGACCGCGAATTTCGAATTCCCGTTGATCACGAAGGCTGGCAGACGTGTTGAGATTTTGTTGAACGCTACACCGCGATACAACGAGCACGGGGAAGTTAAGGGTATGGTGGGTATTGGTCAGGATATCACGGAGCGTATCGCGCAGGAACAAGAATATAGCCGTTTGATTGACACAGCTAATGCTCCAATCTTCGGCGTTGATATCAACGGTCGTGTGAACATTTGGAACCGCAAAGCAGCAGATATCATGCAGTACACCAACGAAGACGTATTGGGCAAGGACTTGGTTGCCGAGTTTATCTCAGAGGAGTACAAGGTGCCTGTGCGTAGTGTTCTGGAGAAGGCTTTCGAAGGCGTTGAGACGGCGAATTTCGAGTTCCCTCTCATCACAAGAGCTGGTCGACGTGTCGAAATTCTATTGAATGCCACACCCCGCTACAACGAACGTGGTGAGGTGATGGGAATGGTCGGTATTGGCCAGGATATCACCGACCGTATTGCTCAGGAGCAAGAATACACGAGACTGATCGATTCTGCGAACGCACCGATCTTTGGCGTGGACACGAACGGCTGTGTGAATATCTGGAACAAGAAGGCTGCTGAAATCACGCAGTACACACCGAATGACGTGATGGGCGAGAATCTGGTGGAGAAGTTCATCACGGAAGACTACCGTGAGGCCGTTCGTCTCGTTTTCTCGAAGGCGGGCGAGGGCACGGAGACGGCGAACTTCGAGTTCCCACTGATTACGAAGACTGGCCGCCGCGTGGAGATTCTGCTGAACGCTACGTCTCGATTCAATGAGATTGGTGAGGTTATTGGTGTTGTGGGCATCGGCCAGGACATCACGGAGCGCATTGCGCAGGAGCAGGAGTACACGCGTCTTATCGATACGGCTAACGCTCCGATCTTTGGCGTCGATATCAATGGCCGTGTGAATATCTGGAACCGAAAGGCTGCTGAGATCATGCAGTACACCACAGAGGATGTTCTCGGCAAGGATCTGGTCGCTGAGTTTATCTCCAAGGAATACAAGGTCCCCGTTCGCAGTGTTCTGGAGAAGGCGTTCAAGGATGTGGAGACGGCAAACTTCGAGTTCCCGTTGATTACGAAGGCCGGTCGGCGCGTGGAGATTTTGCTCAATGCCACGCCGCGCTATAACGAACATGGTGAGGTCATGGGTATGGTCGGTATCGGCCAGGATATTACAGAACGTATTGCTCAAGAGCAGGAGTACACGCGCCTGATCGATACGGCGAATGCTCCGATTTTCGGTGTTGACATCAATGGCCATGTGAACATTTGGAACCGCAAGGCAGCGGACATCATGCAATACACCAACGAGGATGTGCTGGGCAAGGATCTGGTCGCTGAGTTCATTTCGAACGAATACAAGGTGCCTGTGCGAAGCGTGTTGGAGAAGGCATTCGAAGGCGTTGAGACGGCCAATTTTGAGTTCCCGCTCATCACGAAGGCAGGTCGTCGCGTGGAAATTCTACTGAATGCCACTCCTCGATACAACGAGCGTGGCGAGGTCATGGGCATGGTGGGTATCGGCCAGGATATTACAGAACGTATTGCTCAAGAGCAGGAGTACAGCCGCTTGATTGATACGGCGAATGCTCCGATTTTCGGCGTTGACATCAATGGCCATGTGAACATTTGGAACCGTAAGGCCGCCGATATCATGCAGTACACGAACGAGGATGTGCTCGGCAAGGATTTGGTGGCGGAGTTCATCTCGGAAGAGTACAAGGTGCCTGTGCGCAGTGTGCTTGAGAAGGCTTTCGAGGGTGTGGAGACCGCGAACTTTGAATTCCCGTTGATCACGAAGGCTGGACGTCGCGTGGAGATTCTGTTGAACGCCACGCCCCGATACAATGAGCACGGTGAAGTAAAGGGTATGGTTGGTATTGGTCAGGATATTACGGAGCGCATTGCTCAGGAACAGGAGTACAGCCGTTTGATCGATACGGCCAACGCTCCAATTTTCGGAGTAGACATCAACGGCCGCGTAAATATTTGGAACCGAAAGGCGGCTGGTATCATGCAGTACACCAACGAAGACGTGCTTGGTAAGGACCTCGTTGCCGAGTTCATATCCAACGAGTATAAGGTGCCTGTGCGTAGCGTGTTGGAGAAGGCTTTCGAGGGTGTGGAGACCGCGAATTTCGAATTCCCGTTGATCACGAAGGCTGGCAGACGTGTTGAGATTTTGTTGAACGCTACACCGCGATACAATGAACGTGGTGAGGTCATGGGTATGGTCGGTATCGGCCAGGATATCACGGAGCGCATCGCTCAGGAACAAGAGTACAGCCGGTTGATTGACACAGCTAATGCTCCAATCTTCGGCGTTGATATCAACGGTCGTGTGAACATTTGGAATAGGAAGGCTGCCGATACTATGCAGTACACCACTGAAGATGTGTTTGGCAAGGATTTGGTGGCGGAGTTCATTTCGAACGAGTACAAGGTGCCTGTGCGTAGTGTGCTGGAGAAGGCGTTCGAAGGCGTAGAGACGGCGAATTTCGAGTTCCCATTGATCACCAAGGCCGGTCGTCGCGTAGAGATTTTGCTGAATGCTACACCGCGCTACAATGAACGTGGTGAGGTCATGGGCATGGTGGGTATCGGCCAGGATATCACTGAACGCATCGCTCAGGAGCAGGAGTACAGCCGTTTGATTGATACGGCGAATGCTCCAATCTTTGGTGTGGATGCTAACATGCGAATCAATATCTTCAATCGGAAAGCGCAACAGACCACGAACTTTCCGGTAGAAGAGGTTGTGGGTGAGAACGTTGAAACCATTATCGCCCCAGAGTTCAAGTCGATGACATACGATATCATGTGCAAAGCACTACAAGGAAACGAAACTGCTAGCTTCGAATTGGCGCTCGAAACAAAAACTGGTCGTAGAGTGAACATCCTGCTGAACGCAACGGCCCGCTTTGATCAGCACGGACGGATCGTTGGTGTCGTTGGTATCGGCCAGGATATCACCGACCGTATTGCTCAGGAGCAAGAATACACGAGACTGATCGACTCTGCGAACGCACCGATCTTTGGCGTGGACACGAACGGCTGTGTGAATATCTGGAACAAGAAGGCTGCTGAAATCACGCAGTACACACCGAATGACGTGATGGGCGAGAATCTGGTGGAGAAGTTCATCACGGAAGACTACCGTGAGGCCGTTCGTCTCGTTTTCTCGAAGGCGGGCGAGGGCACGGAGACGGCGAACTTCGAGTTCCCACTGATTACGAAGACTGGCCGCCGCGTGGAGATTCTGCTGAACGCTACGTCTCGATTCAATGAGATTGGTGAGGTTATTGGTGTTGTGGGCATCGGCCAGGACATCACGGAGCGCATTGCGCAGGAGCAGGAGTACACGCGTCTTATCGATACGGCTAACGCTCCGATCTTTGGCGTCGATATCAATGGCCGTGTGAATATCTGGAACCGAAAGGCTGCTGAGATCATGCAGTACACCACAGAGGATGTTCTCGGCAAGGATCTGGTCGCTGAGTTTATCTCCAAGGAATACAAGGTCCCCGTTCGCAGTGTTCTGGAGAAGGCGTTCAAGGATGTGGAGACGGCAAACTTCGAGTTCCCGTTGATTACGAAGGCCGGTCGGCGCGTGGAGATTTTGCTCAATGCCACGCCGCGCTATAACGAACATGGTGAGGTCATGGGTATGGTCGGTATCGGCCAGGATATTACAGAACGTATTGCTCAAGAGCAGGAGTACACGCGCCTGATCGATACGGCGAATGCTCCGATTTTCGGTGTTGACATCAATGGCCATGTGAACATTTGGAACCGTAAGGCCGCCGATATCATGCAGTACACGAACGAGGATGTGCTCGGCAAGGATTTGGTGGCGGAGTTCATCTCGGAAGAGTACAAGGTGCCTGTGCGCAGTGTGCTTGAGAAGGCTTTCGAGGGTGTGGAGACCGCGAACTTTGAATTCCCGTTGATCACGAAGGCTGGACGTCGCGTGGAGATTCTGTTGAACGCCACGCCCCGATACAATGAGCACGGTGAAGTAAAGGGTATGGTTGGTATTGGTCAGGATATTACGGAGCGCATTGCTCAGGAACAGGAGTACAGCCGTTTGATCGACACGGCAAATGCTCCCATTTTTGGCGTTGATGCCAATATGTGTGTCAATATCTGGAACCGAAAGGCGGCACAGATTACCAACTACTCGATTGAGGAAGTTATGGGCGAGAATCTGGTGGAAACCTTCATTTCTCCGGAGTTCCGACCGATTGTGGCTGAAGTGCTCTCGCTAGCCCTTACGGGAGTTGAGACCGCGAACTTTGAATTCCCATTGATTACCCGTCCTGGCACGAGAATCGAGATTTTGCTAAATGCAACGCCCCGATACGACTTAAACGGTAACATCGTCGGTGTTGTCGGCATTGGTCAAGATATTACGGATCGCATCGCCCAGGAGCATGAGTACTTCCGATTGATTGATACTGCGAATGCCCCGATTTTTGGTATCGATACGAATGGCCGTATCAACGAGTGGAACCAGAAAATCGAGGAGATCACTGGCTACCACAAGTCGAGCGTACTCGGCCTATCGCTGGTGCATACGTTCATCACGCCAGAGTCTAGGCAGCAAGTGCGGCAGTTGCTGAACCAGGCGTTGATTGGTATTGACGTTGGCGAGATGGAGCTTCCCATGACGACGAAGCGTGGCGTGTTCCTGCTGCTACTTGTGAATGCTTCAAGTAAGAAGGATATGCATGGAAACATTCGTGGTGTGATTGGTGTTGGACAAGATTACACTGCGAGGAAGCACATGGAGGCTGCTAAGGTGAACTTCTTGGCCTCATTCAGCCACGAGTTGAGAACGCCGTTGAACGGCGTGCTTGGAATGTTGGAGCTGTTGAAGGAGCAGCCCCTCGACAAGTCAATCGAGAGATACGTGCACATGGCGTATGTATCAGGCTCGCTCCTGCTCAATCTGATCAATGACATTCTGGACTTGTCGAAGATCGAGGCTGGGCATCTTGAAATTTCGGCTGCTCCCTTCCAGATGCATGAACTATTGGACTATTCGATTGAGATTTTCAAGTTCAAGGCCCGGGAGCGTGGACTCAAGCTTGAGCTAAAGAGCGGTGATAATGTGCCGAAGGCTGTAATTGGTGATGTTGTACGTCTACGTCAAGTTCTGTTGAACCTGCTATCAAACGCAATCAAGTTCACCAATGAAGGCTCTATTACGGTCGCATGCAGCGTGGTGAATTCTCCAGACTTGCCGCCACAATTCAGAAAGCTCCTGTTCCAAGTTATCGACACTGGAATCGGTATGGATGCCGAGGAGAAGATGCGCCTCTTCTCCTTGTTTACGAAATTGGAGCGAACTCGCCAAAACAACCCTACTGGCTCCGGTCTGGGTCTTGCAATTTGCAAGCAGCTTGCGGAGCTCATGGATGGATCTATCGACGTTGACAGTGAGCTGGGAGTTGGTAGCAACTTCTTCTTTACGGTGGTTGTGCGATTGATCGATGAGGTCGACCCCAAACACGCGTACTACACGAACGAGGACTTCTTTGATCCGCCCTTGCCCATGTTATCCGACGGATCAACCCGCACTGGAGACAACAGCGAGACTGCATCCGTACGCGTGGAGATCCCGACCCAGGCGCGCATTCTGGTCGTCGAGGACAACGAGTTCAACTGGGAAGTTGTCAAGTGCTTCCTTCAGCAAGATGACCACATGCTCCAGTGGGAGGTCAACGGTCGTGATGCTGTCAAGGCTTACAGCGAAAACCACGCCGAGTTCGACCTGATCTTCATGGATTGCGAGATGCCGATCATGGATGGCTACACAGCGACCGCGACAATCCGCGAGTTTGAGCGTGAGTTCAATCTTCCGCGTATCCCGATTCTTGGATTAACCGCGTACGCGATGAGTGGTGACCGGCAGAAGTGTCTGGACTGCGGCATGGACGAGTTTATGGTGAAACCCATCTCAAAGCTGAGCCTCCGTAAGGCTATTCGACAGTGGATGCGTATTCGCTACCTCGGCCAGCAGAACGCAGCTCTCGCACAGATACCCGGTTCAGTTGGGCACGTGGCTGCAGCAAGGCAGAATGGATCAAAGCCAACCGTGAAGAGCCCGGTGCGGATTGCGATGGCGCCGCCTGGTGCTCCAACGCCGATGCCTTCGTTCGAAAATGATCTTGAGGACGTGACACTGATGGACGCGGCATCGACTGCTCGCCTTGCACCTGCATCTCGCCACATGCAGCAACTGGATCTAGCGCAGGCCATCTCGAATCTGGAGCTGGACGATCCCATGTCAATTGGGCTACAAAGTGGCCGAGCTACTCGAACTGCCACACCGACGACATCGATCTTCAGTCTGGGCCCCTCCGTAAACAACAATGTCGCGCGACAAACGAGCTCAAACGACTTGCCAGATTTGCTCCGGTTATCAAGGAACACGAGCGGCGCATCAACTGCCAGCCCACCCGAGCCAGAGAACACAACGTCCGAGACTTCAGCTACGTTGCCCTACATCAAAGCCCCGTTCGCTGGAGTGACGATCCCAGCCTCCTCTGGACAGCGCTCGTCGTTGCCAACAAACCCGACACTCTGGAGCCACCCACCGTTCAACAAGAAGGATCTGCCGGAAGGACGACTGCAGTCCTGGTCCGGCTTGGTGCCGAAGAAGAAGGTCAGCTTCCATGAGGAGCTAGGGTCAACTCATCCTAGCCGCGGAGGGCTCAGCAGCAGTGGTGGCAGCGCAATGCCTTCGTTGCTTGAGCGTATGGAAACTGGAAGCTCGGTTGAAGATGAGCCTCCTGTCGTGGCTACTGCTCAACATGGAGAGGGCGAGGCCGCCGTTTCTCACTCAATCGATCCCATGAGCATCGAGATTCCTGAAGGAGACCCAGTCAATTACTCGCTGGGCGTGGAACAGTGTGGAGGTCACGAGGAGCTCTTCATGACTCTCTTGGAGAAGTTTGCGACTACCTCAGAGGCAATTACGTCGCGGGTGGTCGAAGCTCACGAGCGCAATGATTTCGTTACTGCTCGTCGGGAAACTCATTCGCTCAAGGGGTCGTCTGCTTATGTCGCCGCTCTTCGCGTGTCAAAGTGTGCGTTCCGCGTCCAGGTTGCGTACGAACACCTGATGGCTCAGCAGGCGAATGGTGAGGGCTCTGATACCCTTGCTGCGAAGCAGATCGTCGACGACTCGGTCAAGTTGCTGACCAAGGAGCAGCGACTTCTGCGTGGATACCTCCGCCGCAACTTTGAGTTCAACTCTGAAGCGAGATCGTCCCAGACATCGACTGGCCAGCAGCCCGACAACCAAGACAAACCAACCGGCCCATGCTGCGTTATGTGAAAACAAGACTTAGCTTTGATGTGCGTCGATGAGTAAGTTTATAAAATAAAAGATTGTTTTGCTTCCGTATTCTACTGACGCGTGAAACTCCTTCAAAGGCGACGAGGCGAATCATTATAGATAGCGGAGCGAAGCACCAAGAGCAGAGGAATGTCGAGGCGACGCATGAGCGGAGACAAGCTGACGGGGCTATTTGGCGGCAGCTCTTTGAGCTTGGGCAACAACGACGACAACCAGGACAGCAGTCGACCCAGTGCACTGCGAGTCAAGATCATCTCGATGGGGGAGAGTGGCGTGGGCAAGAGCTGCGTGATCAAGCGCTACTGCGAGGAGAAGTTCGTGAGCAAGTACATCTCGACCATCGGCATCGACTACGGCGTCAAGCCCGTGATGGTCAACGGAGCTGAGGTGCGCGTCAACTTCTGGGACCTGTCGGGGCTGCCGGAGTATCTGGAGGTGCGGAACGAGTTCTACAAGGATACCCAGGGAGGGATCCTCATGTTCGACGTGTCTTCACGACGGAGCTTCGAGGCGCTCGACAGTTGGCTGCGTGAGGCTGCCAAGTTCGGCGCGGGTAAGTTCCCCTGCATCCTGTGTGGGAACAAAGTCGACCGTCCGCGTGTCGTCTCGGAAGACGAGGCCAAGGCTTACGCTCTGTCCAAGGGGTTCGAGTACTTTGAGACGTCTGCGTGCACTGGCGTGAGCATCACGGAGGCCTTCCACTCGCTGTTCAGGACGGTAGTCAAACACGTGACACGTTAACTGGGGTTGGCAATATGCAATGTGCATTAGAAGGACAGGCGAACTGCAGCTAGTAGAGGTAAACGCTGTAAGCTGTAGTCACGCAGAACAAACTGTCCTGCAATACACAATTTGCAAGATAGCAGAACGCGAGTTAGAGGGAAAAAAAATCTATCGACCATCGGCTGCTGCGGACGCATGCACTCACGTTTGAAAAGGTTTCGGACGCGTAGCAGTCCGTCTCGGCATCCCAGAAGCACCGACACCCCATTCTATACAGCAACACAACGCATCATCACTATACCTGGCACCAGAGACCTGTGCGCCTAACAAACAATCCTCACCTCACGCCCTCTCCGCGCTGCTCGCCAATGACGACTTGCACCACGTACTTGAAGCGAGGGAAATTGCACTCTGTCAACACACAGCGACAACAGCCAACAATTAAATACCCAGCACTACAACATACCCACCCAAGCACGTAGCCCCCACCTTTCAGCCGCATCTTGACGGCGTCCGCGATCTCCTTGGTCAGCGCCGCCGCCCGATCCGACTGGTAGCTGGCGTTGTCCAGCTTCTCCGCCAGCACCTGCCCGATCACCTGCTTCATCTTGGTCGTCGTGGGCTTGGCCTTCGGGTTCAGCTGCAGCGCCCTCGATCCTTCGGGCGGCGCCACCATCTCTGCAACAATCTCAATAATGCCACACGTCGCTTCAAGATCCACCGAATACTGAGACTCTTACAACAATATACTGCTTTAACACTAACCATATCCATTTGCCTCCGTTATCGTAGCTGACCAGCATGGGCGACCTGCTGCCGTGCCTCGTGTGCGACCAGCCGCTGCCCGAGGACCCGACGGCGCGCTGCCTGACCGACTGCTCGCACGAGTTCTGCCTCTCGTGCCTGTGTCGCCGCCTGCCGGCCACCAAGAACCGCTGCCCTGGCTGCCACGCGCAGGTCAAGCGGGTGACGCAGCTGCTGCCCCAGGACGGCGACGCCGAGGCGTCCCCCAAGCCGGCCTTCGTGCGCTTCTGCAACGCCGTCTACGCGCTCAACGTGTCCATCTGGGCCGTGGACGACCCGGCGCAGGTGCTGGCCGCGCTCTTCAACTTGGAGCACGCGCGGCTCATCCATCGGGGCAAAGTGCTCCAGCGCGGGGACGTCTGGCCGGGCTCGGTCGTGCAGCTCTTCGGCACGCAGAAGGGGGCGCTGCAGACGGCGGCGGCGGGGAATTATTTGACGTGGCTCCCCCACGAGTGGCTGCAGAGGGCCAAGAACGTCGTGTGCTTCCCCTTGAGCATCCTCTACGACTTCGTACGGTCCCTCTTTGGCAACGTGGAGCAGCAGCAGCAGAGAGGACAGAGGGGCTACGCGCAGGTCCCGACGAGTGATAACTCGAGAGCTTCCGCCAGCTTCCGGGAGCCAGGACGGGTGCCGAGTCCAGACCATACTGAGCTGCTGTAATGGCTCAAGAGACCAGTCATGAAGTAACAGTAAGTATCGTGAAAACCGAGTATACTCGATCAAGTGCTTGGTTGGTTAATTGCTACGATCTGTGCAGATGAACCCCGAGTTGACCCTATTTTGTTTGGTGCATCTCCTCCAAGTGGTCAACTCCGTGTTGCTCGACGAATTCACGAACTCTGTCCGGGTGGAATTTAATACGTGGGTCGTTTTCCGGATATTCCATCCCGGCAAAGTGGGAACTTTTCCACTTGGGGATCTCCAACACGCCCTCGCTCGTGGTGTAGTAGTCGAAGACGTCGCCCACGCGGATCTTGGCGTGCTGGAGATCGATGGGCAGGCGGTTTTCCGACTGGCAGCTGTCGTCCCACCGCGTCGAGATCTCGCCGATTTTGAGTTCCGACAACTCGCGCACGAACTTCAGCAAACTGGCGTCGGGCTCACCCCATGAACAAGAGCTCGAATGACCAAGGCAAAAGTCCAAGATGGCGTTGCGCGGGCTGTATGTAAACCAGCGCTTAGCGTTTGCGACCCTCGTGATCTCGCGTCCTTGCATTTCCTCGCCGGCTTGTAGTCGTATGAACTAGAGGGGGCCACCCCGACTTCTGATGAAACTGATGACTAAGTTTATACGCTGTTTAACGCTTAGGACACTCATGATCCCTTTCCTGAGAGCGACCTTGGACCGTTGCAAATTCTGAAGGAGAGTGATAGATACTGAGTTGAAGGCATCATTTCTTGACTTCTCACTCATTTTGCCAAAAGCCTGGCATGTGAAGATGCTTCTGCTCTGTTGTAAGTTCATTGGTGGGCCAAGCACCATCTTTTTCCTGTCTGTCAACACGAAGAAGTACCCGTTCGTGTGCTGTATGAAGGACCTGATCCAAAAGAAGTACCCAGAGACGGTCAAGTGCGAATCGCACGAGGTTCGGCTTTTCCTGGCGAAAAGAGACGGCAAGTGGCTGGATACGGCAGGCGCGGCAGCTCTGGAGCTCGATGGCAACCAATGCCCAGTAGGCTGCGAGGAGATGAACTACGCGCGCCATTGCATCGCTTGCTCAAGCATAACTGAATTGCCAGTGTGTGCGCCACAAAACCCAAAATCACCGATAATATGTGGAGACTGGAGCATCCTCAAAAGCACGCACTTTCACGTGAATTTCTTTTGAGCAGACCCCACACGCGTCGACATCGTTTAGTACTTGAGCTTTGCGACCAAGAACTTCGCCGTATCTATCTGGCGTGGCAAAAGGAAGATTTCCACCGTGGAGATTTCCATTCCTGCCAATTTCAGTTTGGTCAGCACTTCGTTGATATAACTCATCTTGACATCTTGCTTGGTCAAGTGGGCCACTCGGACGAAGATCACTTTTCCCTCTTCTGTGTCGAAGTACACGGCGTCATAGCACCCTTGGTCCCACACGACAGGCCGCAGCCAAAGCTGATCACCTGCAATTCTTAATTTTTGCTGTGCCTTCACCTCCTCGCCTTCCCCACAACCGATCCGATCCGAAAGTGTGCTCGAACGCAGCCCCATCGTGTTGAATCGCTTGAAACGCTTCTTCGGATCGAACAGCACCACTCGCGCTTGAGGGAGTTTATCTTCAACGCCTGCGTAGTCGAACAACCTCACCTGGTGCTTGGAGATTGATGCAAAGAACAACCTCACCTGGTGCTTGGAGATTGATGCAAAGAACAACCACTCAAACAGGCGGCCAGGATTCGCCCTCGTATTGACACTAATGGCCAAAAGCGGAATCACATCTTCGCTCGTTTCTTCCGCTAGGAGCGACGCCGCGAAGGAGCTCACAGGAAACCGCTCTCCATACCTTTTGTGTTTGGCAGCTTGCGACCCATAGAGTTTGTTAATCGGACTATCTTCATAGGCGCATGAGCAGTAGGTGAACAGCTTGTCCTTGATCAGGGTTCGATCCACCGTAGCTGTCAGCGTTTGAATCGCCACTTGCGTGCGATATTGAAACATAAACCGACACGAACCGCCCGCATAGTAGAACTTCAGACCCAACGCACGGTACTTCTTTTCGGCTTCGCTCAACTCTCCATCGCTGTCGTCGTCTGCTTCGTTCACGTCACAGGTGCTCGTTGCGTCAAACTTGGCAGCAACCGTGTCGTAAAAGTCTGGATCGGCAATGGCTTCGACGTATTCCTGCTTCGTCCATGAGTGCAGCGTAAAATACTTGATCTTGTTAACAAAGTCGTCCTCCTCGTTTGTCTTCCGAACTGTAGCCAACGAGGCACAAGTCACAAATTTGTCTTCCGCTCTGAGATCTGAAAAATATCCGCAAAAAAATCATCATCTTCAGGTGTATCCTTGAGCCCATCCATCCAGACAAACAGTTTCTTGTTGTCGACACGGGGAACTCGAATGCGTTGCGGTCGGAAATCTCCCACCACAGCTTGGCCTCCAAATCCACGCAGATAGGCTTCCTCGCAGCACCACTCAAATGGATCCAAACCACGTCCCATTCCTCGCGATCCAACGAAGCCGCAAAACTCAACACACCCACAGATTTACCCGTGCCAGGAGGTCCCACGACGAACCCCCTCTTCCCTTTCGCGATCACTTCATCTCGGAGGAATCCCCATAGTTCGTGCACTTGAGGACGGCATAAGATCATCAGCTCGTTCGCAAGCCACATTTCTCCAAAAAAGGACCCGGCAACGTGACGTAGTTTACACCCTCAATGTCAATCTGAGGCACGTCCTCGAGCTGTTCAACCGTATCATACGAAGAGAAATCCCCCAAGCGTCGTCGTTTGTTTGACCAGTAAACTTTCACCAGCACGTGAACTTGACCATCCTTCGGTCTAAAGTTCTCTCCGAAATTCCTTGCGTTCTTGAGCGGCAGTGTGGGGTCCAGCAGCTCGAAGCCTACCGGGTTTCCCTGTCTATCGACTCGATAGTATCGAGCGTCACAACATTCGCTCCTGCCCAATCTAACCACGTGCCGTCCGTTTTCTTTGCCGAGAAGAGGTGAAGGTTCTTCACATCCAGCTCCTTGTAGTCGCATTCGTTCTCGTCCTTGACCACCTGTTGCAACTGCATCCCCCTCTCACCGTCGTTGATCTCCACATCGAACGTGCTTCCATTCTCCCCAAGAACCACACAGATCAGTGACAGCTTCATCCTCTCTCCAAGCAGGCAGCAGATTCAGGAATGAAGGGTTATCAACTCCACACCCCTCAATCTTCGTCTTGACTAATAGATTACTTACGGATACGTGCCACTGTCACTACTACCACTTATAAGGTACCCAACCTCCTCTCATCCAATCAGCGACATCTAAAGCGTATCCATCCTGCAGCAGTGTAAGCATGGCGGAGCTCTCGAGCGCGGCGCCCGATCGCTCGCTGCTGGCCATGATGGACGAGGCGCAGCAGCGTCTGCAGCACCTGGAGATCTCGTGCCGCCAGATCCTGTCGCCCACCTCCTCTACTAACGCGATCCCCACTGCCGCCGCCTCCAGCCCGGACGTGAAGCTGCTGCAGCTGCAGGTCGCGCACCTCCAGACGCAGCTGCTGGCCACCGTGGAGCGCCGCGAGGACGAGGACGTGGCCTTCCGCCAGGCGGCGCAGTACGCGGCGGCCAAGGGCGTGTCCAACGGCGTCCTGCACTCGCTGTTCGACCAGGCCAACCTGGGCAAGGTCTCGGAGCTAAGGACGTACCTGGACTCGGGCTCCATCCCCACGCGCGACGGGCTCAGGCACTGGCGGCTGGACCTGCGCAACGTGCGCAATGAGGCCGGAGCCACGCTGCTGCATGTGGCGGTGGGGGTGTCCATGGCCAGGGAGAAGGTCAAGGTCAAGCTGGTGCACTTGCTGGTGGACAGAGTGGGCTTCGACCCGAACGTCCGGGACGTGGTAAGCTTAGCGCTGCAGTAGTGGGGTGAGGTATGAGGTGGTAGGGTGGGTTTAATGGTGCTGATTTTGTATGGTCTGCTGTTGTTTTATGGTGCTGATAGTTTGGGCAGACGCCGCTGCATGTGGCAGCTATGGGGGGATTCCAGGAGGTGAGGAGAGGTGGTGGCTTTGTTGCAGTTGATCGGAGTGGTAGTGTGCTGACGGTTGCTGGGTGCTGGGCAGGCGGTTCAAGCGCTGCTGGAACGAGGAGCTGACCCAGCGGCTCAGGATAGATCGGGGCTTACGGCGCTGTCGCTGGTGCGCACGCTGTCTAGGCCGCCGGAGGAGGTCGTGCAGACGCTGGTGGAGGCGGAAAATGCAGCAATTCGAAGTATGGATGGATTGGTTCGGAGGCGTGAATTATCAGGTTGGTGCTGATTTTTGTGTGCTTGTTTGGTATTTTTTGCTATAGACGCTCGCTCTGGGTCGGCGTCCATTCCTCTCTCTGTAAGTATCCTCGAGTTTAGCTGCGCGGCTACTTGTGGGAATCTAACTATGGCGGTTGTTCCCAGAAAGCGATGGCATCAGCTCTGTTCTTGAAAAGGCTATCTCGATTCGTTCTAGAACGCTACTCCAATGCGTTTACTCGTCAGACTACGGCATTGGTGAACGCACTGCTAGAAGGTCCTTTTGTTGTTAAAGCTTCTGTGTGGCTTAGACATTAACCCTGCTTGTTTCGTGTGCTTCTAGCCCCGGAGGAGGCCAACATTGCATTCGACCAAGTCCTTCAAGAACGAGTGCCTATGCTGTTCGAGGTCCTGCCTGCCTGCCAAGTGGTCCGGCTTGACACGATTTTTGCGAGCACGCTCTTCTGGGATCAAGATTTCATCAACGACCTCAAACTGGAGGCATATGGATACGGGCTCTCGCTTGTCTCGCCTGGACTAACCAATCACGCGCTCTTTGGCCCAACTTGGTTTGGGGTGCTGTCGAAACTAATTCAGTGCCTCAAGGTAGAGATGGCGGATCCTGCTGAAGGGGAAATAGATGGCGAAGTGGAGGACACGGCATCGCCTCGAGCGCCTTCGAAGGATGGGGATGTGGTTATGGGAGAACCAAGCGACAACTGTGACGGTGCTCTGATGGTGCCCCCACGACGAAAGCTGTCGATATCCTCGTCCTCCTCATCACTCGCGAAGGACCCTCGTACCGCGCTATACTACGCCGACCAAACGACGTGTGTTGCCAAGACGCGTCAGATGTGGTATTACGCAGTGCTCTTCAAGGCATCGGCGCACGCTTTCCCCGGAACTCTTGCGCTAACACCAGAAAGCGACGTAGCGATCTCATCGGAGGATGTGTCCAAGTACTTCCCGCTTGAAGATCGCCTTTTGATAGGGTCAGCAGAGTATATTGCGATCGAGTACAACTCGCAGACCCGAGAAATCCGCCTTGGTAAGTCAGTACGCAGGACCTACTGTTTGTTGGCAGCTACTGAGGTACTTCTCCGTGACTGATGCTCTACCTTGAATGCTCTTCAGATCGCAAATACGATGGAAAAGTAGCCGCGACTGTGAAGGCATACCTGACAGGAGGTGGCCTATCTCGGCTACCTCCGTACCTTGCAGTCAAGAGAATTTGGGAGCGCGAACCGGGCAACAAATACGAAGATCAAATGAGCAGCGAGCAGGTATGTTTCGTTGCATTGGCATTAAAGGTGCTACGGCTAATGCTTGGTTGTCTTATATGGCTGTCTTCTTCCAAATTATTGTGCACAGGAGCTGTTCCAGGACTACCAGTTCATTGATCCGGAAAGTGAATACGAGGTGGCGATTAAACTAGGACCCATACCAAACGGGAAAGATGCAAGAGCCATTGTTGCTGAGTGGAAGAAAACGACCAAGCAGCTATTTGTTTCACGAGAGTAAGTCTCAAGTTGGTTGCATTGAACTGGTTCCAATTGCTCAATCTGATTGAATCTGTGCTATTGGCAGATGCAAGTCTGGACAGGCATCTTGTGAGTACTATTGTCCGCAGCGCAGTGGGCATGCTCTGGTAAGTTTCTGTGCTGTTGTATGTGGGAGATGGCAGTGGTCGTGCTCATTTGATGTTGTCTTGCGTGTAATCAGTGCTTGGGAACGATGGCTGTGATAGGACAAGGCCTCGCCAAACGAATTCTTGGGCGACCGACCTTCTCAAAGCCATTGAAGCCTCGCGCCTCTCTTCAACGGCTTCAGAACCGCTTCAAAGGATCCGAAGAGTGGCCAGGATCACCCTCAAGTGTGCCACCAGCAATTCTAGCAACTTCTCCGTAACCTCACGTTTTAAACCACGCGAACTGAAGTTTTTGCACTTGGTCCAAGTTGGGCAAATAGTAGACGTCGCTAACATCAGCCAGACTTTCAGCAAACGCTGAAACAGTATGCCTTCAACAGCTAGTCCTGCAGCAGCTCGATTGCCATTATGGACGCACATTCGGGGCCGCAGCGACAAGAGAGCCACTAAAAGAGATCAACACCGAACAAACGACGGGTACCTCTTCATAACTCTTGGACTCACAAGCAGCTAACGTTACGTAAACAACCCCACCGACAGACACGGATAAATCACAAGTCGCATACAGCACCACGGATTGACACCACTGCTGTCTGGTCACGCTGCATTTAGCAAAATAAAAAAGCAAAAAAGCCCCTGCCTCCCCCTTCGTCTCCTTACGAGGCCGTCGGTCGAATACCGCGGATCCGCAGCGACAGCTGAATGTCCTTCACCTGCAGCGTCACGCGCTTGCCGTGGATCGCACACAAGTTCCTACACGTACAATGAACCAATCAACACGTCAGCAATCCCCTCTCTTCACCCAGTTCACTCAACCACCCACGTACGCGTCTTCGAAGGTGCGCACGAGGTACGTCTCGGCGGCTTCCTGCAGCGCCAGCAGCGCCTCCGCCTGCCAGCGATAGCCGACGCCTGTGAACTCGGTCTGGATCTCGCGCACCACGCGCGCAAACGGCAGTTTGCGCAGCAGCAGCTTGGTGGAGCGCTGCAGCAGGCGGATCTCCCGCAGCGCGGCCTCGCCCGGTTTCCTCCGCTTCTTGACGGTCTGCGTGGCGCTCGCGGGGCTGCTGGGGCGCCGACGCGGCGGCGTGGCCTTGCGCTTGCGTCTGGGAGCTGTGGGGGTCGCGTGGATGGCGGCCTGCCGTCCCACGGGGGCCACGGACGGCCGGCGTGCCGGTAGATTCGGCGGAGGTGACGGCGTCGACGCAGAGGACACGGACGATGGCGCTGCAGGCGGCGCGCGGGCAGCCGCGGGCCCGCGCGTGGCGGCGAACGGAGGAGACGGAGAGCGCTGCGGCTGCGGAGAGTTGGGCGGCGTGGAGTCGTCGGTGCCGCTGTCGGTGACGCTGCTGCTGGACGCGTCGCTCGCCGGCAGTGCCGGTGGACGCGGCGATGCCATCGCTGCCTGCCTGACTGCTCCTTCGTGCGCTGGTGTTTCAAAACTTTGAATTTGTATGCGCGAAAGTTGTGGTTAGGATGGAGACTTGTGATTGGGTTATGTTTGGAATGTTGTGGTTTATGGACGAATCACGTCCGGGGAATGATAATTGTTGGAGTGATGAAATCTGTGACGTGGTGCAGCAGGTCGAAGCCGCCGAAGAGTTTTAGCCCCACTTCTTCCACTCCATTCCATTGGGCGCCGTTCGCTCCTTCTCGTAGTCCTTGTCGGCCACCTCTTTCCAGTTGGTGGACAATACCGTGCCGCCGGAAGTTTGCTGGGGAAGTCATAAAAGCAGAATAAATAGAGGAAGATTAGTTCACCTCTGCAATCATTCATACCAGTTGCCTGCAGCCACGTACGAAGGACTTGTTCATGGCCTTGCGCGTGTTCTCGTCGGCCTTGGCATAAATATCGCGGAAGAGCTTCTGCATGGCCTCCTCGCCTTCGGGTTTCTCGGCCTCCAGCTCCTCGCCGATCGCCCGCTCTATCTGATTCCAGTCGCGGGCGCTCGCGTACGGGCGCGGCACGCTCTCGGGCTTCGCTTCAAATACGGCCGCAGGACCCGTCACAACCTGCGTACCGGTCTGGTACACCACCTCCTCGAGCTTGTCCCAGTGCATGCCGTTGCTATTCTTCTTCAGCTTCAGCTCCACCTTCGTGCCCAGGACCTTGTACGAGCTCTCGGCAGGCACGATTTCGTCGAAGAGAGCCTCATTGAAGGCCTCCACGACCTCACCGTCAAGCTTCACACGCACAAGAAGCTTCTTCGGCTCCATAGTGACCTCCACATCTTCTTGTGCCAGCTTCTTCTGCAAAATCGAGACCGTCACGTGAGTACCTGACTGGTACCAGTCATGGCTGTAGGTAGGAACCACAACGCCAGGTCAGCTGCAATCACCAATACGCACACAAACCATCTCAACCAACTCTCACCGGATCGTCGGCTTCACCGGCAACGGTGCAACTACAGCAGCGCTCTGGTTGTTCGGCGTCAAGGCCTTTACTGGAGCCGGGTCATCCGGAATCACGAGCTCAGCCTCTCCATCGCCTAGAATTCCAATGACACAACCAACAATCCTCTCAATAACGAAGCCCCACAATATCGCAACGCCTCTCTACTATTGCTACGTACTGTCCAGCTCTGCGTCGCACTTGCGGATCCACGTCTGGAAGCGCTTGAGCAGCGCCTCATTGCCCTTGGGCGCCGCCTCCTTGCCACGCTGGAACGCCCGCTTGGCCTCCGCGTACTTCTCCAGCTCGAACTGCGCCACTCTGCAGCCACCCATACAAGCGTCACTTCGCTGTTCTTTAACCGTCCCAAATGGCTGCAGACACCCACCCGTGACGCAGGTGCGCCATGTGCAGCGTCGCGTCCAGTTCCGTGGCTCGCGACGCGTCGGCCGCGGCCTCGCGCAGCTTGTGCAGCTTCAGGAAGGCCGCCGCGCGCTTGGACAGCGCGTCCGCGTCCTGCGGCTGCGTCTCCAGCGCGCGCGAGTAGCAGCGCGCCGCTTCCTCGTACGCCTCGTCCACGAACAGCGCGTTGCCCTCGTGCTTGAACTCCATCGCGCTTTTCTAGAAGTGAAAGGAAAGGCCGCATCTTTTCGAGCCATCACTCATGCGTTAAAACGACTCTTGGTTTTATTCACTACAGTGGCACCTCCCTAAATGAACCCCTCTAACTGACTATGTGTTCCCTATCTGGTTAGGATTCCTCGACTGCAAACGGGATTATATGGATTTCACTATAGGTGTTCTATAACTGATCAAAAACCTCGTTATTCATATGTAGTACGAATTTGCTGGACAGTCAATGGAAACGAACTTAGTGGTGTTGGGCCGTACTTAGTGACTAGGCTTTCCAGGATGGAGGAACTCATCGAAGAAGTCGAAGAGATAAATGGCAACGTTGTGTGCAAGAAGTCGAGAGAAGTGTACTCGTATGGCATCGTAAAGCTCGTATTGTGGCTTCACAGCAAAGAACCGGAATTGGTTGCAGCTCCGCTCCGTGCCCTGTTGGATGGGGTTATAGGCATGGACGAGTCTCTAGTGCTGACGGAAAAGTCGTGCCGCGTCAAGAGATTTATGCAAGAAGACTTGAGTCGACCTCCAGTGGAGTTACTGCAGATCACCCCCGAGCACTTCGAGTGCTTTTTGTTGTCGCTGCGGAAGAAAGACGGGAAGAAGCCAGGCAAGTCGGTGTACAGCTCGATGAGATCTAGTTTGTTTCATCTGTACCGCACTTATAACGTGAAAATGCCGGGCGAGTTCGACGGTGAACTGAAGACCTTTTTTAAAGGTTTGAAGCGCTGGGTAGTTCAGCGACAGCAGGATGAGGGCGAATCGCTAGCAGAAGGCAAAGTGGGTTTTACGTTTTCGCTGTACGTTTTCGCTGTATCAAAAAGTTTGTAAGGTGATGCGTGAGCAACCCAAGAAGAGATTTGTTTTTGCTCATTCATTTCTGGTGGTCTCGTGGAATTTGATGTGTCGAGCTGGCACTTCTTCGTCAATTCGATATGGCCATCTTGAATGGGACGAAGATGCTCTGGCAATTTGGTTTTGCCACATGAAAAACGATCAAGAGGGTGAAAGGCAGCGTGACCCTCGCCACGTGTACGCGAATCCGACGGAGCCGGATATCTGCCCGATTCTCTCGCTCGCGATGTATTTTACAGTTTTCGGATTCAATGCTAAGGCGGTCCTATTTAGTGGGAAGAATCAGTATGATCGCTACAGCAGAATCTTGAAAAAGTCAATGGAAATACCCTTGGTGGCACGTGAGCTCGAAATTACTGGAAGTGAACCTGCAGATTTTGGGTCACACTCCGCAAGAAAGGGTTCGTCGACTTACGTGTCAGGCTGTTGTACAGGTGGACCATCATCAGCTTCCGTGTCTTTAAGAGGTGGCTGGAATTTACCTGGAGTACAGGACACGTATATTCGATACGAGGCCGCTGGTGATTGTGTGGTCGGTCGCTTTGTATCTGGTTTGCCGTATGAAACGCCAGAGTTCTCAATTCTAGCCCCGTTCTTCGAGGTTGTAGATGCGACCGTGTGGAGCGCTGTTAGCGTGGTATTTCCGAATGTCCCTGATAATTTGCAGAAGGTCTGCAGCTACCTTTTGGCTTCGTTGGTCTACCACCATGACCACTTAGTACGAACACTAGATGAGAGTCACATTCTGTTTAACTCGCCGCTGTTTCATAGTCCTGAACTGGTGCTGGCTTTGAAACCTAAAGTGGTGTGTCGATGCTGGCGTCCGGGTGATGCCGTCAGAGCTAGCGGTGTACCACCTCATCTCGGAGTTATTGTGAACATGAACCGTAGACTTGACAATGTGGATAACAATATTTCCCAGTTGCACGATCAGATATCTAGCGTGGATAGCAAGATTGATACGTTCGTCCCGGACGTCATGCACGAAAGTATGAGTACTTCGGGATCAGGTACTTTGCCGGCTTCGCGTGGAGCTGTTAACGTTATGGTGGCTGAAGCCGTTGCCGCAGCGCTGGACTCCACCGGGATAACGCAAATGATGCGCACCATTCACGCAAACTCCGCCTCAATTGTGCAAGTTGTTCAACAGCAGACAGCAATTTCGACAGTGGCATCAAATAGCGCAAATAACATTAGTGAAGGGGGGGGGGGGAAGTAGCAGCAGCCACTCTGCTGTTCAAGAAACGCAAGCAGAGCTTGATGCCGACGAACGTGTCGCTGAAGTTGATTGTGAGCTAACTTCCTCGGTGAACCGGTCTTCAAACTGGTGGCAGCATCGTGCGATAGTCGGCTTCACATTCCCAAGGGTTCCGTTGAGTGCGGCGTGGGAGCTTTGGTGGTTTGGATGCCCAAGCAAAAACTGGCCGCCGTATCGATCGCTTGTGCCAATGGACCTGCCAAACAAAAACACACGAAAGCGATTGTCAGATTTTAGCTTCGTAATGCTGAAAATCGAGAGCATTGCCCGGCAAAATAATACTTACACTTGTAATCCGTCGCTTCAGCAGGCAAGGCACATGCTGGTTGGAGCAATGGACATTTTGCCGATTGGAGATCAAACCCGGCGAAATTACACTCGTCGTAAAGAGCAGCTACAATGGTCTACCGTCGTTAATCTTCTGCGCCGCCACAACAGGTCACAGAGATAGATCATTAATGCAAGTCAATACATGTTAGTCGTTCGGATTAGTTTAAACACCATGGTTCTGCTCTTGGTTGCTCTTCCAATGGCGAAATCCACGTGCTTCTTGATACTCAGGTCTGTCTTGCTGTGCTGGCTCTTTGACTACGACAGCGGCAAAATCTCGTGCTCGTGTTGTGTGAAGATCGCGCTCTTCTCGGCTCACAGTGCGTCTTCTAGGCATTGACTGCACCCTTCCAGCCAAGCATGTGAGTTGGCGGGCCTTCTGCACCTGCGCTTAGCCACCGGCACGATGCGATCCTTACATGCGCCAAGTCACGGCACCCAGCACAAAGCTACGGCGCTCAGCGTCCATTTACGAAACCCAGCGCCGTGATGATCCTTGGGTGACGGCGTGCCATGGTTCACCAGTGCCTGCTTCTCTAGCTTCAGTGTCTTGCTTTATCCCGCTTTTCAATGCTGCCCGCGAACCTACATCTGCCACACATTATTGTGTACGCGGTCCAAACGTTTTCGGCTCTATTGAGCGAACAGGCTCAAATAGACTCAACTCGATATTCGAAATCGTTGGACTTGCCGTCCAACGACTATCCATCTGTTATCCATCATCTGTCCAACGTTTTCAGTATAATCTCTAAATGGTCGCCATTATTGGCGCCTCAACCCTCTAAATGGACGCCGTAGTAATAGATCCAAACTCATATATTTTTTTCTCAATCACTTGCCTGCCTCCTCCCACGTATGCCATTGCTACCACTACTCCCGCCACAACAAATCGAGCGAAGAGAGAAATTTTATTTGGGATGCTAAGTTGGAACAAAGAGTTTGCAGTAACTAAATACTGATAAATAAGCTAGCCACAGTATTTTACAATCAGCGCAGCCTACATATATATATATTACGAAAAACTAAAATATTATGATGTCGAGACAACTAGGGGCTATGCAGTAGATACCAAGCAAAAGATAAAACTGCAGGCATGGTGGCAGGATATCGGGACAACAAATATTCCCATAACCTCACTGTATTGAAACTCACGTACAACCTGAGGGGATGCGATTCTGCTAATACCAATGAGAAGAAGGAGTAGGAACAGACAATACTGCGCCTACCGTTAGTTCTGTCTGTGTGAAGACGAAACAAAACAAGAGTACAAAAATGCTGGAGGGGTACCAGGTAAAGAAAGCCCTTGTACTGTGCACCGTACATATGAAAATGTAGCCATTAGAAGTGTAGCCATTTCTTTATCTGATCAATTCTTTAACTGAAACAGCGTATTAGACCGAGCGAACCAGGAGTCATTTATAGAGGTGGTTGCGTGACGTTTTTAACGTTTGAATGAAGTGCGTTGATTTCTAAGCTGATCTACGTGCAATGAGAGCTCTACTACGTAATATCTACCAAGCGAAGGTGCATCTAACGGACGCGGACGTTCAGGTACAAGTGCACCTTGCGCTTGAGCAATTGCTCGATCTCGTCCCGGGCCGCCATACCCACGGAGCGAATCGTGTCGCCGTTGTGTCCGACCACCATCTTGCGGACACGGGCAGCAGGAACCTATAGCAAAGAGAAGAACACAGTAGAAGTTAGAGTAATGAACCACTGTAACGTCCAATGCACGACTGGCAACACGTACGAAAATGTCCTGGTCGATGCGGATGCTCTTGTCCTTGAACTTGGTCCAGCCGACGTTCTCCTGCTCAAACGTGTACGGCAGCTCCTTGTTGAACCGGCGGAAGAGCTTCTCGCGGATGATCTCCGCCACCAGGTCCAAGTCGGACATGTCCGAGTGCATGGACGAGTGGTAGCTCCACGGTCGATCCACGGCCAGCGACAGCAGGGTCTTCTTCAGGTTGTCCATGCCGTAGCCCTTCATGGCCGACACCTTGACGCAGTTATCGCCGATGTAAGCCAGCGGGTCGATATTCAACGACGCTCCCTCGGCGTCGTAGTGCTTGCCGTAGATCTCCTCGATCATCTGGGACAGCTCCTTGACCTTGTAGTCCAGGTTGATCTTCTCGCGCTTGCCCACCAGGTCAAACTTGTTCATCACGAGCATCGTGGGTGAGCACACCTGGGCCGAGGTCGTCAGCACCTTCTCCAGCGCCTGCAGGGCGGCGTCATCGAGACGCTTGACCGAGTCTACAACCAGCAGCGACAGGTCCACACCCTGCAGCGTCTCGGCTGCAGTGGTCACCAAGGTCTGCACGTACTCGTGCGTCTCCTTCGGCTTGATCAGACCAGGGGTGTCGTAGAACGATAGCTGCGCATCGCCCTCCGTGTAGATGCCCAGAATGCGGTCTCTGGTCGTGTTGTACTTCGGCGACACTGCCGACACCGTCACATTGAGCAGCCGGTTCATGATGGAGGACTTGCCTGCGTTCGGGCGACCGATGACCGCAAGGTCTAGCGCCTTGGGGTTGGGCGGCTCGTCCGGGATCATAAACTCGCGCTCCACCACATTGTCGGGCGCCGGCGTGATGTTGGTGAACTGCTTATCCTTCATGGACACCGGCCGCCTCGCCGGCAGCCGGCCCGTGGTTCTGTATCTCTCGGCCTCGGCTTGCTTCTCCGCTCGCGACTGTCGGCCGTCGTAGAAGTGCAGCGGGTTGGACGGCGCCTCGCGCTTCCCCACGTAGCCCGTGTTGCGCGGGTCCGAGGCGCCCGTCCCGTCGCCCTCCTCTTCGTCCTCGTCGGGCAGCAGGCCCAGACGCCGCATGCGGCGCTTGTTCTCGATCTCCTTGCGCGTGCGCGCCGGCATCACCGCCGGCGGGACGACCATGGTGCGCAGCCGCATCTTGGCCCATTCCCGGTCGATCTCCTCCAGCGTCGGGCGCGGCGGCTCCTCCACGCGCGGCGCGGGCTCATGGCGCTGGGGCTTGCGCTGCGAGCGGCGCTGCTCCTTGTTCTTCTTCTTGTCGTTGACGGGCAGGCCGCTGGCCACGCGGAACGCCTCGCGCTTGGCCTGGCTGCGCTTGGAGCGGTAGGTGGCCACGAGGAGGCGGCCCTGCGGCAGCGCCGACGCCGACGACGCCGCGCGACGCAACAGCAGCTCCATTATCGGCAGTATTGAGTGGCAATCCAAATCACCCACTCGTGGATGATTGAATTGGGCCAGAATTTCACCCAAACGTATCACTGGGTTATATACAATGGGCACGACACAGCATCCGAAAATGGGTCATTGGTGTTTTCATATTGAAGTTTGTGGGGGTTTAGAGACTTCGTGAGGGGATCATACACGACACCGGCCGCCCCTGGCTAGGTTGTCCCCTCTACATGGTTCTCCTCCTGACTACATATGACTGGTGATGGAGGCTACGCAACGAGTGGGGCTGGGCTCGACTCGACTGGATTCGGGGGGTCTCGCCCCCGCTTATCCCGAGAGGCTGACGCCCGACATCTTGCCCGTGAAGCGGCGCTGCAGCGCGGCGTGGCTGATGCCATTGCGGGTGCGGGCGCCACCGTACGTGTTGAGCGGCTCGCTCTCCATCACGCCCTTGTCGTTGGCCGTGATCATCTGCATGATCTCCTTGCACGAGCGCGACAGCTCGTCCTTGTTCTTCAGCGCGCGGAACAGCTCCAGGCACTCGGACTTGGTCGGCGACTCTGCAAGGCACGGCAACAAGCGGCAGTTAGTCACGGCAAGGGAAGACGACGACGACGACAACAGCAGCGGCGACGGCGGGCTCACCGGCGTCAACGGAGGAGGTCTTGGACATCGCGGCTTGGCTTGGATTCTGGGGGTTCGCTGGATCTGGTCGAGGGGCACTTGCGCAGGAGTAGGCAAATTGCAAACTGAGCGAAAGAAAAGCTGGGAGGGGGGGGGGGGGCTCGGCACTCCACTGGGGGCGCCCGTTGAGAACAACTTCAACATCGCATCCCATCCCCAATTTACGTTGGACTGGTAAATTTGGTCGGCCCATTTTAAGCTTCGCGTGTTTTGATTGGCTGGTAGTAGTCGCGCGAACCCAACGGACCCAAAATGAAAACCATGGAAAGAACTGATTACAACGCAAGCATTTTTGTCATGGCTGGCGGGGACGCAGCATAATGCGGCTGCGCGGTCATTGCTGGGCCAGGATGTCAGCAATTTCAGGCGAGCTGATTACGAACGACCACTCTCGGCACGGAGGAAACTTCAACGTGGATGCGAAGCCCTGGCCCAGGTAAATGTCACCGCCATTGCCCCATTTAACTGATGCAGCACTAGTAGCAAAGTTGTTGCTGCTAGCGCTGCTCTTTGAGTTTGACTGCGTGGCGAAGGATACCGCGATGAACTTGCACGCGAAGGAATTGCCGATCGCATCGAAGGTGACTGCGGTGGACCACCAGAACATTGCCGTTCTGTACCAGCTGGCGATTGCAAGTCTGGACTTCAACATGGTGCTTTTCGTGCCGCTCGGACTTGGTCCACCGCTATGACCTACTGCCCAGCGGCAGTACTTCCTATGGAGATCGAAGTCCTCGTTCTAGCTCGGTAGCGCACTCTGGTAGGCGTTTCACGCGAAGATCTGGGAACTGTGCTCGAGCACCAACCGTTGCGGCTTAATCTCAAGTAAATCTCGGCGGTGATGCGAGTCATTTAAAATTCGCCGGCACCTAGAGTAAGGTTTTACACAAATAGCCGCAATTCGAGTAATAGACGACAACAAGTTACCCGACTTGTCAAGTTGCTTCTTACGAATGGCTCAAGCAATGCTAACGACTTTGGTCCATTGCTTCGCTAAAACGGACAACCAGAGTCCGGATTTTTCAACCGGAAAGATATTCGTACCCCAAAGATCCTTTTCGACTTGTGAGTTCGAAACTGCACCTCTTAAGAGGTGACCTCTTCCTCTTCGCCAATTGAGAAAAATAGTTTTTTTTACAGGTCATTAGCCCCCTCGGCGCTCAGGTGAAAGGGCTCATCTGGGAGACCTCACACCTGAGCGAGCCTGAGGCCGGCGCTTTTGCGCACGAGGAAACGTTAGAATTGTAAGCTACAGAGACTACTCATTACACTTACCGGTAGCTTGCTGGAGTTACCTCGGCTGTAGCCGATTGTCATCATACTTTTAATTCGTCTATTTGGTTGATGATTACTCCGAATTAATCCCTTTCTGGGCTTTCTCGCGCTTTTACTCGAGCTTAAGCTCGTTCGCAGTGGCGGCGGTGCCATCGAGAACCATCGAATACTGCGCGATTCTCCGGCGGAGAATCTTCGCTGCCTTTCTGCGTGGGATCCAGCTCACCTGAGCGGCTAGAGGATACCGACTGGTTACGCAGTACACCTGCAGCGCTGGCGTCGGCGTCTTGTGTGGTCTGCAATCTACAGCAGTAATAAGCAAGGAGACCTACCGTTTATTTCAGATGAGGGGGTACCGCTGAATTGGTCAGGGGCACCGGGCCAAGAGTTGTCGTTTCACGAGATGCTCAATGCAGAGATTTTCGGTGATCCGTTTTGCGAGGCGCTCGCTTCATGTTGTCCCTTTCTATCCAGTTTTGCTATTGTGGAGGTCGCTGAAGAGTATAACACTGAAGACATCAAGCCAATCGAGACATTCACGGATACGGGACTCCTGGCACTTTCACAACTCAAGTTTTTGCAGTCTCTGGATCTACGCAGTGTGAATTATTCAGGCGAAGGAATATTTGGGTTTCTGAACTCGCTGTCGAGTGAGTTTACCGGCAACCGCGTCGCGGTTGAAGTTCTATGACGTGGTGACGGAGCTGCTGTTGAAAATCGCAGAAGCCTCCGACCTCCCGTGCGCCGAACGAAAGTTCGTTCTTCGCCTTGAGAACTGCAGCTACAGCTCACGCTATGCAGTGACTCCGGACTACGGCGCATCGTTTCTGCGTGAGCTGGAGCGGCTCATGATGCGTGTGAAAGCAGCCCACCCGTCTCTGCGGCAGCATGTCGTCACGATGGATCGCACCGGTAACTCGTTCATGCGCATTGCCGAGTTCGGGCTCGCCGATCCCGATATCTACGCCAAATGGGAGGATTGGGGTGAGGATCTGTACGAAGGCATTACAATGTTTGATCGCGCAAGCTGCAATAGGGATTCTTTCACACCAGTCCCCCGACTTGAACCCCAGGTACTTTTGGCTGTCGAAGGGGCTGTCGCTGTCATCGTCATCGTCGTCAAAGCGGTGGGCGCGCGAGGGGGTGTAATCGTAGCTGTCGTAGCCACTGCAGCCTCTGAAATCGTCATCGTCATCGTCATCGGAGCAATCGCTTGTCGATGAAAGTTCATACAGTACTCCCTCCCACCGAGATGGCTACAGAAATTAGGCTTTGAATCATTTTTCAATAATTGTTTTTTATTTGCATCCTCAACACATTCCAATATTTCTTGGGCGGAAATGGTGTCGGCCAAGGACTTGGACGCGCAGCTGCGGGCGCTGCGGGCCAAGGCGCAGGACGAGGAGCGCGACTGGGTGGAGCAGGGCTGCAAGCTCTACGAGTTCGAGGAGAAGTTCCTGCGCGACACGCTGCTCGAGGGCAACGTGCTCACGGGCTGGGGGGAGCCGCGCACGGCGCCCGTGCGGTTCCGGAACGCTGGCGTGCGCAAGCGCAAGAGGGAGCGGCAGGAGGCGGCGGCGGAGCGCGCGGGGAAGCCCGCGGGGCCGTCGACGCCCACGCTATCGGCCGAGGAGCAGCTCAAGGTGGACCGCCACCGCCTGGCGTCCTATTCGTCGGTGCAGTCGCCCGCGGAGCCGCTGCACGCGACGCTGGAAGAGCGCGGACGGAAGCTGGTGGAGGCCAGGAACAAGAGGCTCAAGAAGCCGCAGCCAGCAGCAGCTACAGCCACAACCACAGCCACGGCTGCTGCCAAGTAGGAGGAGGAGAAGACAGCAGAGAGCTTCTTACTACCTAACTACCAAATGTATTGAAAGGTGTGTGTGCATTGTGGGACGACGCGAGCAGCTACGGTAGACGAGAAGACGAAGCTCGTGCTATTCAGGACGCCAGCAGCGGTCGGCGGCTTGCTTGGACGTGCAGCGCTGGTGCTGGATGCTGCTAGTCGGTGGTGGGTGATGCACAACGGTAGCAGAGAGGGTAGTTTTGCGTCTCTTGTCGGGAGTTCGTCGAGAGGACAGACAGCGCTTGGCATCGTCCCGGGCTGGCTTAGCAGGTGAAGAACATGAGGGCTTCGCCCGCAACCATCATGACCAGCGAGAACAGCATGAAGGTGCCGTAAGTGATGTTGAGCGCGTAGCAGACGAAGCTGATGACCGCGAACGCCCACGACGTGACCTTGTACGTGATCGCCCAGGCGAGGTAGTGGTAGAAGATGTTCTTCACGATGAAGTTGGTGCTCACGCGAGTGCCGATGTAGTCCGGTACGTCCTCCGTGAAGGCCTTGAGGTAGATGCGGCGCAGCGCCAATCGGTTCTGGTTGCGGTTCAGGTTCGGGTCCGACTTGTACTCGGGCAGGTAACGCACCAGCGTCTGCAAGAGCAAAGTAATTCAGCGCATGAGGTTAGTGATGAGTATGAGCAAGCGTTGTATTGCAGCTTGGGTGACGGCGCTCAACGTACGTGGCCGGGGATGCTGAACAGGCGTCCAGGAGGCCACAGCTCGTAGGCGCCGAACACAATGGAGGGCACGACGTTCTTCTTCGTGTCCTCGCGCAGGTAGAAGGGCCCCTTCTTGAACTCCTGCAGCTGTAGAACGCACAGCAACAACCTCCCCATTAGACTTCTCTGCAAGTAAGAGCAGTGAGAGACTAGCATCACCATCACTTACCAGTCCGTCCTTGGAGCGCGTGCCTTCAGGCGAGATGCAGACCGAGTTGCCATGTTCGTTCACCGACACGGCCAGCTCCTTCAAGCTCTTCAATGCCGACGATCTATGGTAGATTGCACATTCAAAACGATTAGATCTTACGATCATCGCCAAAAGGTGCACACGCAGCCAAACATACCGGTGCGAACGATCAATGGCCACGAAGTCAAAGCCCCAGCGCGCCGACCAGCCCAGGAACGGCACCAGGAAGATGCTCTTCTTAGCTGCAAACTTGAAGGCCACAGGCGACGATCCGTTGACAATGAATCCGTCCAGGTTCGACGAGTGGCTGCACGACAAGAGCAAAAAAATCATCAGCCCCCCCACCTCACCCAAACATCCTCTCCAAATCCCCCTATTCTCACGCACCTGAACATGCAGACCACCGAGTCCTTCAGGTTGAGCAGGTTCTCCGTGCCCTCCACCTTCATGTCGGTGCAGGCCGTGACGCACACCATGGCGGCCGTGCCCCACGAGACGATGTCCATGGGCAGGTAGTTCTTCTTGACGCCCATGCGCGTGAGGAACGGGTTGAGCCACTTGAGCGGGATGAGCAGCGTCACGCAGCTGAGCCAGCCCACGAGCACCAGCGCCATCGTGAGCATGCGCACCACCATGTAGAGCTTCTCGAGCGGCGAGGCGCTGGCCGGCAGCACGTCCAGCTTGAGCTGCTTGCGCACGACGTCCAGCTTGGCGTTGGCCGCCTGCATCTCGGGCGCCGAGAGCCACTGGGCCTCGATGCCCAGCGCGTTCATGCGCTCCTCCAGCTCGACGCGGATGAGCTCGCTGTCGCGGTAGAGCTTGCGCCGCGCCTGGTTGCGCCTGGCCAGCGACCCGCTCTGCGCCAGCGCCAGCGTGGCCGGCAGCCGCGCCTCCACCTCGGCGAGACGCTCCTCGAAGCGCACGTCCTGCAGGACCTGCGCGGGCGTGGCGGGCGACGACATCGAGCGAACGAAGGGGGGCGAGGTCTCCTGCGAGGTCCCTGGGTGTCTGCCTGCGGGTGGCTCGACCAGATGTGCTGGCCCTGAAGATGATTAGCGAGAGTCGCACCCGGGCGGAAAGTCTACCAGGTAGTCAAACATGAGTCAAGCAGTCGCTGCCTGGGCGTCACTGCGCCGCCTCGTGATTGGGTAAAAACACGGTCGGTACCAAAACGGTGGTACGAAGCGTCATCGCTGACGTCAGCAGCTTCAACGGCAACCAATGTCGGTTTGTACATTGCTATGATCTACAACAGTCTCTACTTGTTGGCGACGGCGTCTTGCAGCATCAGCAAGCAGTACGCGTCCAGCGCAGCGTACGCGACCTGCTGCGGCGTCAGAGGCCGGCGCTCCCAGTCGCTCTTCTGCTGCAGCTTCGACAGCGGATACCCGAGTGCCTGCTTGATGTAGGTACTGAGCCCCTTCTGTCTACGCTTGCGGCGCTGCAGCCTTTCCGACGACGACGACGACGACGCAGCAGCATCGTTGCTGGTACTTTTGGTCGCGACGACCGATCCGTCCGACAGGTGCGTCGTCGCCTCCAGCGTCTCGAAGGAAAAGTCAAGCACGTTGACGAACGTGTCGAAGCACTTGACGTCTGGGAACGACCACCGCAGTCGCTTGATGTCGCCATCGATGGCGAACCCGATCTTAGCGATCCTCTCGGAAGCGAACAAGTGCTCGAACAGCTCCTCCAAGTCGCCCAGCGCCATCTCCACGAAGTCAAAAATGAACACGTAGTCGTCGCAAGCGACCTGCAAGATGGAGCACTTGGACGGCACCGCTGCTCGGCTATCGGGGCGCCACTCGGCGTCGAGGCCCAGTCGAGTCACGCTGTCGCGCATCAGTAGCTCCGTCGCCGCGGACAGAGCCTCGTCGTTGTCAACCACTATGATACGATCTTGAGCCAGGGGGATCTTCAAATACGCAGTATCGTCAGCGGGGGTGGCCGACGCGTCCGCGTACACGGGCTTTGGCATTGCTGCGCGGGCCTGCATCATGTACGGCATGAACTCCGCCTCGTGCTCTAGCTTGAACTCCCTGATTGCCTTGTACGTGTTCCTGAAACTGGACGAGCCCTCCTCGTCCTCATCTTCCTCGGCAGCAGCGTTCTCTACCTCGATCACTTCTCGAACGAATTGCCGGCGCATTTCCAGCGAGTCATCCATGTCCGACTTGAAGAACATGAGCACGTTGCTGACCCCGCCATATACGAACATCTCAGCGAACTTTGGTCCAAGGTACGACGCTGTCTCCGCATCGTACAGCTCCGGGCGGCGCATCAAGAAACCCATGGTCTTGTCAACGCTATCCGTCTCAAGTGCATCGAGGCAGAACGCCAGCAGTTCCGATCGGTGCGACCGATGCAAGTACACGATGTCGTCCAGCTCTTTCACAATGTGAACTGACAGCAGTGGCAGCTGGCTCACGCAGTACTCCGCATGTCGTTCCTCCATCGGGAGCTCGTCTGTCACCACCACAAGCAACTGCTTCGCCAACTTGCCCAGTGTTCTAAACGTCAAGTCGAGGAAGCGTAGCGAGACGACCGACTGCAGTAAAAAGAGGCAGGGATCGGGGGTGATCAAGAGCGCGTCCCGAATGGACTGTTCGGCTGCGTTCTTGGAGTCCTTGTCTCGACTAGTCGTCAGAACTTGCATTGCGTGCTGCGAAAACATCAATGGGGAGCAGGATAAATTCGCTCTTGAACACCAATACCTGAAGCTCGCAGAATCTTGGTCTTCTCTAGCTGTAACTGCGAAAGTTCCTTCAGCCTCCAGAGCCTTGTGATCCTTGAACACTTGCTCGAAGATTGCCCGCCGAGCATAAAGCGTCTTCATTGCGACTTTGCGTGACGATTCATCGAATGCGTTCCCACGCCGCGTGTATTTGAAGTAGAATTCACGCAGCAGCGAGTCGTAGACTGGCACCGGCATCATCAAAGGTGATTCTTGGAAGTGCTGCAGCATCGCTTGGGCCTCCGAAACCGTGTCATGCTGAATACAGCACATGAAAAGCGCTGTTTCGGTGGCAGCAGAACGACAGAAGCCGTGCTTCAGCATAGCCTGCAGCGTTTCCTCTGCCCCAACCGAGTTGTTCTTGTAGGCACAAGACTTCACCAATTCTTCCAGAAATCCTTGTTTTCTCGCTTGCACGCCAGTCTCACCAAGAGGAAGTTCGTGCACTAGGAGCTCGAACCCCTCCTTGTGGCGGTATCCAAACATACGTGCGATCTCGACACCCATTCGCTGCGTGAATACAACCTTGTCTTCACGCGCCAGGGCAATTAGCTCGGCGATATGATCGCAATTCGTGAGCAAGTATGCGCCCCGAACAAACTTGCGGTATAACGGCAGCTCTCGAGTGATATCCGGCAAAGCGTCAATTTCTTGGACTACTTGCCATGCAAGAGGCTCGTCACCGCAGCACATGTATGCATCGACGATGGAAACGTACGTCTTCGATGTGAGCTGAAGCTGTGGCTGGGGAGGGATGGGCTCGCCTTCGCTGTCGTCGCCATCGCCTGAAGGCTGCCAACCCTTGGTCGCGAGTTCACGCATAGCATCAATAATGACGGAAACGTCTTCCTTCCATTTCCGCTTCCTGCACTGGTGAATGAGTGTCTCAAAGTCATTTCTGGTAGGGTCAAACCGACAAGCGTTAGCAAGAGTGCGTTGATGAGCTCAATGAGTCGAGGATGAACTCACACAGTCACCAGCGAACCGCTCTGAATGCGAGAGATCAGGCGGTTAATGTCATGATGAACAACCGCCTTTCGAACAGATTGAGACGTCTGGTGCCCCAGACAGCCCAGCGTTTTCGAGCCTGTACCGCGCAAGCCGTGTCAGATACAATAGAACCTCGAAATATAACCAATCGCTAGTTGAAACCATTGTACCCACCGTCCGCGGTCGACTTCCCCTCTTCCGCCTGCAGCTTCTCAACTCGGTCTCGCTCGTCTTGGTTCAGCACGCCGCTCTCGAGCCACTCAGCAAGCACGGGCTCCAAACCGTCGTAGTCCAACAACTTGGCAACCTGGCCCACCGTGTAAAAGAACCGATCGTCCGCGCGGAGCTTCGGCGAATGAGCTGCAATCTCATTCAGCACGCGGGTCGCCACCGCGCGCTCTTTCCTCCGTGCACACGTCTCCAGAGCTTCCAGAAACAAAGCCTCGTCAAAAGCCCCATCATCCCGTGCATGATCGAGGAACACCAAGCACTGCTCCGCCCCAACTTTGTCACTCAGCCCCACTGCTCGAACCAGCGTCGTGTAGGTCACGACGTTCGGCTTGGACGTCGACTGCCGCATCTCCTCGTATGCCTAATTCACAACAAGTACAAGTACAACCCCATCAGCCCCCACCACCAATGCCCTCGACACCAGTACCATATACTAATTACTTGAATAGCAGCGGGCAAGTCTCCGTTCCGCGCAATGACGTCGATTAGCGCCGTGTACGTGAACACGTCTGGCTGGTAGCCGTGCACCTCCAGCAGGTCAAAGGCGCGCTGGGCCTCCCGCACGCTGCCAGCTCGCTGACTGGCCGTGACGATTGTGTTGAGCGCGTAGCTAGGCTGAAGCATCGGCAGCTGCGGGATGCCGCGCGTGCTGTCGCCCTGCGTGGCCAGCAGCACCAGCCACTCCACGAATGCGAACGCCTTCTCGACGGCCGCGTCCTCGCGACTGCCGTCCTTGCGCAGACCGACCTTCATCCAGCGGAAGATTGGACGCAGGAATGCACGCGTCTCCCATGAGGAATAATCCTCGGCGGTCAGCAGTTGACGCAGCAGCGGCCCCGACACCTCGTCCTCCTCCCAGCGATACTCCTTCATGGTCGTCATGGTCTCTTTTTGAACCCAAATTGATTCACCGGGTGCTGGAAGTGTGGTGCACGTTAAATTAGAGTGGGGCACATAAAGGCAAGTTGAAGTGGAACAAAAGGCAACTTGTGGACTGTTAGAAATCAAACGAACCAGGCTCTCAGTCGCAGCAGGAGCATACAAAGCCGCCATAATCGCTATCACTGTCGCTATAGCCGCCGTACATGGATGCATCGTCATCGTAGTCGATAAATCCATAGCCATCCATGTCGTAGTCTTCCATCTCTTCGTCATCGTCCTCGTCTTCGTCTTGGTTTGTATCATCGTGCGAGAGCTCACGGTTGGTGGTTGTAATGCCGTCGTTGTTCTTTTCATCTTCCCAACCCTCCCACTCGTCGTAGATTGCAGGGTCGGCATGCACCGAATAGAGCCCAAACTCAGCAATTCGCTTGAAGGAGTATCCGTCGTACTGCATAGCGACAAGGTGCTGACGCAGCGATGGGTGGGCGGCTTTCACACGAGCCATAACATCGTTTAACTCACGGAGATACGTCACGCTCCACCGCCAGCCAACGCAATGATCGGAATAATAGCTGCAGTTTCCGAGCACGAGCACGAATTTTCGCCGGGTGAGAGGGGGATCCGAAGCCAGCGCAATATGAAGCAGCAAGCTTTTCAACTCCTCGTAATACGCCAAGTCATCGGCTCCGATACAGATGTCGAAAGAGCGATTCCCGCTAAAACCCGCGGACAGACCATTCAGGAAGTCGAACAAACCCTTGCCAGTGCAAGCAACACTGCGCAGGTCCAGGGATTCCAGATACTTGAGCTGAGTAAGCGCCATAAGCCCCCGATCGGTGAATGTCTGGATTGGCCTCAGATTCTTAGAGTTGAGCCGTTCAGCGACCTCAGCAATTTCAAATCTGGAGACAAAAGGACAGTGTGTGGCCACTGCCTCGCAAAAGCTGTCGTCAAACACGTTCGCGTTGATCACCTCTCGATCCGGGAAGTCGTCGCGCGATTCGTTCCGCTCAACATCGATCTCCACGTCTGGGTCGAAAGGGTGATACAGTAGGACTTCTAGTGTGTCCAGCAATGGGCAGCCCTTGAGTACAGCGCTTACGTCCGTGGCAAGGTAGCCATATCCTGGCCGCTCACAGTAATCTCGTTGATCCCAGTTCTTGTCAGGAATTGGACCAGCAGCCTCACTCTTGTCGTGAAAGTACCATTGCCACTCCCAGAACATTCCTATACCGAACGACAATTTTCTTAGCTGGGGCTTAGTATGCTCTCCAAAGACACGGAAGTACGGGTCTCCAAAGGGAACAATAACCCAGTGAAATTCTTGCAAGTTGGTACACGTCTTGTTGAACTTCTCCCAGTCCTGCAACGTCAAAAGCCACGTATCCTCACATACCAAGCAGCTGGTAGTGAAAAGGGACTCCTTATAGCCGTCAAGAACCTCAACCAGCGGGCAATTGGTCACCACATTGTCAATAAACTCCTCACTCGCACGGAATGGCTGGTCGCAATTCCGACTAGGAACTTTTAGACGTCGCAGCCCGCCAATAGTGCCATGCACCCGCCACCATTTGAGTGATTCATACAACTTAATCATCACTGCTTCAATATGGCACTCGTCGGCTTCTTTCTCGGCATAAGGGAGTGTCAAAGAGCTCAATTTCAGGCAATGCCTTGCAGACGCGTCGAGTATCGGAAGTATATGGCGAGTGTCCAGTGGTATTTCATCCAGGTTGAGCAGCTTTAGTTCCGGAAAGCACGCAAAGATCCTCGACCAGTCGATTCCGAGTGCTTCCGCGCCCTTGTGCAACGTCGATTGGCTTGAGCTCTTGTTGTCAAAGATCCTTTCGATTTTAATCTGCAATTCAGTCACTTGAGCGCCTCGCTGTTCCGCTTCAGAGTATAATTGCTGTACTTTGCCTTGGTTGGGCAATGCCTTCACCGTGAAAGTGAGTGCTGAGAGCTCAAATCGCTGAGAAATAGTGCGAACAGGAAGCAGCCAGCTTTTCGCTACCAGCTTCAGCTCTTTCAATGTTGAAATCGCCGTAGAGCGCTTGTCTGACGCGACATCTTGGCAATAGTAGGGAACCGCGAATCCTAAGATATGCTGCAGGAGCGGCAACGGCAGATTTTCCATGATTAACGTTAGTTCGGCAGGGGAAATGTTTGAATGACGGTTTAAACTCGCGGAACATAGTACAGTACTTCAGTACTTAGTAATACGTGTAGACAGGTATTGACTCAGTCCTAACCCATCAAATACGGCTACCAGTCATCATCGTCTTCTTCTTCTTCTGACTGGTTAGCTACGCTACCTCCAGCCACAGGTGTATATGATTGAGTGTTGGATGACTGTGTAGGCGGGCTTATTTGCGTAAGTTCAGTCACATCGCGGTTGTCCGAGTTACGGGGAGAACGCGGTGGATCGAAAGCAGTCCCTGGTGCGAATCGCACGGTAGGCTTCTTTTGCTTTGCTGGAGCAGGTGACGAGTCTTGGTCGTTCGAGCGGTCTTCTGAGGATGAATGTCTACGTAAAATAAAGCAACAATAGTAAGCACACGTGGTTTTCGGTACATTGCTCATACTATATCATACCTGCTTTTCGAGTTCTGCTTGGTAATTAAGCTCATGAGGCGCGAGCTGGCGTCCAGAAACCCCTGGCGTTGTTGTGAACGACTCGAATCTTCAGCTGACTCGTCGTCGCTGCCGTCCGTCGTCTTCTTGAGTAACTTGCTCCACTGCCATTTCCCCAGACCGCTTTCTTCACTTTGGCTCTTGCTGGCTGCAGTACCTTTTCCGCGCTTGCCTTTCTTCTTGGTGGTAGGTGCTGCAGCGGGATCTACTCGCACAGGAGGATTGCGATGAATCACTTGGCGCTGCGAGAGGAAAGTCAATTCGGCTGAAGTGTCGCGCACTGTGCTGTGTTGCAGCAGCTGACGGGCTGCCTGCTCGCTCCTGGACGCTTGGTCGTCGTCGTAATCGTCATTGTCGCTCTCTTGCTGAGATTCTACCTCCTTCTCTTTGTTGAACACATCGACTGGGTTCTCGTCGAGCGAGGTGCTCAATTGCTCGTTTGTTACGAATATCCGTCGGACATTTCGGGGCGTGATGTTCAAATAGCTCTTTCGCCTACCTGACACGGGTGCATCAGTGGGAGTGAACACTGACACCTTGTACAGCAGAACACCCACTCCAGCAACGAGCGCTGGCCCAAGTTGCTCCACAAGTTCGCGGTGAAAGTAGCCTTCGACTTCTCCCGTCGGATCCTGCAGAAAATACGTGCTAATAAGTGGCTGCGATTTCTCTACAATCCGGGCATCATAACTAGCGGTCGCTTACATGTAGAACAGCTACGATCTCTTCGTCAACGTAGCGCACCGACTTGATGAGAGCTAAGAGCTGCTCAAACAAATGACAGTGCTCGGTAAGGAGCATCGAAAACAACCCCCAGGCAGCACTGCGTATTGTTTTACCTGCGGGACCTTGGCCAGCGCTTCATCATCTTCCACAATGTTCTGCACCGTGCACTTCAAGTTGCGGATCTTGATACTGCCTGCAATCAACCAAGCCGCTGCGTCACGACTCTCATTTACAGCGGCGGGTGCACTTGGCCCATTTGCTCACCGTAAAGCGTCCCCGATACAGCTGGCATGCCCAGATACTGACACATTTCCACCCATGGGCCTTGATCAAACACCGTCGCGATTGCCACTGAGTACCGATCCGAGTTGGCGCTGGCGATCCGACTGTGGTCTCCCTGCGAGTTGTCCAGCCTGCCAGTCACCACCCGTCAACATGCAATCTATACACACGCCACCTGTGAAACTCACTGATCTGCGCGCTTCTTCATGACGTCCTGCAACGGACCAGGCACATGGCGCATCGACTTGAGAATGCTCTGCTGCGACCCCAGGTCTGCCGCATTCACTCCGTTAGCCTTGCACCCACGCCATGCTCACAAATTTTCACATTGACAGAGGCAGCAGCGCACCCTCGCCGTCCGCAAGGCGTGGCCTCTTGCCGCCCAAAGTGGCGTCTCCGCCGGCGTCGGGCGCCATGTCTTCGTCCCCGCTGCCACTCATGCTCAAATGAGCGATTCTGTTGTAGCTCCTAATAGAAGACCCTACACAAAATGCAAGTGTAAACCCAAGCCACGACGCTGCAGTTGCCGATACTTTGAGCAAGGCGCTCGCTAGCCCACGATGGCAAGGGTGTAAACGCTTGGCTGGCCTCGTGATGAGCAACATCCATGCTCCAGACTTGGGATCTTGGGGTGAGCTACTTGTGATGGCCATCGCTCAGTTTAATTAGGAGGAGGGCTCGCCGGTTTTGGGGTGACATCATAGTTGCCAATGGCAACGTGCCATGGTGCTTTTCACGGTAAAACTTCTACCAAATGTGGTGCGGAGGCAATAGCGACGAGTGCCTACTTTGCTTTAGTGAGGAAGGGAGTATTGTTATGCACACGATTGACTTCACGTACACGACCGTTAAGACGTCAGCATGATCAGGCCGTCGTGTTCAATCGAGATCTCACCCGCATCCTGACACCTTCGTCATGACTGTGTCGACGCGGCAGTGTTAACATTTAAGCTTAGAACCTATGGATGTCGTGCAGGATAGGGTGTTGCTTGCCATATCTATAGCAACGTGTGGTGGGCTTCAGAATCGAAATCCCATAAATCATGCGACACCTTTGGCCGTCTCATCAGTTTGGTATGCTTGTTCTCGCTAACGAGGCGTTGGCGCCCCAATAAGAACACCGAAGTACTCGCTGAGCCTTCGTTACCGTGTGGAATATCGCTGTTGCATTTCATCAGCACTGTTGCTGCGCATATGCGCACGCTAATGTCAATCAACAAGCGAGTTCTCCATGACGACAGTCATAAAATCCACGCGTAGTGTATAAAGCTTTCTATATAATCGATCATCGCGGCTGCTTGGGCATCGCTTTCACCTTCTCAACACCCGAAGGAACTAAAACAGCGGCATGACGTTGCGGTGGAAGAAGACGGTGAGGCCGAGCAGCATGATGAACACCTGGAACCACAGGAATGGCGACATCTTGATCTCCCGCCGCATCTGCATCTTGGCCACGCGCAGCTCTTCCGCCTCCTTGGCCAGACACGCGGCGCACGTGGGCGTCACGCCGATGGGCATCGCCAGGCGGTCCACGGGCGCGTCGCACTTCTTGCAGCTCGCCATCTTGGACACTTTGCCGCTCGCGATGTCCGCCTCCAGCTGCGCGCGCTTCTCCTTCTCCTCCTTCTCGCGGCGAGCGGCCACGATCTGCGGCCCGCGGATCAGGTTCAGGTACAGGAACAGCAGCGAGTTCATGGCTGCAGCAGCGTCGCCGACGTGGAGGAAGTGAAGCGGTCGCGGTCTTGGTGGTCTATTGACAAGTGAGACTTGATCGAAGGAGAGAGCAGTTGGCGAATCGTACCTAGTGCGGATGCATATATTAATCAAGTGGAACGAGGCGATGGGCTCATACTGGTGAAGTGAGTCGCTTTTATTCGCCAAATTCGACCGTATCTCTCGAACTGACATGCAAGCAGTTGCACTGCAACGTGCCTTGCAGGCGTCTTGTTGCCATGGATAAGCCTAGAAGCCACGCCACTCCATCTCGAGCGTGACGGAGTCGCAGTTGCCTTCGAGTAGCCAAGTGCCCGAATACTGAAGCGCGCGTCGCACGGGCTCCAAAGCAATTTGGATGCGGCCGATAGTGTCCTCGGTCTTTAGCAGGTCGCTGTCCATGATCACGACCGACAGCTCGGCATGCTGGTAGTCGTTCACCAGCAGCTCAACGCACTCGGGTGGGTCCCAAATCTATACAAGACACCAGGATCGTTCGCAATGAGATGCAGTACCTCAGCACAATTCCAATTAAAAGGGACACAACAACGTACCGGATTCAGCGTGTGGCGCTTGACCGAGCTCTGCTGGCGGCGACAGCCCACGCGGAACACGACATACGGGTCGCTGGTGCCACTAATATCCATCGAAGCCAGTCTTTTGGCACCGCAACAGTTTGATGATAATCGCTCCCACGTGAGTGACATCGTCGGGGAGCGCTGCTTCGTCGACATCCTGAACCGAACTCCCGCGTCGAGTAAACGGGTACCAAAACAGCTCCAACTCTGCTAGGCGATCACTGTCACACCCGAACGATACGTGCTCATTACATCCGACTCGCGGTTTTAGGTGCCCCAGATGAACCCACGCGGTATCAATGCGCTTTCGGGGCTGCAGGGCTTCACTGCTTTCAAGAGATATGCTCAGATCCTGGGTTTGAGGATCAAGCACCAAAAGCTTGTACGCTTCTTCACTAAAGTCGAAAGAGCTCTGACCGCGAACAGTTTCCGAGGTTGTGCTTTCCTTGCCCACACTAATGTTTACACGGAAGCTGAAGATCCCAGACCACCACGAGAGCGTCCTTGATGGACATACACTTCTCACCTTCAGTTCACGAATTGCGAGTATGCCGAGAGGGTGATTCGCAGTCATCGCGTTCATTTCCAGAATGTTGAGATCGTCAACAAGTGGGATCAATACTTTGTTGGGCCACAAGCAACGCCTCTCCATGGCCGAGTTGATGGCCTTGTGTAGTATTGGCGACAGTGCTGGCAGGTCCATGATGTTGAGGTGCAGCGTTTTCAGCTGGAAGTCGATAGTGGGGCTCTAGATAAAGCTGACGACCACCGCTCCAAAAGGTGGCCACCATGGAAACAGAGGTTTGAGTTCCGCTCGCAGCATCCCTCGAAGCACGATGTCCGATATCTCCACGTTCATAGCCGCATGCAGGAGTGGGTTGCCAAAGGCCAACACGACTTCCGAGTTCTGCGTCACGACGAGATCCACGTCCAGCGTCACTTACTCGTCGCTCGTCCCCTCCAAGCACTTGATCCCGTTGATTTTGGGAGCAGCAGTTCCGAAATTGAGGCTGCGAATACCGACCTCCGTCATCCCTACTGTCGGCTTAACGAGCTCCAGCTCCGCAACTAGCGCTTCTTTCATAGATCGTGCGACAACCACCTTCACGTACGGCCACATCTTGGCAACGACGAGATTAAGCCACTCGCACTTCTCCACGTCCGGGAACTTGACCCACCGAGGCAGATCCTCGCGCATCAGTTCGCTCAGTGCATCTCGATCCAGGCTTCGTAGTATCTGTAAGATTATCGAAGCAGCTATTGTCACGACAATAGCTATCTATGAGAAGGGAATTTCAACGCACCTCGAGCTTCGATCCAGTTGACGGTGCCGGGTTATTCCCAGCAGTTCTCTCGGTGGCTTTCAGTTGGAACACGATCGTCATGGCGAGCACCAGTACAGCCGCGCACAAGTGCTGCTTTGTGCCGAGGTAAAACATAACAGCGCTGCAGAGCACACCTAGAACTCTATCAGCAAGTAGAGCCACAGCGTGGTTCTTGACTCCGAGCTGGACTTGTTCCCTCGACGGAACGGCGTCGTGCATGCTCTCCACCACCGCAGTAGAAGCAGCAGATGAATCATCGGTCTCCTCACCCGCAACATGGTCTTGCTCATGTTCTTCTCCCTGCGTCGTGTCCCGGTGGGTTGCCTGGTGCAACGGCTGATCCAACGACTGCGGCGCTGCGCGAGCTTCCCGGCGTCGTCGCGCCAAACTTACCGCAAATGCCGCAGAAATCGCTGCTAGCGATACAGTAGACACGACCCAATGCTCACGGTTGCCCCTAAGACAGTTCATCGTCGAGGCCAAACTACTGCAAATGGTGACTGGACCTGATCACCCCGTTGGAAGTTGAAGTGGCACAAATCTGGCAGGTCACAGTAAGCGAGATAGTTGCCGTTTTCGTCCAATCATTTGAGCCGTGCGATCATTAGGCGGCGTTCCCATACAAAACTCTCGGAGGACGCGACGATGGCGGAGGTGATCGTGCTGAGCGACAGCAGCGACGCGTCACCCGACTGCGAGATGGCGCCCGCGTCCGCATCTGCGTCCCCCGTGACGCCGCGGAGGCCCGCGCAGTCCGTTGGCTACTCGAACGCGGTGGAGGCGGCGCTGGCGATGGCGGCCGCCTTCGAGACGCACACGCCCGGTAGTAAGGCGAAGAAGAGGAAGAAGGAAAAGGAGAAGAAGCGGCGCGTCACGCCTGCGCCTCCGCTGCTGTCTACGAAGACTAAGAAGTCCCATACTTTAAGTACAAACCAGCCGCAAGCTCCGGTCCAGCGGAGGCAGACGATGCCGCAGCCCGTGGAGAAAGATCGAAGACTGTCCGGCAGTCAAAAGTTGAAGCACCAACGACCTGCTAAGAAGTCCCGGGGAGCTAGAGCCAGATCCAGCAGCCCCAGCTCGAGTTTAGACTCTGGCTCTAGTTCGGACTCGGATTTGAGCTCTAGCTCTGAGCACCGCCGCCGCCGCCGCGCTGCTGCCGTTGAAGCGATCCGACGTCCAAGCAGTAAAGCCGCAGGGAAGAGCAACGGCAAGGCTCCATTGAAGAGGATACGAAGACCCAAGGATACCAGTAAGCAGCCTCGCGTGGAGAAGCGACAGAGAGAACGGGCTACGTCACGAGTTCCAGCTGCAAAACCGAAGCCGGTGGAGGTCGTGGACCTGTTGTCTTCTTCTTCGTCATCGTCGTCTTCTTCGTCATCCAGCTTGTCGGATTCCTCTATTGGCGGCCGGACTCGATCGTTTTCGTTTTCTTCCCTGTCGTCGTCCGGTGAGGACTCACCGAAATTGCCTGTGAAGACTGGAGACAAGCGGCTGGTGCTGAACGATCGTGTGCTGGGCAAGAGTCAAGCCCAGGCTTCTGTTCGAGTAGCAGCGGTGAATGATGCAGTACCAACTCGGCCGCAAATTTCGTCCCGAGAAGATAAGAAGGTCGCGGGTAGAGGGGCAGCGACACCGCGTGAATGCAAACGCAAGCGTGTACTGCCGCATATGCGGCGGAAGATGGCTGGTGGCGCCCAAGAGCGAGGCAAGTTGCCCGATGTCGGAGAGACGAAGAAGACACTTCATCCCAAGAAGCCTGTGACAAACGATGCGCGACAGGGGGGTTCTGTATCGAAACCTGCGCTTGCTACGCCGAGTTCCCCACTGTCGATATCGTCATCTTCATCGATTTCGTCGTCACCGACCTCGTCACCTGCGCTGTCGCCTACTTCGTCGCCGAGACTGCTGCCCTCGAGGAAGTCCGCAACAGCTCTGTTTCCCGTATCAACGGACCCCAGTCGCGACGGAAAGACAGACGCGCTCGGTCGATACCAGTGCCGCAAGTCTGCCCCGGCTAGTGCTATATCCTGTCGCAAGCCGAAGTCCCGCCCACCCCCAGCAGCTTCTGCACAGCCACTGGCATCACCGTCGCCATCACCTTCGCCGAGGAAGAAGCGGCGAGTGGCAGCCAGCTCGTTCTTTGACATGGATCGGGTTGCGCTGGACGACCTTCAGGCTCAAGAGCGAGAATTAGCTTGGATCCGATCTCATCGGAAGCAGGCGCAAGCTCAATCGCACCCCCCAAAGCCTGCTGCCAAGAAAAAGAAGAAAAAGTCCCCCGAAGTGATAAGCGTTGACGAACACTCGGATACGAACAGTACGGCATTCTCGGAAGACAATCAACAGAGTGACCGGCTCACTGGTGGAGCTGACGTCCATGTAAATCCTTCCGTCGCTGCCAAACTACTCACCGCCAACGCGCCCTCTCGTGCATTGCTTCACCCGACGTCATACCGAGGTGTTTACCTGCGCGAGGCTCCGTTAAATATCCTCCCGTTGCGCAGCATTTCGTTTGATACAAGATACGACCATCCGCTCACGTATTATGGTATGGTACTGCTGCTGTTTGACCCCAATCTGTTGTTAGCATGCTGTATACGACTCTCACTTCTGGCGTATTAACCTATTGTGCTATTGCCATGATCAATGCAGACCAAACCGACACGCTGGCATCTCAGTGCGCAATTCTAGAGAACTTCGGCAAGTCGACACAGTGCATTTCGTCTGTGTTCCCTAGCGAGGTGGCCAAGCCTCAGAGTGACGTTACTCGTGCAGTGGGCGCCTTAGTGTCTGCGCACCTTCCTGTCATCCGCAGCTGTCATAAACGAAAGGTGCAAGCAATTTTGGCAGAAGCTCGTCAGAAAATTTTCGCGTATCAGGATGCACTGCAGAAGAATAGACGAGTTCTTTGCCAGCAAAACGGTACGCATTGCTTGCATTGTATTACAACTATGACTACACTGACTTACTCACCGTACTGTTTCGATGTAGTGATGCCGCGTGTACTGCCTCGCAGTGCCGCGGAAAAGCACGCTGTGAGGAAACTTAAAATCACGCATCGCTCTTGTAGCATGGATGCTGGGAGTGTTTCTTTTCGGATCGGCCATGGTGATGGATTTGTGCGCGAGAAAACCATCTCATCGCTGATCCAGATCAACCGGGTCGAAGAGGTTCAGCCATTGCGAAGATACACGACCAGCATTGGACTCCGCGCAAACTATCGCGTTGACGACGATCCTATCCTGCGTTACACAGCTATTACACGACCAAACAGCGGGAGTGGCGGTGATGACGCCGCGAAGAAGTACGCCCTGAAAATTGGGAATGTGGCTGACGAAGAGGTAGCTGAATTCGTGTTACGACTGGTGGTGGGTTGTCTTGGCGACTCCGAACAGGTGTTCCAGGCGCTAAAGACTGAGCTGGACTTTTCGCAGGCGTACACTGCTTACTGTGAGCTGAAGAAACTGCACGATTCGCGGCAGCGAGCGGAAGCCAGGATCGAACGCATAGAGGAACTAAGTCATGATGGAGCGCAGGTTGCGGACCCCGATGTTGCAGCCATTGTGAAGTTGATGGAGCAGTCATCACTGTCAAAGAGAACCCGCAGAAAAGTTTTGAGCCGCCGATTGCAGCCGCCGATCCGAAGCCTCGTTTCTAGCTTTGTGGACAGCGTGTTGGATGAAGCAGTGGCGGGTATGGCAGCGCTGGGCTTACGAACGACGGACAGCTATGCCGAACTGGTGGACGTGTATTGCGGCTCCTTCTGCCGGATGTGCTACAGATACGCTTGTCACGAACACGGCGGTGACCACCCACTACCAGCCAGGCGTGTAGATCCTGTGTACCCTCGGCTTTGGTCTGCAGCTCCTAGTGTTCAGGGCATTGGAAACGTGGACGAAGTGGATCTGTTGGATTTGTCAGAGGATGAAGTTGTTTGTTTGGGCACGGAGCTGAACGGCGAGGTGAAGCTCGCAAGTGCGGCAGATATGCGCGGCAATGCGCAATGCGGATCTTCCGCGATGAATTCTGCCTCGAAGAAGAGTGCTAGCGTCATCGGGAGTGATGGACATATGAACGCGAAACAACAGCGGAGAGTACTCGCTGACCCATCGGAGTTCGTCAATGATTCGCACGTGCCGATGGTTACAACGAAAATGCGATTGTTCCTCTCCAAGGGCAGTGCCTGTAGCAAGCTGTGCTGGAAGAATGATGATCGCGTTACCAGCAACAAGCGAGCATCGTTGTCAGCAGCCGAGCTGGGTGTGGTGCGGAAACTACGTGAAACAATGGGCGACAACTCGTGCTTGCTGGCGGCCGTCGTCGGCTCGGCCTCCTGCACTGATCTGCACGAGCTGATCAGAAATGACAAAGCGAATGACCAGCGCCCGATGGCGGATGGAAGGTCGGGTCGCCGTATGCGTAGCTGGAAGCAAGGCCGCAGATCAGGTGGGAGCAACCATGAGTTGCTGCAGAGGACTCGCAACCAGCGTCTCCAGGACCGAGGCACAGAGAACCATGAGTACAAGCCGTGCATGCACGACGGAATGTGCGACTCAACTGGGTGCTCGTGCATGAAGCGCGACCATATGTGCGAGAAGGCGTGCGCCTGCTCTCGTGACTGTCCGAATAGGTGGGTGATGCGTGAAGTTGTCGCTGGTATCGAGCTCCTATCGGTTGAGCCAAGTCGTGCGTACTTGGCGGAGGGCGCTCACAACTAACCTAATGCGTGACCTGTTGCAATGATTAATGCAGGTTCGAAGGCTGTACATGTTCTCATGGCGAGTGCCAGACAAACAAGTGCCCATGTTTTGCCGCACTCCGCGAGTGTGACCCAGACGTTTGCGTGTCCTGCGGAGCGTGTGAGCTGGCTATCGACATTGCGAATGATGCTTTGGCGAATAGCAAGTCAACATGCAGCAACGTGAATGTGATCCGCAACAAGCATAAACGCTTGGGCATGAGCTTTTCTTCAATTCACGGATACGGCATGTACGCTCAAGAGGCAATCACGGCGAACCAGTTTGTGTACGAGTACACAGGCGCAATGCTGTCACAGGACGAGGCTGAGCGACGTGGGCTCATTTATGACAAGATGGAAATGAGCTACCTGTTCGATCTGAACGAAGACGCAGTACTGGATGCACTCCGCAACGGAAACAAAAGCAAGTTCATAAATCACGATGGTGACGCTCCCAACTGCACGGCCAAGGTTGTAAGCGTATGTGGTGTGCACCACATAAGTATTTGGGCACTGCGCGATATTGCTATTGGTGAGGAGCTGGTTTTCGACTATGGCTACAAGCGGAGTGTTGGTCCTGATTGGAGTCAGTGTCGTGCTGCATCAAAGGATACAACTTAAGGTACGTGCATAACCGGTATGTATCGGTTGTCACCGTAGATCAAGGTGTTACTTACCGGTATAATGGTGCGTATCAGGATTTTTTTTTAGGATAGACGACAGTTAAACTTTCATTCCGACGATACTGACTGATAATAGGCTCTCTTTTTTTCTTATACAGGTATTGTCGCAATCCAAGCAAATACACAAGACGCTGCACACAGTACTGCTTGCAATCGAATTAAGGACGTTGAAGGCTTAATTCCTTTGCAAGTTACATAGGTACGTGTGATTGCCACAAATTGCTATTGTCACGAACGACAATACGGACTCCAGTTCGAGTGTGAAGAAACTAACTGTTTTTGACGTGGTGGTGCCGTTCAAACTTCTCTGCCCTAAATGAACAGCACTGATTATTTTTATTCTACGTTTTTGTGCATTTCTAGGTGCTTTAAAAAAATGAGGCAACGCGGTGAGGAGGCCGATCGGGGTATGAAACCGATGCATAACACACTCAACGTACGTACAACTGTTATTAAGAACTTGGACCATGAGTATTAAACTATCACGAGCTGTATATTAACGAGTCCGGTGCTGAGTAGATCAATAACGACTTATACACGGATGTGTAAATCCCGCATTTTGATTGCAATGTAACGGAATCGAAGGGGTGCGCTAGTTCTATGGCAGCCGCAGTGGGAATCGACATGAGTTCGTGAGTTGCGTGTTATGTAATGAAGTAAAATTCGGTATATTTCGGTGATAATAGATTCAGATTCGGGCCTGCCACCGGGAGGCCAAACTGTAATCTGGGAATATCCTAGCTCTGTGTGCATGTGTGAAACCACGCGCAGAAGCTTACGTTGTAAGTGGATGTGTCACCCGGCACTAGCTTGTGTGACAAAGCCCGCTTAGATTTTGGCAAACCGCGTATGTGGATTGCCTCCGACGTGCTTGGTTCAGGAACAGTAATCCAATATCAGGGAGGGTGTGTCCAGCGAACCTGGTGGAGTCTCAAGTCTATAGAATCTGCAAAACCCAAGTCGGGCAAACACGTGGGTGGTGGCTACGATAGAAGCTGGACTGTACTTACTGTTGGCCAATGGCCGCCAAGTCCAGAGGTGAAGTGTGGAGGCCGCGGAGGCTTTGATATACGGTCACGGCTGTCGACCGAAATTCGGATGCATCAACAATGTGCTATCGGGATTGGTTCACGTCCCGTCCGCTTGTGCCGGTCATTGGGGCTGCCTTAGAACAGGATTGAGTGCGTGTTGGTTGGTCTATGCGAGATCCAACGACTGCAATAGATTCCTGTGCCACTGAGTCTGGCCCAAGTTCTGAGAACGAGGAGCTCCTGCTGGATCGTCCCCAAACTCCCGAAGATCCGGATATGCGTCGGCTAAGACCTTGATGGCTCAACGAAGAAGTCTTATCTGAACTCCGACGAGTTTCAACATGATCTTGCTGGACTTTGCTGAACTTGACTGGATTTGGCGGAAGTCGTTGACCACGTTGAGTTCGAGGTCCAGCGGAGCTTCGGAGGCTCGCAGTACTATTGAAGTTGTGCTTGCATCGGTTCGCTGTTGCTAGCCCCGTTGCGCCCAGATGACATGCCCTCTGTAGCCATTCACAAGCGCGGTATCTGTGTTGCTGGCAGTGATTATTCCCAGCGCCGGTCCCATCCGACTTATGCTCAATCATCTCTCAGCTTATATTGAAGCGCCGCACCCGAAAGCGCGAGCTGGTAGCTCGCAAGTCGGCCTTCTCGATGTTGTTTTAGTGTTTCCGAAGGGCGATTTGCACCTCCACTTGATAGGTTCATGGTTGCATGAGTAGGATTGAAATCAGAGTCAACTTTGCCCCGAAAGACGCACGTGTTTGGATTTTGTGTCATCACAGGTGTCATGGAGAGTCTCCAGTGACGTTCAAGGCCCCATATAGACGGTTTCGGCTTTTGGGCATGTACGGATTGTTACCCGTCGAACCGACACTCAGGGAGCGGCTCTCAAACCAGGCTCAAGTCAAGCCAAATCGTGGGGCTACGCTAGGTCGAGGATCGAGGGAGACGGGGTTGTGCGACCTCAGCTAGTACCGCCAAAGGAAGTGAAGAAGCCGTCAAGACCTGGTCCAATGTCTAGAAAGAAGAGTACAGAGTAGGTGTGGAGTGCCGTGTCTACATTGAAGGAATCCCGGAGTAGATTGGGCTACGATGCGTGCAGACTGGATCCTGTGATGTGGGGAGCAAGCTCCGTTTGGTGACACTGGGAAACATCTGAACTCGACGCGAAGTTGCTGTGGTTGTCTTCCGTCTGGGCCCAAAGCTTAGCGCTATGGATAGTTATTTAAGGGAACACAAGGGCAGTACCCACACGCCTCACCCGGTTCAAGTCCAAGTTCAAGGAGCGTCAGCGGAGTCTTCATTGCAGTCTAGCCGAATTCTTTCGGCTGTGACTTGGAGAATCTAGACCTTTACGAGTTCGGGTCTGGACTTGGTGATTCGACGTTTGGACAAGTCTATTCTACGTCAGGGGGAAGCCGTCCCACTGCCTCGCCACACTTGGCGTGGTAGAGCCCCAAACTTGAATGTGTATTCCTACAGCGCCACCTAAGCACGTTTGGTCCGCGTTGCAAACAACATTGATGCCATGTATTACACCGTCACCCCCACCATCTCGCTGCAGTAAACTACAAGGTACCCTGCGTCAGCAGGAGTAGCGGGCGCCTCCCCAATTCGTCCGTGCCCGTGACGGCGCAGAATGTACTTACGCCAGTTTCTAGATTTTGTTTTGAACGACCCTGAGCGGTCCCACAGGCACGGTATACCTCTAACGTCTGCGGCTTCAACGTGAACGACCCATTGTCGGCTCGTGGACTGATTATCCACCCCACCAACCGTTCTTTCTCCTTGAGCGAGAGGGGGAACCCGTGCTCAGCGGCTGCCCGCGCGTGTGAAAGCGAGTGCCCTACGTCTTAGGGCCTACACCTACCACCGCTTCGAGGGGTTTTGGCCTGGAAATACTTGACTACCGCTTCAGCCATCGCTGTGGAGTCTAGGTATCGTAACACGAGTGAGGCGAGGCCGATGAAACCTTTGTCGCCCAGGGGGGTTCGTATAGCACAGCCCAAGACTGTTCCCCAGGGGCAGACCCAGAGAATCGACTTGAGAGTCAACAGCAAGAAGATAGACCCAGAGATTCGCAGCCGCAAAGCTTTAAACCCTGAGAATCACACTCCTTGGTTGGCGTGGGTACCTTGTGTAATCCCTGTCGGCTCGTTTGTCTTCGACGGAACGGCACTCCACCGGTTGAAAATATAGCCTCGAAGCAGTGCGGGAGCGCACGTCTACTTCAGAACGCACCTCCACACCAAAAGGCAAACCCAGAGAATCAGATCCCCTGAAACCCAGAATATCACGAATTCAGGGTCCAGGATTTCAGTCAACTCTGGGACTTGGAACTCAGAAGACACCTTACCCAAATGCCCTCCTAGCTCGATAAAACCAACAAATACAGAGTATACAAACACTACAACTAGCCGTCACTTATTCTTTTGGACCCTTGGACGGTGGGTCACACACACACTAGGCTCACTCGAGTCTGAAATTCAGGGGCCTAGCTCCCCTGAGACTCACACAAACGCGCACCACCTCCAATAAAGGAGGAAAATACAATCACTATCAGTTACCTTCCCTTCACACAAGCAGTCAATACAAAATCCTGGAGGCGACTACCTAGCACCCCAGAATACCCTCTGGAATAATATGAAATGGGCTACCACGAGCACAGCAAGTGACCCAACTAGGATATGGAATAGATGGATCACCCCAGGAAGCTCAAGGCCGTCGCTGGTCACCACCTAACTGGACTTGAGTTTGATGGAGCCCACACTGACGGCTGTCCTTCGCTGTTGATGTGCCCTTAGCGTCCCGCGGTCGTAGTCTCGGGTCCTCCGGATTTCCGTCGGCAGGCTTGGCCGAAGTCACTTGCGCAGTACAGGGTAAAAGGAACTCTGTTTGGTTTTTATCAGCTACTTCTCTCTCTCTCTCTCTCTCTCTCTTCTTCGGGCAAATATCTTCTGTTCACTATGCTTGGGGTCAAAATGTCTTGTCTTGAGTATACCTTGGGATCAGCGGTCCAAACTTGCGATCGGCTTGCGAATCCATTGTCGCACGGCGTCGAAAGTGCCAATTGTGGGTCCTTAGACTTGGTTTAGTATGGTGCAGGACTCCCTCTCGACTCCTCGAAAGTATCCAGTCTGTGCATCCATGACGGTTCTTCAAGGTCACGCATCATTTGATTGCAGACTGGCTTCGAACTGACTCGAATCCCTGAAAACCAGGTGACACTCAGGGTCATCTTCTGAAATCCTGGGAATTCTGAGGAATCTTGGGGAACTGTGGGGATTCTTGGGTGTTGGCTCGGGAAACAGTTAAGTTCAGTATAGAGAGTCTGGATTTATGGTCCAAACCCAGAGAATCATCTTTGGAACTCTGGGTCACCTGCACTCAGGGAGGTGAACTCTGGGTCATCGTGCGGCACTCTAGGTTTCCGTGCGGCACTCTGGGTAACAAGTCTGCTGCAGTGCAGACTCGTGTGTATCTCCTCAAAACCACACTTTTAGTGGGTTTAGCGGCCTCCTGCGCATGATCATGGTAGTAGTGGGTTGATTCTCAGGGTAATTTGATCCTCTGGGGCACTCTGAGCCACAGCAAGATGAGGTGTACTCTGGGATACATTCTCCAGAGACACTTTCCGCCAGACTTTAGGCACTCATCGTAAGGGAAAGTCCGCGGCTGGACTGAGTGCTCTCTGAAATTCTGGGCGTGCACTCCCAGGATTCACACTTCCAGCCAGTTGGGCCCATCTGCGGTCAGACGCTGGATTCATCCCGAAAAATCACTTCTCTCCCACAGTCGCCATCCATGTCACACGGGTACAGCCGCGCCGTATCCCAGTCATCCACCAATCAGCATCCGATACAAACTCCAGGTCACAGAGGTGACGGCACATCGTCGGCAATTT